GTTCCATCTTCTATTTGTCATGTTCGTCTTTTTTCTGTTACGTGGATTTTATTTTTCATAATTTTAATTTTTAAAAATTAATTAATATGTAATTCTCAAATATAAGTTATAGTGTTGCATTGTTGCTTAAAATTTTATTAATCTATCATTTTTAAATTGATCCTGATTATGTAAGAAGAGATTATTTTGAGTATGTCGTTTTCATATGCTTTATGTTTTATATTTAGTTGAAAGAAATTATCTTGAATAAATAGTCTTTCAACAATCCTAATTATATAGGAAGAAATTATTAATCTTATATATCGCATTTAACTATTTATATTTTATGTATTATAGTTTTATATTTAGTATTATAAGTTTAAATAGCAATAAAATAAGAATATTGGATGTTGAATACATTAATTTTTTTTTCAAGTTTGATTAAAGTATGAGTAGGTTAAAAACAATTGACAAATTCTTTAAAAGAAAAAATGTAAATTGTTCAAATGATTCTTCTATAGTTGAGCCATCAAGCCTCAATGTTTCAACTCATGAACAAATATAATGTGAATCAAATTGTCCAAAACTCAATCCCAAAGAGATAATGTTTTTCAATATATAATTTTTAATTGATGAATTTGAATTCAAAAAATATAATCGATCACAACTTTCTTAAAAAACTATTATAAGTCTTTCTTTTCTTAATTTACATGTTATGTAAAATTATTTTCTATTATCAATTTTTTAATTATTGGTTAAGTTAATTTTTAAAATTTTTAACCTTTATTCGGTTCCCACCCCCCCCCCTGCCCAAACAAAAGTTGACTAGCTCTTCCCTGGTGATAGCTATGGCCCTTACATATTCTACCTTGTTTTCTTAGCTTTTGGTGTAATGCTTAAACTTCGACAATGATTTCAACCACTTTTCGATTAGAACTGGGCCTTTTCCTTTTGCTTTTCAATTATTGAAGAATCACATCATTTTGAAGAAAGTTATAGTCAAAATACCGTAACATGTTCAGGAATTTCTATACTTAATCATCCTTGCTAGGTTCACCTCTATGAAGTTTTATGTACTTGTACACCTTCAAAATAAGGACTAAATCAATGATCATCAAATTAGGACTTTTAACATAATATTAGGCTAAAATTACTAAAATTAAAATATTTCAAAATGTATTAAACATAGTAACAAAACGTATAAAAACTACCAAAAATTACATAAAAACATAAAAACTTAGTTATTTTTAATAATTAAAATGTGACAAAATAATTCTATATTATAGAGTTATCTCTGCATGCTTTTATTAATAAAAACTAGTATAGTTTTGTCTCAAAATATTTTAACCATGAAAGGTTTTGTAACTTAGACCAAATGCAATTGAAATGTAGTTTATCATTGTTATAACTGGCCTATAGCTTAGTCCAAAATTTTAGTAGAAAAAAATATTACTTTCTTATACCATAGTTGTATCACTGTCGGTACTAATATCTAAAGACAAAATAAGGGCAGGAATAAAGTTTCTCTATGAAGTCACTGTTAATAAACCGGACAAAAATTTAATAGAGAAACGAGACTTGTTTTGATGACTAGCACACTTTATTTATACAAGACACCCATATTTATACACATAGAAAGAAGCTACATGCATAACACTTACTAAGACATGGATATAATTGTTAAGATATCGATTACAAGTGTTAAAGGAAATTTAAATGCCATTAACATGCAATAACTACAAGTCTTGATTGAGTTAATCAATAAAGAACACATACAAAGACATCTGTTGAAACACACAGGCCATACAAGTATTATTCTCAACACCCCTCCTTAATGCTTGCATTCTTAACCATAAGCATTTCTTAATTATGTTCAAACTTAACCCTAAAGAGAGGCCTAGTCATAATGTTAGCAACTTGATCATCAAATAAGCAATATTGTACAAGAATTTTACCTTCTTTTTGTGCATCCCTCAATGCATGATATTTTACATAAATGTGTTTAATTCTTCCATGGAAGACTAGATTTTAAGCTATTGATATTGCAGATTTGTTGTCAACAAACACCTTGGTAGGATTCATCAACGACATTCTAAGATTAAAGAAGAACTCTTCTCAACCATATTCCTTAGTTTACATGCTACATACTCTACTCTTGTTAAGGATTGTGCCACTTCTTTTTGCTTATGTGAATTCCATGAAAACATTCCATTCCCAAGAATAAGTACATATCCAAAAGGTACTTTTGCAATTATCAATGCTACTTCCCTAATCACTATTAAACGATCCCACAAGTTAAACTATTTTAGCTAGTATGAATGTGGCACCATAGTTTGCTGTACTTTTTAGATACCTCAAAATCATTATGGTTGTTATAAGATGTGACTAACATGGCTATTGCATGAATCATGACAAGTAACTGATCACAAACACAAGTTTTGGTCGAGTTGAGCATATATAGAGAAGGGAACCTATTGGGCTTATATATTCACTAGGATTGTATAGCTTGTTACCTGAGTCAACTAAAAGGTTTTACTTTGCATTCAAAAGAGTTTCAATTGTCTAACAATTGCTCATGTTGAATCGTTTTAAAACCTTTGCTATTTAGTTCTATTAAGTCAAGTGACTATCATTCCTGGTATGTGACATTTCAAGTCCCAAAAAGTAAGTCATCAAGTCCAAATCTAACATGTTAAATTCTTTTTCTATTATTGCCTTAAGTTTAGCAATACCACTTGTGTTTGCACCTGTTATCAAGAGATCATCAACAAATAATGATACAATTAAAGAATTGGCAATACCCCTTCCATCACATACAATGTGGCCTCGTTCAAACTTTTGCGGAACTCTTGATTTTGTAAATAAGAGTCAATCCTACCATATCATGCACATGGTGCTTGTTTCAACCCATATAAGGCTTTATGCAGCATATACACCTTGTCTTTATCAACTTCCACTTCAAATCACATGGGTTGTTTCACATATATTTCTTTGTTGAGCTTTCTATTTAAAAATCCAGACTTAACATCTAAATGAAAGGCTTTTCAACCGTGAGTTGTTGACAATGCCAAGAGAAGTTTGTTGGTATCCAATCTAGCTATAAGAGCAAAAGTATCAAAATAATCCACTCCTGGCATTTGAAAAAAACTTTTGCAACGAGTGTCACTTTGCATTTATTCAAGGAACCATCTGCATTCATTTTTTTCTTGAAGATCTATTTCACGCTGATCATTTGCTTGTGTTTTGGTTGATTTATAAGAGTCCAAGTCTTGTTCTTCTTAATCATTTTAATTTCTTTTCTCATGGCTTATCTCCATTCCTTATGAAGTGCAACTTCATCAAATAAGGCAAGTTATGCTGTTGCAACTTAATATCTGTTGTATATGTCTTGAATAAAGTGAGAACCTCGCACAGGAGTTTCATTAATAACCTCATCAAGATCAAGTTCACCACTATCATCATTCTGAATGTAAATAACAACATTTAATTTTTTCATTTGCTTCTCATTCCAATATCAGCTGGGTTCTTCATTGAATGTGACATCTCTACTGATGGAAATCTTGCCAGGGTCAATCCAATATAAGCGGTAGGCTTTTAATTGTAGACTATACCTTACAAATATTCCTTTCACCATCTTAGACTATAATTTATCTCTTAGCATATTAAGGACATGTTGATAACAAATGCACCAAAAAACATGCAAGTGACTTACAGATGGCTTTCTTTCAATCCAAGCTTCATATGGAGTCACAATTTTTAAAGCTCTTCTGGGGAGAAAGTTTAGCAAATATACAATTGTATTGGTTGCTTTCGCCTAAAAGCTTTTGGTAACTCTTTTTTAAATTACAAACACTTGGTCATTTCTATTATAGTTTTATTTTTACTCTCACTAACTCCATTCTATTGAGCAATGTAAAAAGTTGTGAGTTTATATTAAATCCCTTCCTTTTCGATATATTGAGATAACTCTAATGACTTGTACTCTCATCAAAGAATTCATGTTCTGAATTTTATAATTTTTTAGCTCAACTAGGTGTTAAACATTAGTTAACCGTCACCTATACTCCTCATCAAAATGGAGTTTCAAAAAGAAAGAATAGAACACTAGTAGAAATGGCCATAAGTTTATTATTTCAAAGTGATATGCCAAGAGTATTTTGGGTAGAAGCTGTTAACACAGCTAATCACATTTTGAATATGACCTATACAAGAGTATTAACTCTTAAAACTTCATATGAGATGTGCTATGAACATAAGCCAAGTGTTTCTCATTTCAAAACATTTGGTTGTGTGTGTTCGCTTAAATACTAGATGAAAAATGGTCAAAGTTTAATTCAAAGTTAGTGTGAGCAGTTCATATTGGTTATAGTGATATATCCAAAGGGTACAAACTATATGACACTAAGTCCAAGAAGGTTTTTATAAGCAAAGATGTTCAATTTGATGAAAAGCAAACATGGAACTGGAAAATGAAAACAATAAGTGGTCTTGAAAATGTGTTTTTTGGAACTAATGAGCAAGTGCAGGGTAGGGAACTTGATGATGTTGATTTATAGGATGAAAGCTTGTTAGTCAGAAGGATAAGATCATTGCCGGATAGTTATAACAGATGTAGCTTAGCAATCGCAAATCCTACAACTTTTGCAGAAGCTCAATCAGATGCTAACTGGAGAATGACAATGGATGCAGAGATGGCTATGATTTAGAAAAATGAAAATTAGGAATTGGTTGACAAGCCAAGTGATCAACATGTGATTGGTGTCAAGTAGATCTACATGACCAAGTTGAATCCTAATGGCACAGTTAACAAGTACAAAGCCAGGTCAGTGATTAAAGGCTATGCACAAACTTATGATATTGATTTCTTGGAAACCTTTGCACCAATGGCCAAGCATGCTACTATAAGTTTGTTAGTAGCTTTATCAGCTAGAGAGGGATGGAAAATATATTATTTAGATGTAAAATCAGCTTTTTTAAATGGTATTTCGAAAGAAGATATTTATGTTACTTAGCTTGAAGGGTATGTAAAGCAGGGAGCTGAAAACAAAGTATGCAAGTTGGTTAAAGCTCTGTATAGACTTAAGCAAGCTCCTAGAGCCTAGTATGAGAGAATTGATGATCATTTTAGAAGTCAAATGTTCGATAGCAGTATTACTAAACCAACACTTTATATAAAAGGCTCAGATGGATTAGTGAAGTTGATAGTTGCTTTATATGTGGATGATTTGTTAATTATAGGACTAGATGCGGAATATTTGAAGGAATTTAAGTCACAAAAGTTTATTGCATTTGGGGTTAATAACTTATTTTCTTGGTATGGAGTTTCAGAAAAGTGAAGATTAGATTGCTTTGTATCACCTTAAATATACAAACGATCTATTAAAAAAGTTTAACATAGGTGCATGTAAACTAGTTAACAATCCTCTTACTTTGAGTGATAAATTGAGTGAACATGATGGTTCAGTAGATGCAGATGGACATTTTTACAAAAGCATGATAAGATCATTATTGTATTTGTCTGCAATAAGACTCGCTATCATGTATGCTACAAGTTTTCTGCCCAGATTTATGCAGACTCCTTCTTTGATGCATTTCAAGGTTGCCATAAAGATACTTGGGTATGTTAAAGGCATTGTTGATTGTGGTCTGAGATACATGAAAAAGGATAATGGTGATCTTCAATGGTTTAGTGATGGTGATTAGGCTGGTTCGATTGATGGTTCTAAAAGTACTAGTGGATTCTGTTTTTCATTTGGTAGTGCAATGTTTACTTAGAATTCAAGGAAACAAGAGGTTGCTACTCAGTCATCAGTTGAAGTTGAATATATAGCAGCAGTCGCAGTTGCTAATTATGCTAAGTGGTTGAGGAATATACAGATGGACCTTGGAGTTACTTAGAAGAAAGGGACTGTGCTACATATGGAAAATCAATCTACTATAGCCATAGCCAAGATTCATCACAGTCATACAAATCATATTAGAGTAAAATATCATTCATTTAGAGATGCTGTTAAAGATCAGGAGGTTGATATGAAGTATTGCTCCACTGATTTTCAAATTGTAGATGTATTCCCTAAGGCACCAAGTAAAGAGAGATTTGAATTTTTGCGTTCTTGTCTGGGGGGTTCATCAGATTAATGATTATGGGGATGTGTTGAAATAATCATTAATCTAGTATTCTGGTAGGAAGCTGCTGAGTTTGGTTAAAGAAGAAAAGTAACAAGATGGAGGGAAGCAACAGTCAAATGAAGATTGAAGATAATTCAAAAACACTATTGTTCTTCTTTTTACCGAATTCTAAGGCTATAAAACAGGTTTTTCTTGTGTCGTTTTGTTTAGGTTATATTTAGTAAGGCTTTAAATGCACACATTAGTTTCGTTTTAGCCATGTCTTTAATTTTCTTTGCTACACGATAAGTATTGTTGTCGTTTTGTTCATCTTCAAGAGTGTTTAGTCTAAGTCAAGGATCACTAAGCTGAATTTGATCCTATTTTTTCGTAATTTCTTGGATCTCAAGGCTGGGTCTAGCTCAGTTAGTTAATCCTTTTTTCAAATAGTTGTATAAAAACTGAAATGTAATGAGAATTCAATGACTCTTTAATTCACTTTCTTTTTTCTTTCAAATTTCCCTCTGTTCTTCATTTGAAATATAGTATTCCTTGTAAAACTCGACATGAACACATAGGCCATGCAACCATTATTCTGAACAATATCAAAGGAATATAAATTTTTTAGAGGGAAGTGTAACATAAGTCACTGATTTCCCAAAAATAAAACAAAGCTGAATCACCACACATCTTTACTAAAATTTAGCAGAAAAGTGCAAGAGGCTATAATCATTCATATGATTTCTTACTGTGTTCAACATTTTAGCTATATACCATTGTGTACACTACACACAAGAATATATACATTTTAGGGGAATGGCTAACACGTAGAAATACTGTAGATCATTTCATGTTCTCACCATGATTAACATTTTGAGTTGCTAAATGCATTTTATCTGACTTAAAAGATTTGATCTTCTTCCTGATTCAAATGTCTTCAATTTTTCATGTCATTCAGAAGCAGAAACATGTAACAGGGTCCTGTCCTGAGGCTCTTATTTTCCTTGCTTTTTCTTTAATCTTCAATTCCTCGTTTCTTCTTTGCTCATCTAACTGTGCTCTAGCTCCACCAGCAATATGATCAATTCCTGCTATCTTGGCCTGGTAAAATTGTTGGTTTCTCTTTATTTTCTGCTCCAATTCTTTCTGCAGTTCAGGCAATCAGGACTCAGCTGGAAAGTGGCATTTGTGAATTCCATTAGATAATAGTAGTAGCTAAAAGTTAAAAGTCTAAACCTTTCTCCTCTCCATCTTAATTTTGGCTCGCAGCTTTTTTTTATTCTCCCAGGCAAGGATTGATGCTTTCTTATCCTCGTACCTGAACTTTTGAACATTAGTATGACAAAAACTGTTTCCTATTATTATTCTAGATATCCAGGAGTTGTTGAGCATAAGAAAGGTTGTATTACAGATTCGATAGTTGAATATTCATGTTTTAAATATTCTTAATGGTGTTGTTGCAAATAACAAGTGATTGTACAGGGTGTTCTCTTTGATTCTTAAGCGTTGAAAATTAATGATTACCGCCTGTTAACTTTTTCCATCTGAGCTTTCTCCCAAGCTTCTGCTTTGGTTTCCACAACATTGAGTTGGGAAGAACTTCCCTTCCTCCTTTGGTCTCCAGCTTCCATGGTCATAGGCCTAGCAGAGGATGAATGACCTGGTTTGCGAGTTCTTAAAGCGCTCTCTTGTCTCTTATAATCCTGTTCCCTTGACTTTCTGCTGGAAGTTTCACCTGAGGAAAATTAAAAACAAAAAAGAATTCATTGTTATTCTCTGTCAAAAGACTTGTTAAAGAGCACTGAAACTAAGATCAGTTGGCCTGTAAGCAGATTCACAATACCATGAGTTGAATGTTGCGTTAGTTTTAACGAAGATCTTGCTAAAGCTAGCAGTGGGCAATGTCTAGTATTGCTTGTTACCTGCAGTTTTCACTTCCTTGCCAGGGTATCGCCTAGTCACTCTATCAGAATTTCGCACCCCGGGTGTGGTATCATATCTTGATCTCCGTATCTTGATCCCATGCCGTGCTTCATCTTCTTCAAGTAAGTTGATGGCATATGCAGCAGCCACCACTCCAACGGCAAACTCAGTGTCATACTCCTCGTTCATTGCCAAGAAAACTGCCCTTGGAACCAGCTCCGTGCCTTGTTGTCTACAAAAGCTAGCAATTGAAATTCTTATACCTTTGCGTCATGATCATCATATCACCAGATTCTACCTTCAAGTTAGACACTGTTTGAAGATAGTTTTTCATTTTTAAAACAGTTTTTCCTTTTTATAGCATTGTTTTCTTATCTGCAATGCCCTATTAATGAACAATACTTACTAGATATGTGTTTTGACTTAATTTAAGCAACAACATGTAATAATGTGCCATAAGTAGGCTCTAGCACTGTAAAATACATAACTTAGTACCTCCTTTGAAGGATTTTGCTGTTCTTCCTCTAGTACTTCTCTGCGCTCCTCGTCCTGCACCAGCAAACCTCACAACCATAAACAAGAGAGACAATACCCAACCAGAACAACCAATGTTCAGCAAAAATCTTTGGCATCAATCCTTACTGGACATGTTCTGTTACATACTAATAATTGGTGATAAACAGGATCCTTATAGCTTATGATTGTTTTAGCCTTTATTTTAGGTTCACCTGAATTCCAGTGTGATTGGCTTTTAGTCAGTACATAGTTTTAGAATTCCAGCATGTCTTTCATTGTGATTGAAACTGAAGTCCTTCAACCAGAGAGGATAAAGAAAAAAAATGTTAAAATTTCAGAAATCAAGTTTTAGCTAAAACCTAATCAAATTATTTTAAAACCATAAAGAAAGAATTCTGAAACAGAATTTGACAACGAAATTACTAATAACTGGAGAATTTTTTTATCGGAATTGGAGGTGTACAGGTACGTACCTCCTTTGCTTAATTAAAATTTCCAATTATGCAGAACCTGCGCAGCCAATTCTTGTCTGATTCTCCGGCCTTTTTTCCTGTGGGAACTGTTTGACTTTAAATAAGACAAGAACCATTGGCTGTTGATTGGAATAAAAAGCTTGGAGATTAAGAAAAGGCTTTTGGTGCCTTTAACCATGATTCCTGAACAGTGCAGGCACGAAGAGGAGAGGGGGAAGATATGACTTCCAAGCACCTTTTGATGAAAGCAAAGAATCTCTCATGTAGAAATGCTTGTCTTATTCAATAACAACTCTTTTTCTCTCTATTTAAGACATCTTTATCTCATCTTTACATATATATATATATATATGAGACAAGAAACTCGTCACAAGTAAAATTCAGGTACATGCAGCACCCTACAAAATATATGCAAGGAATTTTGGCTTTAAAAAGTTACTAATTTTTTTTTCAAGCCAGCCTAACCATGCTGGTAAAAAAACTCATCAATAAATGGTCTATAAGGAAACTTAAACCTTACTCCTTTGTTGAAAGTAGCAAAGATTTGAGTGGAAGTCTGGAATCAATCAAAAGGATTCTCACAACAATATCAATCCCATTCTCATGCAGCTGTATATGCCTTATTCTCCTTGAATGGAAGGGTATAATCACACGTGAACCAGTTGGCAAATTATGTGGAATTATGGATACTAGTGGCCCACCTGCACAAGCAAATCACCACTGTTCCTTGCCCAGGTTGATAAACTGATGCATGAGTATTGAGTGCTGTGAAGTTGCATGGCTATATTAGGGTGCATGTTATTTCGCTGAAGAATCTTGCTTTGCTTGTCCTTTGAGTATTCATACATTGGCCAGCCTATGGGCCTCTCTCTTGGGTTTTTCTCACCTCTCTTTAACCCCCGCTTGATGTTTTGCAATGTGCTGCTTAGAGTGAAAGCTATTTATTAAATATAGATACGCTTACGACAAAGCTTCATTAATTTTTTTTTTTTGCTAAATTTCATCTACGGCTCTTATAATTTTAATTCTTTTCACAAGTCATCTTGAGATTTTTTTTCTTAATTAGCATTCCGAGAATTTTTTTTCTTCCCAATTAGTACTTTCGGGATAACTTCTATTCCCACAAGGAATTAAGATATTAATTTTACTCAATAAAATTATATAAAATACCCTTAATGTGAATAAATAGGTTAACTTTAAATTAATGGTATTTTGTAATTTAATTAAGAAAAATTAACAACGTAATTTTTTTATAAAAACAAAAGTTATTCACAAGATGTTAATTGAAATATATATATATATATATATATACTTATTAATTTGGAACAAATAAAACACAAGAGGTAATGTAAAACAAGCCAAAACCTCTTTTAATATATCACTAAAGTACTTTAACGCCTCTTGTTTCAAAATACATTGTTGTCCCCTTGACTATTCAAGTACCATTAGTTAACAATTATTTATAAATATGAAAAGTCATAATTACCTTCAAATAATTAATAAACACTCAAAAACTACATTTTTAATTGGTTAAAGTATAACCACTCAAGTGAATGCAATGAGAGAAATGTAAGTGTAGCTAGAATGCCACTTAAAGGTTGAATAACAAGTTAAGGACAATGTTTGGTGAGGAAAAGAACAAGTAATGAAGGCTCAATAAATGATACAATAGAAGACTTAAATGCTAGAAAAAGAGTTGAATGATTTTAGTTGAATTTTTCTTTTTGGAGTTGTGTTTCATAATCTTTCAACCTTCATAAATGTTGTGAGAGCTTGAATTTATAGTTGTTGAAGTATTAAAAGTGGTTAGGGATGCATTAAATGTGAAAATAACCATTCAACACACTATTCTAGGCTCCAACGGTTTTCATCTATCGATAGATTTATCGATTTATCAATAAATTACCTTCAATAATTTTTAAATATGCACCCATCTATTGATAGATATAAGTATCTATTGATATATTCAACTTAGGATCATTTTGAAGTATCCTCGAATGGCTATCTATTCATAAATGTCACACATCTACTATTAGATGCAAGTCAAGGTCTTTTTGAAATGTTCTTGAGTGTCTGTCTATTGATAGATACACAATAGATTCAAGTTAAAATCCTTTTATATTGTTCTCGATTGACTATCTATTAATAGATGCTACGCATCTATCGGTAAATGTTCATAGTCTTTAATTTCCAAGTGCTGAAACAACTAACTATCGATAGATTGTATTCTTCTATTGATAGATGAGCTTATCAATTGATAGATAAAGAATATTTATTGATAATCTATTGATAAATGAAGAACATCTATTAATAGACTGAAAGTATTTTTTAAAATTTAAGGAGACTTTTTGCTTATTTTCTATTTAAAGTGCTCAGCTCTTTCGTTAAATCTTTTTCAAAGACCATCATTTGAAAAACAATTTTGGTCACTAGTTTGTCAAATCAAAACTTAGACTCAAATGTAGCATTAAGTGTAACAGGAACAAACTTGCAAAGAATGGCATTCAAAAGGAGCTGGATGTGCTAAGTGTTCTGGAAACATGATTCTGAGATGTTCTAAATTGCAAAGAGCCTGGTTGTTTGATGCTAGTATCTCATGTCAAGTATGTGTTTGTTTTCTTGAGACAGCACTCGATCCTAGGTTATTGGATTTTTAAGATGAAGCTCTAGTTTTCTTGCTAGTGTCGAATGAGTTGTGATTTGTTGTTTGCTTGTCTGTTTGAATATGTAAATGGTGACAGAATAGAGACTGCTAAATGTTTGTTATATATGGAATCTTATGAACCTTGTTCTTGTTAAAGAGTTCTGTTGTACAGGGAATAGGTGGGCTACTTTTACTTTTGTACGGATTATGAGTTTAGATTTTAAGTTGATATGCATTTCTTGTATTCCCTGTTTTAAAATGAAATATTTAAGTTTCGAAAACAAAGTTGGTTTGTTAATGTTTTTGTCATGTACATGTTCTCCAACTGGAGCCACAAACCCAAAGCAATGGTCTCATATGCTACCTCCCATAATACTTCATCTCCAAAACCAGGGAAGATTGTATTGTGTGACTTTTTCGAATAATGTTTTTTCATGCTAAAGACTTAACTGTTTTTTATGATAAATTTCATGATTTGAAACTGGGACGAACGTACACATGTAGCTATTCAACAATTTTTCTTTCAATCGCTTAGATTGCACAATGGAAGCCACTAATTAAATACCAAGTGAACAGCCCACCTTTGCAATTATAACAAAAATGATCAATATGACAACCGAACCAATAGCTTTGATACTAGTATGTAGGACCAATCGACTTCAGCAAGTTCAAGTAAATTTGGTAAAAAAAATAACCCAATGCACAATAAGATATAATATGCTCAACAAGAAACAAATAGCAAGAACATTGGGATTTATGTGGTTCGGCACAAAGCCTGGATACATGGGTAGAGATGACAAGATATTTCGATTATAACTAAGATAAGAAATTGCAAGTGTTTTGAAACCTAAAGGCTCACCATCAAACCCAAGAGTTACCTCTCTTTTCTTTATTGCCTAAGGGAACCAAGAAGAGCAAAATTCCTAAACCCAATTTTCTTTCTTCTCAAGTCACATGACAAAGGCCTATGGTGCAACTGGTGCCATCTCCCAATACTCACCAATCAACAATGTAATGCCATAAATTGTATACTCTTTTGCATAAGACTTGTATTTGATAAAAGTAATGAAATGCCATAGCAAAAAGCTCATATCCCTTATCTTTTTGTATTGAAAGTTGGAACCAAGCCCAACCATAACTCATTTTCCTACTAACTACAATGTAGTGTATTTTTATTCAATTAAACATATTGTGAAATAGTAATATAAGAGAAGGAATAGAGTTATAAAATTAATCGAAGATTTTCCATTTTTTTATAACTCCACGTATAATTAAAATTTTAAGAAATTAATTATTGAATTTAACAATCTATTCATATCCATCATGCATCTAAAATTTTAAATTAAATTGATATCCAAATTACATTAATTTAGAATGTCTTTATCAGTATAAATTTTACAATTATAATTTTATTGTTGGATTTAACAGACAATTATTACATATTTTAATTGACTTGAAATTTGGCATACATAATCTATGTGCATGAAATGTAACAATTCGATTAATTATTAATATATATATATTGTATAAAAAAATATGAAAAGTAAAAACTGATTTAATTTTACATAAGTTTAAGTATCTATCTCTTCATAATATAAATATTTTTTTATTATTTTGATAATAAAAAAACCATGAATCTGGCTAACTTTATTTTTCATCTAAGAACTTCAAATTTAACACATACAGAGAAGCCCAAGCCCTGACATGAATTGGGTTTTGGTTCCAAACCTTAAATCAACAAAAAAAAAAACACAGAAACGTTATATGTCAGTTGCACAGGCCACGTGGTAGAAACTCAGACAACAAAAAACTTTCCCCGCCTTTTGCACCCGACTTCAAAATCTGAACACTTCACTTTCAAACCCAAACCCCCCCCAAAAAAAAAGCATAAAACCCCCATTAATGGAGCTCACAGAAGAACAAAGAAAACAAGCAGAAGCAAACCGATTAGCTGCAATCGCAAAGCGAAAAGCCCTAATTGAATCCTCCACCTCCATCGTTAACATTCACTATCAACAAAACCATGATCATTATTGGAGGCTCACCAAGTGCCCTAAACTCGCCAACGACAATGCCCATATCCCAAAACGACCTCAGGATTCGAATTTGGCCCCAGTTTCGAATACCAAATTGTGTAAAAAGTTCCAGGTCAGGCTCGAAATTTGCTCCCCTGACTCCTTCTCGGTTACCCCGGGGACGCTGCAGGGTTGTCTCTACCAGGGAGGTGACGAGTGCTTGCGAAGATTGAGGGATATTTTATCCGACGTGAGTTGGCGTTTTGGTTTCTAATTTGGGTTTTTTTTTTGTTTTGAATTTGCTAGTCAAGACTTGAATTTAAAGCTTTGCTTACTTATATCAATTAAATTCTAAAGTTTTCTTTCTTTTTTTTTTTCCCATTTTCTTGAAATTATATAAATTAATTCTTAAAGAATCAATCAAGCTCAAGTTTTTAAGGGTTTGCTTTATTGTTGATTAATTTTCACTGAAATGGATACTTTTAGCACGATCCGATTTACTATCCCTTTGTTGTGGTTGAAATACATGAAAAAAAATTATTTGAGAGAACCTGACTGTATTGTGCATTGGAAGTTCGATTAGATTTGTTTTGTTTCGTTTTGGTTAGGTTATGCCATCACATTACACCCAAAACAGTGGAGGTGAAAAGGCATGTGTTTATAAGCTCAGGGATTACGGTTCTGTTTTATCATGTTTACGGGAATCAAAGGATATTGAAATCAAGGAGATACCTCATCTAACTCTCAGAGTTATTGAAACGTTTTCACGTTGCTCTATTACTGGACAATGGATACCATGTAGGCCAGAACATTTATCTGAGGAGGATGTTCATGAATTAATTGGAAAGCTACCAAGAACACTATTGGACAGGCTTCTGCCTTTTCAACTTGATGGTATCAGATTTGGTTTGCGAAGGGGTGGTCGGTGTCTCATTGCAGATGAAATGGGGCTTGGGAAAACACTCCAGGTAATTGTATAACCATGATGTTCTTTTAATTGCTTGGCATGAATTATGACCATGGCCTCATGGCTGCCCTCTATGCCTGAAATTTTTTTCCAGCTTCTTTGTGCTACTACAATTGATGCTGCTACTTTGTTGTATTATACTGAAATCTAAGAAAAGGCAGAGTGGATCCTTTAATACCTAACAGCGCATGGATGAAAATGTGCCACCCCCCACCCCAATAAAAAAAAAAAAACTATAACAACAGCACTGCACTGCAGATAGTATCATAAGAATTATCAATGTACTTATTTCGTGCAGTTTACACTACCAATATGTTCTATAACTACTATGAAATATTTTCTTTTAAGTGCAATGACAATATTTATAAATTTGAGAATGTACAATTCTTTTTACTGTTTATAGTCGAAAGATTGTTTCTCCTCACAGATTTTGAACTTTTCTTCCAAGATGACATGAAAATGAAATTTCTTTATGCACCTGATTTGTGTTCAGGCTATTGCTATTGCTGGTTGTTTCATGAATGAAGGTTGTATTCTCGTTGTTTGCCCTGCTGTTTTGCGTTATTCATGGGCAGAAGAGTTGGAGCGATGGCTACCCTTTTGTTTACCATCTGATATACATCTTGGTAAATATGACTTTCATTCCATCCTCTTTCTTTTTGGTTTATTTTTTGGGGTTGGTTGTCTGAGGGTTTGGGTAGGAGTGAGGAAGGCCAATGATAGGAGATCACCATTTACTAAAGGAAGCTTTGATCGATCTTTATTCCAGTCATAAGAGTTGTTTTGAGAGTTTATGTTTCATTGTTAATTATTGGTGTTCATAGTTTAAGATAGGGAATAGCCTTAAAAGGCATAAGTTTAGGAAATTTAATAACCCAATAAATATTTGGTTGGACTCCACATGCTCAGCCAATTTCCATGACAAAAAGGATGTGGAATTCACTCATTGACCTTTTTTCTTATGTTCTGTAATTTAGGTCAATATTAAAAAGCTTAAGATTTTCATTATATTATATATATTATCATTTTCCCCTGAAGTTAACCTCAACAAGCTCTATGTAGCATGGCCCTTGAGCTTATGTAAGTTCTCCAAGATTCAACTCTAACAAGGCAAAATATTGAAAATAGGTTACTCGGACAGCACAATATTATCTATAAAAGAAAAAAACCTCATAAAGACTCAAACAAAGCCCATTTTTTGGACCAAGAAAAGGTTGCTGTCAATTGTACATTACTGCAGCATTGTGAAGTGTGAACATTACTGCCTTAGGAACCTTGTTCAAAATTTAGCACAACTCCCACATTTGGCCTCATCAAAATCATCCCACCAAATCAAAGCTTAAGACCCCTTTTAATTTCTGTGAGCTATAGCTCAATTGCTATCATACTTTTGTTTGAAATTATCAATTAAGGAAAATTTTGACCTAGAATTTTACTTCTAATAGAAGTAGGTAGAGATTGCTCATTGTTAAAAAATGAAGAAAAGTCTGTTACTATTTATTTTTCTTTTCCCTTCCATTCTGTGAAAGAGAAACATGTGAAGGTGGTTTGGACATGTAAGAAGAAGACCAAAAAATGCTTCTTTGAGGAGGTGTGAGTTAATGGAGGATAACCATGTTGAAAGAGGAAGAGGAAGACCAAAGAACATGGTTGATTGGTAGCCATGAAAAAGGACTTCACTATTACTAAGCATTTTGAGGATGGTCCTAAGTAGACCATGGTGGTGCAATATGCATATACCTCTCCTCAGACAATGGAAAATAGCTTGTTGTCATGGTTGCAAAAGGGTTGATATGATATCCATCTCTTTTTATAATTTATTAACCTCAGGCAGCATGTGTTAGTGTTGGCCCTTCTTATTTGGTAACATATCAATTGTTTTTAAATTTCCGGTGAACCGAGCAAAAAGATAATTTTACTTAGAGATTCAAAATATTTGTGTTACTGATATTTATGTTGAGAAATCATCGAAGCATAGTTTCTCTGTTTTATCTTTGTATTAACATCTGAACTTTTTAATGTTCTATACGACTACAGTTTTTGGTCATCGGGATAATCCTGCCTATTTAAAGAAATGCCCAAGAGTTGTGGTTATATCTTATACAATGCTTAAACACTTGCGCAAAAGCATGCTTGAGCAAGAATGGGCTCTCTTAATAGTTGATGAATCTCACCATCTACGATGTTCACAAAAGGCATCAGAATCAGGAGAGGTATAAAATGTCTCCCTTTTGTTTAATCATAGTTTGCATGAGTTGAATTTTTTTTCGATTGTCCAGACAAAAAGCAGAGTAATTCTATATGACTATATCAGATAATAATCCCTCTAGGGCATGAAGGATTGAAGCAACTTGTAATACTATGAGTACTATTGTTAGTTTTTATTGTAGTTTCATCGCTCAAAACCCTACACTGAATATTGGCATGTGTCTTGTATTAACAGATGCAAACAGTTCTTGATTTGGCAGAGAAGGTCAGGCGCATAGTTCTCTTATCAGGAACCCCTTCTTTGTCAAGGTTGTAGCATGGAATTTGAAGCAAAACAGCACCATCCTCATCCTTTTAATATTAAATTTAGCATGGACATGATATACATACATACATATATATATATATATATATATATATATAATCATTTTCAGCTGTGCTTCTAACTTTGATAACTTTCTTATCTTATTGTTGTTTTTATTTCTGATTAGTTTATAATGCATTCTAATATCCTCCTTCCTATACTTTCCTAGGGGTTAATAGGCCATATGACATCTTTCATCAGATAAATATGTTATGGTAAGCTTTCTTTACACTTTTTTGTTGTGCCACCCTTTCTCTAGGTTTGTTAGAATATTGGTTTACGGTGCTTCTATTGTATAGGCCTGGTTTGTTGGGAGAGAACAAGTATAAGTTTGCAGAAACTTACTGTGCTGTCAACGTTGGCCAGAGCTCTCAAGGTTTTAAGGTAACATTAGAGTAGTCTTTGAATGAGCACGATATGGTTTCTTGCAAATTTTTACTATGCTTGGGCTTAAGTTAATGTTGCTTAGTCAATTTCCAGAAAAGCTCAATTGCATTTGGTGATACTTTTTGCTTCATTATACCCTTTTGTTCATAACATCAGCCAGTTTTTGTGTGCAGTCCTAGAAGCTTTGTTGGTTTGTTATATGATTGTTTGTGTTTGGTTGTCTGATTGTTAGCTTTAAAATAAATATTATAGCGTTAATTTCTATTTATTAAACAACACCCTTCTTTTTATGATCTGATTGTTAGCATGAAAGTCTAACTCATTTGGTGGAGCTGTCCCTGCAGGATTTCTCAAAGGGCATTCGCTTGGAGGAGTTGAATGTGTTACTTAGCCAAACGGTTATGGTGTGCCCTTGGTTCTCATAATTTTCTGTTTTACTACTATAAGATATTATTGAGGGGACAAGCTGAATCAATGTGCCTTTTTTGAGCATTTACCGTTTTATTTAGCCATTGTAGGAAGCAATAGAAACAGAATAGTGTAAAATCTGTCAATTTGATCACTCAACAGTTTTTGCTTTTGCATCATATGGGGTTGGCTTTGTGGATTAAACTTCACCATTGTGCTCTTATTTGGGCTATTTCTTGTTCAGTTTGTTCATTGTTTAAGTATAATCTCTTTTGCTATAGCAAGCATGCAATCTGTTGGGATTTAACCGTGATGTGTTTAATAAAAGGTTAGTCTCACTTCACACATTCTAATCATTGGAATTTGAGTATGGAATTCCTTATTGCCATGTACATTCAAGGCAATCTTTAAATGATTGTTCTTATTTGGAAGTTTATTTAGTCTCAAATTACCATTTTTATCAGTTAAGTCTTTTTATTAAAGGAATACTGTAGAGTTCCCTCTTCTTTATTTTTTTACTGTGTATGGTAGTTATTATCTTGGGGTGAAGGAACACCGAGGTGCAAGTCTGCATTAAGTATGAGCATAGACACAAATTTTGTTCAAATTGCTGTTCCAAATTTAAAAGTTTGTTTTCATTGTACAACATAATGCAGTTATAGGAATATCTTACCTATTTCACAATTACACATATTATAGGCTTGGTTGTAATGATGTTAGAGCAGTAACTGTTGCTTTCACTATCCAAATGGCAAATTAAATCATCATATTAGAGATTAATAATGCGTGGTCTTTTGTAATTATTTTCTCTTTTTCTTAAAAAGTTATTTCACCCTTAGATGGATGATGGCCTGTTGCAGATAAGACGTCTGAAGGAGCACGTACTAGGCCAGTTACCACCCAAACGTCGGCAACTTATAAGGTTGCAGTTGAAGAAATCAGATATAGCTTCAGCCAAGGCAGCTATCAGTTTTGCCAATGGTGAAGATTTTGAAAAGAATGCTTCCAAAGATACTGCTTCAGAGAACCTTGAAGAAAATCATGGTAATTTATGGATGGTTTGCCTCTATCTTAGGTGTGCGATATTCAATATCATAAGGCAATCCTTCATGTTGGTTTTCTATCTCTCTATGCCGACTTCTGATAGTGGCACTTTCTGAAATGTTATTATCATTATTGTTTTTGTTTAGTTTTTTTGGATGGACCAAAGTAGAGTTATTTAATTCTAGGGGAAGATTAGGCAGTAATTTGTACCATTTGAGCAATGTATACAGTTTCCCTTTTTTCAATTTTTGTCTTGAGAAGCACATGTGGCTGGGATAAATGATGAAGAAATTCTTTCTAGATGATCCCTTGTCCATATTATGTTGCCTACGCCTTTGAAGTTTGCTGAATACATCATGTTGATGGCATATAATTAATTATTGTGATCCTTTTTTCTATTAACTGTTGTCTTTGAGGTGCATTACAACTAGTATGTTGTAATAGAATTAAAGCATATCTATCTCTTTAAACCTAAGAATTAGAAATCATTTGTGGTTGCAGGCACAGCATCATCATCAAACACCTAGCACAGGCATATTCTTTTTTGTTTTTGCCTCTAGAATCTTGTTAATAGATGAAGGGTTGTTGTTTCTTCTATTCCTGTTTCTTGCCAGTGGTTCTAGTACAGATGCCTTATAGTCCTTTTACACTTAGGATGAATCTTCTATTCCTATTTTTCTCACTGAGGTCAGGTATTCTTGTTTGTAATGCGACCACAGATTTTTAATGCGGATTAAATTTAACTTGAGAGCTATGTGGACTCTTGACCTTTTATGCTTTAAGACCAAGCAATGTAAATGAGTAGGATCTATTTTATTAATCTTATATTTCACGTGCTCAATTGTAAATTCTATTTCTCTTTAGGAAGTTAAGTTATTTATTAATTAGTCTTGCTGCGTATTGGGTTAGGAAGTAGCCTATAAATACCTATGTTATTTAAATTTAAGTTAGCTTTTGATTATGGAGGTTTTGCAGATATTTGAGAAGGAGTATTAAAGATTTACCTCAGTTTTGAGAATTTTCTTCAATTGCTTTGATTTTCTGGTGATTTTCTCTCTTTTTCCTTTCCTACATTGTTAGGTTTATGAAGAAACAAATGTCTATTGTTGATAAACATTTTTGTCTAACTTGTAGTTTGAACTCTTTCTGATTAACGAATCAATATGAAGAAACTTTCACGATCAGGATGCACATTGAATCAGTTACTTGGTTGCTTTTGAATACTGATATCAGGAGTTTTGCTTGTTTTGCTAGATGTTTAATTTTGCCATAAGTATTTCACAGGATGGCAGCAATGCCTGAGTATAGTTTTTGAGTTGGATATTGCTTCTTGTTGCTTCCAGACGGTGAACGCTATTGCAATTCCAGGGAACTCTCCTATCAAGAACTTGGTGTTGCAAAGCTTCGTGGATTTCGTGAATGGTTTTCCATTCACCCACTAATTGCGAAGTCAGATGCTGTGGTAGAATTAGATCCAAACTCCAGTTCTCATAAGATGATAATTTTTGCCCATCACCATAAAGTTCTTGATGGAATACAGGTCAGATTGAGTAAATATTTCCATGTTAAAAAGTCCTTTCATGTCTGTAGACAAATATGAGAAGCCCTTCATTCACTAAAGTAATGACATCTAACAGAATATTGCCGATGCATCCTTGATTATGGAAGAATTACTAGCAAGACTGATAAAATAAAGAAGATTTGATTAGATCCTTTAACTACACTCTGAAATTTGTGCATCATTTCTTCTGTGTCATCGATTATAACTCTACCACATCAATATACAAAAACCAAGAATGATAGGGTTGTTAACATGAAATTAATCATCACCTTCTAATTTAGATAATTAAAAAAGAATTGCTATCTTTTGTCAAGATTTAATTCCACTATTTTTGGTGGCATGTATATGAAATCTTGTGATGCATAACAATTAAGATTTTTTGTTGCTTATTCAATTTTTTTTAAGTCTCTAGCCAATTTGAATACCACAATGTTGGTATGCTATGCTCATGATGGCACCTTATCAGCTCTAAATAAATGGTTTTTAAGCCTATCAATTTATTTTGTGACTATCCATTGGAATTGTTTTGAATTATTCAGGAATTCATATGTGAGAAAGGGATTGGTTTTGTCCGTATTGATGGAACCACGCTTCCAAAAGATCGACAGTCTGCCGTACTATCATTTCAATCATCCAATGGGGTTTGTATTACCTTTTTCTTTGTTTCTATATTCATTTTATTTGTTTGAAAAATATTATTGGATTTTGTTTATTGATCTGTTGGTCATTTGACAATATTGTCAACAATGACCAATTTTAAACACTTTGATAGGATCTTATTGCATAGCTCATGAAGCTTGAAATCTGTACATTCCCAAAGTGTTTATGGTGCTAGAAGATTTTCTTTGTCGCTGATGTTATGTCTCCCTTTTTATTGACAATCTCTTTGTTGACTTAGGTTTATATGTCAGAATTTAGATATAGTGGAAAGACTCCTTTCATTTAACATTTTATTTTGTAACCTGAGATGTTTATGTCAATTGCCAATTCATCCATACAACAATTTTCATGTTCTGTATCTCCTTCGATTCTTATAAGTACTGGCAAAAAATGAACATAGATCAACGTGTCGAATGTAACTGTGCCCTACATCTTTTTTCAGTATTGCAGACATTACTAAAGAGTCCATTTTCCAAATTTGCAGCCTAGTTATTTTTACCTGGATTTATACTGACCTTATCAAGCCTCACTTCAGGTCAAAATTGCAATAATTGGTATAACTGCGGGGGGTGTTGGACTTGATTTTTCATCGGCACAAAATGTTGTGTTTTTGGAGTTGCCTCAGTCACCATCGTTGATGCTTCAGGTTTATACATATCAAAATTGCTCAGTTTTGTTGCTCTAGTCTTATTGAAATATTGGGTGCACTGAATTTTAAGTGTAGAATGGAGTCAAATGTTTAATTTAAATATTTAGAGGTTGAGTTTCAAATTTGTAAGTCAACAATTTATGTTAACAAGATTGTTTTGTCAATATTGTTTTTATTATTGCCTTTTGGAGCTCCAGACTTCTCTAGTCCTATTTTGGATTACTAACTTGCTTGTTATTCTCTCTGCTTTTTCCATTTTGGACCAATGTTTTTGCTTTTCCAATTTATTTTTTATTTTTTATTTTTTAAAGACTGCAAAATGAAATGTTTACATTTTAATTTTTCTAATGAATGAAGGAAGAGTACAGATTCATAAAGCATATATGCATATGGAAAAAAATTAGAGTAAATGTTTTATAGAACAGTTATGCTGTAGGCATTGCTTGCTAGTTAATTGGATCGGATAACAGTCACAGCTAAGTGAACAGCAAAAGTGAAGATATTCATCAAAATGTAACTCGATTAAAGTGTCAGTCAAAGAAGCAAAATAGTTTATCCTTTTTGCTGCATTTTTCTGCATCCTTACATCCAATGTGATTTCATTCGAGAAAAAGAGACAGACAGAGAAAGCCAGATTCTAGAACATACAATCTTCTTTGACCTTTGATTATGGTCTCCTTCATCCCTGAAACAAAAATAACAATGCTGGGGCAGTGATAATGAAAGATTTAAATAATATAAAGGTTGCAGTAATTGGATTTCTATATCTGTATTTCCTGTGCACTCTCTTCAGGAAAGAGGGGAAGGGGGGGTGAGAGATAGAAAAGCTCTTACATTCTTTTATTGGTTTCTCATGTATTAATCCTTATTTCACTAAAGTACCTACCTTCCCCAGAGTGCTATATATACATACATAATGCATGTTAAATTTGATCAATTGTCTTCCCCTATCCATCCATGTCTTTTAAAGGCTGAGGATAGAGCTCACAGACGAGGGCAGACAAGTGCGGTCAACATTTACATCTTCCTTGCAAAGGTGTGCATATTTTATGGCAAAGATTTCTTCAAATTTGTCAATAGTTATTAATCTTTGATGTGATTTATAGTTTTCTCATACTACAGGATACCATGGATGAATCATATTGGCAAAGTCTAAACAAGAGTCTGCACCGTGTTTCATCTACAACAAATGGAAAATATGATGCGATGCAAGAGATAGAAGTATCTACTCTCTCTCTGCTCCCACAGCTACCCCTAAAAATAAGTGTCAACTTCCAATATGTGGACTATTCTTTAAAAGATTGTGTTTAAAATTAATTTCTTAGTGGTATAGATGGCACAGAATTTAAGTTCTTTCTTAAAATGAGAAGTACGGGAAAGATGGAGCCATGTAATATTGTTTTGTTGCACCATTTTATGTTGTCTCTACTGATTCAGAGATAGCTATCCACATTCAGATAATTGAAAGGATATGTTAGGGATTATGTGATTTATTTAAGGCTTTTTTCTGTTATTGCTGCAATTACCTGTTCTGCACATCTTTATGTATAGTGGTGGTTGTTGAGAATTGTTGTATGTAATAGATTGCACTCTAGAGTACTTTAGCCTTAAATAGCTAAAGGCTCTTTGTTAATATTATGCTGTTGATGGTTATTTATTAGTATGGCTTTCAGTCTCTGCCACAGCTAGATTTGTTTTAAAACTTCACTTGACTGGCATGTTGTTTTGCCAGCTGAAGATTTTGCTTAAAAATCGTTTTTTCCTTCCATGCTGACAATGATGTGTGTATGCATGTGTATGTTTGATAAAGTATATGACTTCTTTTCAATGGTTTGTTTTGTCTAGCAGGGCATCTTATGGTTTCAGAATTTTTCTAAAAGATTTAACTCTATTCTTCTGGTTTGGTAGGTTGAAGGCATTTCTTATCTAGTAACACCTGATGGAAGTTGTAAACGTAAAATTTTGAGGAAAGCAGCACCCGGCAAACTCTCACTGGATTTAGAGAAAATGCAAGATTCTGAATGCTTCCTGGATATGCAACTTTCAGAAGCATCTACTGATGCAACTGTTCAAATGAATGATGAATCTGTTGGAATTAATCAAAATTATGACAGCTACCTTCATAATGATGTATAGCTTTAACATTATTAGAATTAATAAGTTCTTTTTACTACTTTATTTAATAGAAGGAGCTCCACTGGCATGGTTAACCTGCATATCTGAGCTTCCGCAAACCAAGCACATGCGAAGATACCTAGTTACCCACTTACCTAGCCCTATGGGATAAAATTTTCTCCCCTTTTCTTATCTTGTTCTTCTGCTATTTTCCTGATGAAGAGACTTAATTTTTCTTGTTTCTCTTTCACTTTGAGCGATTTGCCTCTTTATATATACTAACTAATACTGATTTTATTGTTATAATAGGGTGGTATGGTTCCTGATCTACTAATAAACAAAGATCTTGTGTGCATGGGAGACAAAAACGAATTGCATCCTTCTGCAGCTGAGATTGGAATTTGTGAAATAGCTCCTCCTTTGGAAATGAATAAGATAAATAAAGATTGTGATCCTTTGCCAAAGGTACTAATTGGAAATTTTGCTTCCAGTACAGCAAAAATTTCACTTTTCTTTGGATTGTGGCTTAAAAATAATTAATTTGAAGTTGAAGCATAACAATGCAGGGACAAACAATCACAGCAGATGATGGTGTGTCAATTCGACTATTAGAAGATGAATGTTGTTCTAATCAAGTCAATTCTCTGCGGTTTGAGGTAAACAAAAGTATACCTGATTGTAGATTCTACTTTATTTGCATTAAGCAACGCTTTCTACTTGTTTGGTCTCCCTGTGCAATGGAGAGCAAATCTCTGTATTTCAAATTGTTGCCTTTGAGTGGTGTTTTGGTAAACCTGTAAACTGACCAACCTAAGATCATTGTTTAGATCAATATGGGGACTTGTTTCCTGTTAATATTATATAGTCTATGGGATTACAAAGTTTATCCTAGACTTCAAATGCTAAACCTTATGAGTTATGACCATACAAGATTTAGACATGAGCTTCAAGTTGTTTATTAAAAATTCTTTTAGAAGGTATGCTGTAAAATTCATAGTTTTATCATAGTATGAAGGATTATAATAGCAGCCCTATTCAAGATGTCAAGAAAGGAACCAAGCCAAGCTGGACCAAAAAATTAGTTGCTGATTTGCAGAGATAAAATATTAGTAAATCCTAGTTTTCTGAAAACTGTACATTGGAACCTTTTTAATCTTCGGCTTAGGTGATGTATAATTAGACATGGAGAGTGGTTGGGTTTTCTGTTTAGTACAATTTCAGGCTGGGTTCAAATTTGACTGATGGTCAATGAACACTCCTCTTTGGTTTCTGCTGCTTGTTTAAATACATAGCTCCAAGACTTGACATTAGTGATTGATTCCTCCTGCAGCAGAACTTTACTCTCTCTTTCTTGGTTACATCACCTCCTTTTCTTGAGCTGAATCTTCTTCCTATAGTTTATAATAGGTCAATGACATTTATAATGCCATAAAGTATTTTCAAAAGCATCAAATCCTTCTGGGATTATAGAGTTTTTAGTGGAGCTGTTTTCCCCGAGATGTGAATTTTCCAGTGCATTCGCTATTATATTTGCCCTTGACCACAAAATTTATTCCAAAGCTTGTGTCTCTTATGTGCTTTAATTGACAAAAGGAGTGACAAATGGCATAGTTTTGAAGGAGTATGGTTTACTTGTTCAAACAAACACAACTCTTGCAGACACACATACACTTGCATGTGGATAACTAGATTGAATACATATGATTACCTTTTTAGTCATTAAACTCTCTTTGACTTTTGTTCCCTTTTCCTTATTAATCCTGCACAAAATTATTCCTAGAGCTCTAGGAAAACCCATCTCTTTCTAGAGATAAAACATATCACTTGAAAATTTCTCGTTTCTCTTGAACGAAGGGTTGAATCGAGGTCTTAACAATAATGAAAATGTAAGTGATCAGCTGGTTACTTTTAGTGACAGTCCAAGAACTACGATAAGCAATCTAATGGTTTTTTCCATCATTAATATTCTACTTGTACTGTGTAGGTAAGCCAGTATACTGGAAGAATCCACCTGTATTCTTGCATCCCTGGGACAGATTTGAGACCAAGGCCTCTTTTTCAGAATTTCCGACCAGAGGAAATTGAGTCAGCAGATGCTCTTGCCAGTGGTAATAAAGAAACAGTTTCCAAGTATTTCAAGGACAACCCAGCCTATAGGCATGCTCTTTGGGCCTTCATTAACGACTGGAATAAACTAAGACCCATTGAACATAGAAAATTAAGTGGAAAGCCTTTGCAACTCCCTTTATCTGTTGAATTATGGTACTTGAAGGAAAGCATAAACCATGATCGTGGGGTAAGTTTGAATGAGCATGTATTCTGTCCTTGGAAATATAATGCATTATGAATGATTTAAGGTGTTGCTTTTTAATTCCATTGCAGGGACTGCTGAAAGCTGGAAGCAAGCGGCGCACTACACCTTTGTGTGAGATAAGCATTTCATTACCTCCAAATGCTGTGTGGAAAAAGGTCCATCTACGGGGTAGTTGTGGTAAAAAGGAGAGAGAGTACACTCAAGGTTGGACCCTGACTGATGAACCTCTCTGTAAACTCTGCCAAAAACCATGCAAGTAAGAACCAATTAGTCTTCTTTTGCTTTACCATTTTTCACATATGTCACTGGCTTTCTTTGGCTTCAGGGGAAGAAGTGCCAAGACACCTGAATATTTTGAGGATCTTTTCTGTAATCTTGGCTGCTATGAAGAATACCGCCTAAGAACTAGCAACAGATCCATCCGCCAGGTCTGGGCATAATGTTTCTTTATTTTTTGACCTCTACATCTTTCAGTTTTTTTTTTTTTTTTTGGGTGCATGCTTGGTTTGACAACTCAAGATTTCCAGGAACTTTTCCAAATTGAGCATGGTATCTGCTCAAATTGCCAATTAGACTGCCATCAACTTGTGAAGCACTTAAAACCTTTATCGTCAGAGAGGCGGCGGGAGTATATTGCAAAAGTAGCACCAAAGATTGCAAGTCAGAAGAGTTTGTATGTCAATCAGGATAAGTTGCTGGTGCTATTTCCTAATTACTGCAGAATACTCTGTAATGGAAAATTATGCAATTATGGTTTTGAGTTTTTAATGCAAAGAAGTCTGCTAGACATCCAGTATTGAGCAATTTGTTGGCACATGACCACATAAGTCATACTGATTGGTGCTTTCCAGATTAATTTATTTTCTAGGAACCAATTTCCTGGGTTGTGTTCTGCAGGGTTGACAAGCTTGTTAGTGATCCTTCCGAGGGTAATGTGTGGCATGCAGATCACATCGTTCCTGTTTACAGAGGGGGAGGTATGTTATCGTTCAAAAACATCCTCTTTCTAAGACTTTCCTGTCTTGACGATGTTGTAATTTTTCCTGTTCTATTACTATGCTGTTAAATTGAGCATGGTTTCGTTTCTCATACAGTACACAAATTTTCTGCAGGTGAATGCAGGCTAGAGAATATGAGGACTCTTTGCGTGGCCTGTCATGCCGATGTTACTGCAGTACAATGTGCTGAACGAAGCTCAATGAGGATCAAAGCAAAGAAAAACCTTAAAGCCATCATGAGTGACCTAAGAAATGTTGGGAATATAGAAAAGAATGCTTCTCGCAGAAAGGTATACAGCAAGGGTGAACAGTGCACACTGTTTTTAGAGCTGTTCATTTCTATATCATACGATGGTCCAACCAGAAAAAAATAAAAAATAGAAGTTTGTTATATGGTTATGATTATAGTCAGAAATTCCATACGTTTAGATTTTATGTATTTACAATTTGGTTATGGTTTACAAAGTGGTAACATCTTAATTGGTTTCAGGATCAAGGACCCTCAGAGATAATAGAGGACATAACTGATGATGAACTTCTAGTCAATGTTCCTGGAAGTGCCTATACTGGAGGAAAAAGCGGCAGCCCTCAAATGAAGGATTTGAAGGATTGCCCAACACCTTAATGATCAGACTTACAGTGAAGAAGCATCTGCATGTTATCCTATGGTGTATTGGATTGTCACTTGAACTCATCCCACCTATATGTTGTGTAACCTTGCACAACACAAACTTCCAAGAAAGGTATGTATCCGAAACATTTGTTAATTGGCTTTTATAGTCCTGCTGGCTGATTAAAATCTCTAAATTCTCAGTGTCTACCTGGCAATCTCAAGGGGAATAGTTGTTAGAAAATACTAGCCCGTCATGTTATTGTGGGAAATATATACTCTGTAAAATGGCTTTCATGTTCAGATGACTGCAATCCATTAATTTTGTTTCCTTTTTTTTTTGGCATTTTTGATACATTCTAGTATCTAATAGTAATGGTGCTATATTCTTTTCTTTTTTTTGGTAAATTCAGTGATGATGCCACTTCCAAGATCCTGAACCAGAAGTGCATAAATTTGGAAGCAGCCTTATGTATGTATGTGCATGTAGATATGGTGTGCAATCCTGAATTTTTTAAGAAATCCTTTGGATAGGAAGTATATAAACCTGTTGGAGCAACCTACAAGTATCATCTGGATTTCTGTTGCCCACATTTTCTTCTTACTTGGAAGCCAACAAGGTAGACCTTATGCTGGAGAAAGTGGCAGACGAGAGACCTAGTTGTTTGCACTCTGAACTCTGGCCTTTCTATTAAGATTATCTTCTAACCAATCCAATTATCTCGATCAGAAATTGATATCACATAATTATCAATTGTTTTCTGATTGAAGTGTTTTTCAACTTTATAGATTTGCAACAATTAAGATTATTTATTAGTATTATTCAATTTATAAATTTATTTGTTCAATTCAACTGTATAATTCACCTCTAAAACTAAAACAAATTCTTTTTCAGAAAAAAAGGTTAATTACACCCTTAGTATTTAAATTATAAGAATATGTTTAATTCCAAACTAACATAATCACTAAAATCTGATTTAAGTGGAATTATTTATTAAAAATGTATCATGAACCGAATCACCTAATAAAAAAAACACTTTTAGGCGTAGTTAATTATGGGGAAGTATAATGACCCACACTTCATCAATTGAGTTTATTGATGGATTGAAGGGATAATCTATGAAGAATCACCATGTTTCAATCTTCACAACGATTATATGCATATAAATAAAACGTAACAAACTAATATGCTTACTCAACAATGTGTGCATGGTAGTAACATCATTCACATCTCTGCGTTCACTGCTATACCATTGGCTATGGCATCCAACCTATTATGACCATTAGAGCATCAAACTGATTTGTTAAAACCTACACTCCCTCACTTTCCACAAGGTAAATATGTTTGCCCTTCTTTCCTGCTTCTCTCAGAATAAAAAAGAACATCACATTGTAGAGCATGTAAACTTCAATGATCTCGTAGTGTTGGACCATCAAGCATTTGGCCGTCAGTACTTTACAACTCAGCCCCATGGAATGCATGATACAGGAAAAACTTATAAAACTTCAGTGTAACTTCAGCCAACAAGTGTTGACGATAGATAAAAGGAAAGCCTGTCCATTGTAACATATGCTAGCTTCCTAAACCAATGGTTACTGCATTCTTAACTCATAACTCAGATCTAACATATGACACACATACGAAGCCAGTAAACCATGCTGACACATAATTACAAGATGAGTCAAAGTTTAGTTTCAAAAGAACTACCTTTTTACTCTTTTTCCAAACTAAAATGTTGCGAAAAGAATTCGCATCACAACTGGCTTGGAGGAAGCCTAGTGATCAGTGATTATGATCAAAATCTTCTTAAACTGTAGCAGATTTCTGCAAAGCATCTGCTGGAGCACAAAAAGAGTCTCTATTGCAATATTTAGTTATATGACCTCCCGAAATTTCAGCTGCAAAGCCAATTAATGCCAAATATGATGAGAAGAATTTCATGGTGGTTACCTCACACTTCACCACCCATATTGGTGATCCCAACTGAAAAGAAATGCTCTGCTCTGTCAATGAAGCTGCTAGGAAATCTACAGTATAACATTATTGAAGTCCCTAAAACTGGTAGGTTTTGTTTAGTAATTGTTTCCTCACAAGTTTTTGTTAATCTGCTATCTCTTTGGTTTCTCATCTTGCCAACTCTGATGGTGTTTCCTAAAGCACTGCCCTTGCCCCCAGAGACCCTTGTGCTTCTGGCAATGTTACGACTGGATCTTATAGGAATGTCCCCATGAGATCTTTTAAAATCACCCTGCTGGTTACACTCACTAGAATCCTCTCCTGATAGATTTTCTGCATTTGAATTGGATCTGACTGTTGGTAAGATATTTCTGCAAGATCTTAGCAAGGAAAGTAGCATATCCATACTGAGCTCCTGCTGAACTACACCCTTATTCTGTTCACAACCGTAACAGGCAGCAAGAAGCGTCCCTGCCAAGACTGGCATCAAATCTGGGTCACTGAAGAACACGAACGGCAGATCACACACCTGTGTCCTTCCAGCTCAACAGTTAGCTTTCTCAAGTAACATCTAAAGAAATGAGAAATCAAAACAATGTAGGATAAACTGACCTTGTGAAGTATTGTGGGACTTTTACCCCATCGAAGAACAGCTTGATTCCCAGGGTGGAACAAGGCAAAGTAACCAAGAAGCAGCATAGATTCAAGGAGAAGCAAACCAATCTGAGAAAAAACTGACAGCAGATGTCAAGGATATGATCTTTAAGACTCAGTTGATTTCTTTGGTGCAGTATGATTCCTTATGTATAAATTTGAATTCATGAATGCATTTACAGAAAGATCCCCAATATACAGATAGTTACATTTTTTAAAATGTTAATCATCAATTAAATATATGGCTTGCACCCGAGCATTTAGCTCATTCATTGGTGGATGATCCTCCTGCCTAAAGGACAGGGTTCAAATCCCCCCTCCTCCAATTATAAAAAAAATTAAATATATGGCTTGTTGATATTGTCCACAACTTTGAAATTTATACAGGTCGTTTTTATGACTCCTGCCATTTCTGCATGCATCAGAAACTAGTGAAGTGCAGAAAATCACCTGATCATTAGGTGCTTTCCATTTGCTCGTGCAATAAGAAAGAAGGAAACTCATCAAGTGGAAAAACTCCATTTTCAGGTCTGGCCTAGCCTGAAGGATGTTCACGGGATAAAAAAGGGACCAAATCAGTTCAAAAAAGATATTCTTCAAAAAACATCAAAATCAGCATAGAATCATAGAGTTAAACTTGAGAAGCCACTTATCATCAGAATGCAACCAACAGCCAACACAATGCATGAAATTTACCCACCAGCATTCTCTGCATAAATGTAATATCCAGTAGAGCCAAATTGTTCAGAACCTTTAGCACTCCAGTTGCCACCTCTTCAAAATTAGATGGAAGGGCATTTGAAGCCTGAAACAGATCAATAATAGTTCAACCTATTAATTAGCCAAAATAGAATCTTTGGCAATTTGCGATGTTAGTAGAAGGTTCTTTCGTAGAACCACCACAAAGTAAGCATTTTTCCACCAAGTGGGTCGGTTTTAAGAATATTCACCTTTTTATCCATTCAAAACTGTATCCTTAATAAGCCTCCTGAATATAGATAATTCATAATACAATGATTTAGAATTAGGATTGTAAATGAACTATGTGCTTGTCAAACGGCTCGTAAACGAGCTTGGGTTAAGCTTTTTTATATTCGATTGTTCAATTAAATGAACAAGATCTTAAGGCTTGTTTGATAAATGAACCGAGTTGGAACATTAGCAAGCCCAGGTCATTTATGTTCACAAACAGGCACGATAAGCTGTTCGCGAATAAGCTCAATAAAAAAGCTTGGTAAAAGCTCAATAATAACGTGTTTACTCTAGTCAAGTGGATTAATTTTAGCTTTAATACCTTTTAACACAATTCAAATCATGATGTAAGATCTATATCACTGAAAAGTATGCAAAAGATTGAAATCCTCCATCGTTTTTGAAAATAATAATTTTGTGATAAAACTTCATGTGCTTAAAGATGGAATCATAATAAGTTTTAAAACATGGGGAAAAAGAAGAAAACTTCTCTTACCAATCTCTTATGAGTCAATCCCACATTGATGGGCGATACAAGGTAGAGAAGGAGGCTGTATGTACAAATAAGCCCCCCTTGCACGTTTTTCCATCCATGGTTCTAAGTGCAGCATGCAACACAAAATATTAAGGGCCAATGGATCCTTGATATTGCGGCTACTATTTGTAAGCTATGGTAGGTTGGCAGCCAGAATTATTTAACTTTTAAATTTAAAATTTTTAGGGTTTGCAGTTATTTATAATGGCTGAAGCTAAGAGCTTGATAAGGGCTCATGTTCAACTAAAAGCTCAATTAACTAAGCTGAGTAAGTTTAAACAAAATTTTTGAAGCTAGGGCTCATTTAAATCTAACTGAACCAAGCCCAAACAATGTGATACCATGGCTGCAAAGAACCAAGCATCACCTTGTTCAAGCTCAGCTTAGTTAGATTTAAATGAGCTCAAATAGTTATCAAGCTCAAGCCTAGTTTCAAAAATTTTGCAAACTAGACTCAAATTAATTAATTGAGCTTTGAGTTGAATATGAGCCCTAACCAAGCTATCAGCTTAAATTGCTTCAAACCCCAAAAATTTTAAATTTGGAAGTTAAATAATTAAGGCCACCAACCTACCATAGACTCCCAATAGTAGCCCTGATATCAGGGAACCAACTCACTCTTAATATTTGGTGTCGCGTGCAACACCTAGAACCATGAATGGAAAAATGTGTTCAAGAAGGGGCTTATTTATGTATGCAGCCTCTCTCTTCATCTTGTTTTGGTGTTGCATGCAACACCTAGAACCATGAATGGAAAAATGTGTTCAAGGAGGGGCTTATTTATATATGCAGCCTCTCTCTTCATCTTGTTTTGCCCATCAAGGTGGGATTGACTAGAAGAGACTCGTAAGAGTAGTTTTCTTGTCTTTTACCATGCCTTAAAACTTAATATGACTCCATCTTTAAGCATATAAAATTTATTACAAATGATCATTTAAAAAAAAATAAGGGTGATTTTTAATCTATCTATGCATATTCTTTAATGATTTAAATTCTGTTCAAAGATATTAAAGGTAAAATTAATCCACCTGACAAGAATAAAACAAATTATTATCGAGGTTTACTAAGCTTGTTCACGAACGGATTATCAAGCTTGTTTGTGAACATAAACAAGCCTAGCTTACTAATTATCAAACTTGGTTCGTTTATTAAACGAGCCTTAAACTTGTTCACATTCATTTGTTTAACTTAAAAGTTGAATATAAACAAGCCTAGACCAAGCTTGTTCACAAGCCCTTCGAAAAACACTTGGTTCATTTACATCTGATACTCAACTAGGCTCAGTTCATTTACAGCTCTGTTGTAAAATTAATAAAATGAGGTCACATCTAACCATAAACAGATAGAGAGTGATAAAAATGGCTCAAACCAAAATTAATTTTCAGAATGAGCAGCTATGTATTGCATTGGCCATGTAGTTCAGTACTAGCATGATTTCTTTTCAGTGCTCAAGAACTATTGTGCAAAAGACAATATACTAAAAATAACATGAGCAGATGCAAAAATTTAGAACAGAATCCACAAAACACTAGTGTTGCTGAGGCCAAGTTAATATTAAGGCACACTAAATGATCACAGAATCAGGATAAATGATAACGGGACCAAAAAAGTGCTGAAGTGGTGGAAGTTTAAATGATTCCATAAAACAACCTTGTTCAATTTCATGCCATAAAATAAAAATTAAAAAAAAAAAAAACTTTTCAAGAGGCGGCAAAGTCACCTGATCAGAAGATAACCTATTGTTTGCTTGAAGTAGCACACTCGTCAACAGAGAAGGAAGACTGACTAATCCACTTTCAGATATAGCGGAAAGAAGGAATGCCAACGGTTGTTTCAAGCTTGATATGTTTTCATTCAATTTCTCCTCACTGGGAATGATGACGAGTTTCTCTTCCTTCTGCTCAACTAGATTTTTCTGTGATCCATCTGTACCATCTATCCCGGCAGTGCTAACATTATTCAACTGAACTGAACCATCAGTTGTCTTCTTTTCAACATCTTTGCCTATTAATACTAAATTATCATTTTTATTTATTCTACATGATTCATCTAATGGTCTATCCTCGGGTACATCAGACAGCGGTGCAACTGTGCTACCATTTAGTGCAGATAATGAAGGTCTATCATCTCCATTGTTATTAGTTACAAAGGAACATCCACAATCAGGAGTGGCTGCAATCTTAGTTTCTTCACTTGCATTACCCAGTTCCATTTCAATAGGTAAAGATTCCCAATTAATGGAACTATTTCCAGGACTGGATGTCAAAACCACCAGTAGATGGATGCTCAAGAGAATCGATGAAGGGAATGGGGACCCTTCAACCTGGGGCCTATCATACAGTGCAAAAAGATCTCGCAGCCGGTGAATAACTTGGTAGGCAATTAATAACTCCAGCAACCCGTCTCGCATTTGGAGTTGTCGTTCGTCAGAGCTTATGTGACCAATAATCGCAGAGATGGTCCATAAAAAACCATCTAATACTTCAGAGACTGATTCAAAATTTTCTAGTAATGTTTTGCATGATAGTGAGTTGGTGCTTCCAGGGAGATTTAAAGATGCAGCAATCTTTATATAGTTCTCAAGGGCTGCTGACAGCATAGGGATCATAGGAGGTAAAAGATTCTGTGCAAGAAAATAACTCCTGTTCACAGGAGTAGATAACACCACCCTCAGAAGTTTTAAAAGATGTATTGTCACCTGACAAGCTTCAGGCTTTGATGTATGTGAAGCAGGCAGGGCAGAAGCAATAAAATCAAGCAGACCAGCTTGGCGAGAAGCCTGCAGCTCAGGTTCTTTTCCTTCCAAAAACTAATTCAAAAATAAATTTTAATAAGCAATAAATTAGAAAAAGAACATCATTCCCTACACTTCCCACTCCACCCCACACCCTCCACACACACACACACAGAGGAAAAACCATAACCTAGCTAGAACTATTAATTCTATCACCATTTCTATTGGAGTTGCAGCATGAATAAGAAGAGAACTTATGTATAACTACTATTGTAAGAAAGAACAAAGATGATTAAAACAGCATAGAAAGGAAAAGGGCATAAGTAGGGTCAAAACAGATTCGTAAATTGTATACATCTGAGGAAATGGCAAGTGTTAGCTGGTCAAAACCTCTCAACAATCAAAAGAATGCATTAATCAGAGTAATTCTTAAAATGATTGAGAGAAAATATTAGCTGAATCTTACCACTAAAGGGTCCCTCAAAATTCCATAAACATCCACAATATCCTTAAACCAAGCATGAAACATCATAACAATAATAAATACCAAGACTTATAATTTCCTTAAATGGTGGTCTAAAATGATATACCTTGACCATTTCAGCAGTTATTAAGCCTATACTTGAGGCTCCTTCTTTTCTAGCTTGACGAAGTTTCTGAAGTTCCTGAAGCCACCTCCCAATTTTTGCTCTTGCAGTTCCCACAGCTGTTCTATATCCAATTCCAGTATTCTCAGGAGCAGCAGGAGGCTCAGAAAATTCAAATTTTAGAGCCATAAGTCTTTGCCGAATTCTTTTAATCCTTCGCTTCAGTGAGTGTTGCAAAGCACCATTGCCTGTCGAAAGTGCAGAGTTTCCTAAAATAACACTACCATTTGCTTGACAATCGTCACTATTGTTGGTTGGAGTAGATCTGCCCTGACTCTCTTTATTAACAGATCGGCGCAGTAAAGGCGAAGACTGATCCCTGAAATCCATAGAAGCTCTCTCGCGTATTTGTTCAAGGTAAAATTTACGACGTTGCTCACTTTCACTAAGTCTTTCAGCTAATTTCTGTGCTAGAAGTTCAGCTTCCTCTTGCTGAGCTTTCGCTCTTTCCTCCCTCCTCCGAAGCTGCTCTATGGCCCTTGCCTCCCTGGCTGCACTTGATGCCTTCCGTTCTTCTTCCCTCCTAATTTGAGCCTCCTCCTTTTTCCTCTGTGTCTCAGCAAGACGTTGTAACTTTTCAGCTTCAATGAGCTTTCTGCGTTCGAAAACAGCTTCTTCTCTAGCCATATCTTCTTTCTGCTTAGTTTTCATCACTTGAAGTTTTTCAGCTCTCCTCAACTCTGAATCTTGCAGTTTCTGGCGCAACATAAGCTTTTTATTTTCTTCATTTAATGAAGTAATGAAACGAACCTCATTAACTTTACTGCTTTCGTCACCAGCTCTCCTCACAACTTCTGCTAGAAAAGCTTCATGTCGTGATTCACCACGCTGCTGGCGGGCATGCATTCCCTCTCGTAACTTCATAGTCCGAACAGCCTGCCACTCATTGACACGACTCAGTTTCTCTGAGGTGCGCTGAAGTTTTTGAACTCTTTCATTCTCCAACTCACTTCGGATCCTCAAGGCCCGTGCATGCTTTTCCTCTGCTTCCTTCTTCAAATCCAAAGCAGTTTTCTTCTTCTTCTCAGGGGACATTAGTTTTTCATGCAAAATACGTACACGCTCAGCACTTTTTTTACCAACGTTGGGCGAGTGTGATACACGATAAGAAACACGGAAAGGAGATGAAAGTATGTCTTCCCAGTTCCTCTTCTCCTTCCATGCATCCATGGATTTCCATGAAGTAGCATTTCTCTTATCTTTGTCTTTTTCGGAAGGAATTTGCCTCTTCATGTGATCCACACTCTTGGAGTTTTTTTCAACAATATTTTCTATTAATGTTTTATCTTTCCTAGAAAGCAGCTTCTCAGTTTCAGACCCAAGATATTCTCTCTTGCTCTTTCCAGAACCAGACACAGCAGAGCAGTCCTTAAGAAGTGGCCTAGATGAAGCAACGTCAGAAGAGATATAGTTCTTTGTCGGGTCACGACCATTTTGAACAGAGTATAATTTGCTAGACTTGCCTGATTCAATATTTCGTTTCTCTCCATTTAGGTTCCCTTGAGTAAGATCTGAACCTCCACTGAGTTTTCTTGACTTTATCCCTGATTCTTTATCACTGGATGTTACATCAGACAGCATAATTGACTTCCTTGAGTTATCACCAGATGTAGAAGCACGGTCAGACCTGTCCTGCCCCAGAGATTTCTTGCTGTCACCCGGACGTCGTCCAGCTCTTTCTTGTTGAATCTTTTTAAAAGCCTCTAAAGATGAAGACAGTATCTCTGCTCTGTGAGGTGAAGTTGTCATTCTACGAACCTGCATTCAAGATAAAGCATCTATACTGTTCCATATTAGATGGCTAGATGGAATGAAAATGATATTAGAGAACCTCAAAAAGAAATAAATGATTGATTTTGACACAAACTTATATACGTTTTTGTCTGCCAGCATCCTTAATCCACTGCGTGCCATCTTCTAGAACCATGCTCAAACCCTCCCCTTCCTCACCCCCACAAACACACCATTCCTGACCCCCACCCCCAACCCCCCAACAACTCAAGAAGCCTTTTTTTTATTAATTTCTTCTAAACTTTGTCTAATAGGCATATGTAACAAAAGACAAAAAGGACCCTAAGTATATATGAAATGGAAAGGTGCGCATCCAGCAATTTAAGTTCTCACAGATGTAAAATGCAGGATTGAGGGTTCTTCTAATGGTATGACATAAATTGAGATTCTGATTAAAAGCCAAACAATTATATGATAAAAACAAAACAAGCCAAGCATCCTTACCTCCCATGAGAGAGCATGTGGCCTTCGATGGTCACTCCTTAAAGTAATTGGCACACCGTCAACCACTTGAGAAGAGGACTTCTTCACATTCTCAAATTCTTCCACTCTTGTAGTTAATTCTTTAAAGTCAGAAGCAGCCTCTTCGAGAACAAGAATGGCCTCTTTCATCTGCTCCAGATCACATTCTAGTTCACAAAGAAGATAAAGTTCATCCACTGCCCTGTTAAGGTTCTCAAATAGGAAGCACCAAAGCCGTTCCCTAAACCTTTCTTTGCTTTCTCCTGCATCACCTTCTCCAAGAGCAGTTATAATCTGAGCTTTTGACAGATCACCAGGTATTCTACCATCCTGCATACAATCTGTCATAATTGATTCTCTCAGAGTTTCAGGTCCACTGTTCTCAGGTGGAAGTGACACTCCATCCAGGGAAACCATCTCTGTGCTTGAACCACCATCTACAAGAGATGCTTCTGATATTTTTGGCTTGCCGACCTCCAACATGACATCAGGCACCTCAAGTATCACTGCTGGTCCAGAGGCTTGACAAGATAGGAAGCTAGAATCTACTTGATTATCATTTATTTGTTTGATGTGTTCAGAATGTATTTCGTTGTAACCATCATCCTCAGAAATTATTTTGTCATTGTCATTCTGTGCTTCCAAAGCCTCTGAAGATATTTCACATGCCTCTTTAAAGGTTTCTTCCATTGTTTCATCCTTAGGAGTCAATGGAGATATCTGACAAGAATGACTATCTACATCCATGGATGCTTCTACGGTGTTTTCTTGGAGGTTAGTACAAGAACTACATGAAAGTGAGTTACAAGTATTGTCATGCTTCCTACAGCCTACCACATTATCATCTCCAATATCACCGAACTTGATTTCAGCTCCAATGTTGTTTTCATGATGTGCTACCAGAACATCATCTTCTAAATCACCCCACTTGATTTTGTGAACAATATGGGGTTTATCCTTTGATAAAATTTTTTGGTTATCTGCACAACTACCATTAGAATTTTTAACAAAAAAAGAAGGGGACATGGGGCCTTCATGGTCTTGCTTAACAACACATTTATCAAGATAACACACATCCTTTTTATCCTCATTTGACTCAGCTGTAGACTTTTCAAGACCACCCCAGCTATGTACATCTGAATTTCTTCCAGATGTTTGAAGCTGAGATCTGCATTTTCCTTGCACAATTCCACCCTTCTCATATGACGAAGGCTGACCTCTAATCAAATTATTAGCATTTTTTGCTGAAAATCCCCCAACCCAGCTTTGTACAGAAAACTTTGAGCTGCTTCTGTGCTTCTGAGAATGAAATAAGAAAAAGTTACAATTACAGCAACACGACACTGGCACATAATCAAAAGAACATTTAACATTTTAATACATCAATATCATTATGCCACTTCTTGAATAGTATACTGCTGTGGATTACCAACATGACATATGAGAGAAACATTGACAGTGGACAATAAAATACTCATGTAGTAGTCTTAGGAGACACATTAGAATAGCAAAGCAATTTTTTAAGCAAAATTTTAGTTAACTCAAGAGACCTCCATGTAAGTGGTGCCATGTAGAAGGACTAGGTGGCAATATCAGAGAAGCAAGACCCAGAATCCCTTTATGCGAGAAATACCAACAACATAACACTGACAATCTCACATCAAGCACGAAGTTAAGAAAAATGAGGCCTTGGGTTGCAATGAAAGGCACTACATGGTCAAGATGAACACCTCCAACAAAGCAATGTTTCCTAACTTTTTGAGTGAATGACTAAAATTTTTAGTCTGAGACTCCCAGTCTATTTGTTAACAAAATTATTCCCCAGCCAATCTTTGTTGTTGGAATCATACTTCATTTAGATAGATACTTAGGAACACATTGCCCTCAATCTGGTAGACCCAAATAATTTGTAATTAAACAATTTGATTCCCCCAGCTATTTTAAGAAGAATTTACTTATGAATTAGTAACAATAGAAAGTGCACTTCACTCATAATCTAACTTTATGTCCATCATTAACTCAGCAATCAGCATAGAAGGTACTCTAATAAATTTCTTTACATTTGCTTAGCTGCCGAGAAAAGTACAGCAATTTCCAAACTTTCATTTTTCATACTAAAATAAATAAATTTCAGTCAGCTAAGCTCAAAGCAGCGATCAAGTTTAATTAAGCCAATAATCAAAACACAAAAAAAAAAATCCCTTTCCCCCATTTTTCATTTTTCAACTTTGAAGCAACCAAAAAAGATCATAAACATAAACTGCAACAAAAATCACCAAATTATGAATAACGTGAATGGGTATTAAATAAAGATTCACTAAGAAAGAAGACCTTTTTCACTTCAAGCCATCCCGAGCCTTGATCATCCACTGCTTCTTCACTGTTCTCCATCATCTCCAAGCAATAAAAACCCAAAGTACCCACTCAAAATAAGTAATTTACAATATAAAAGAGGAATATAAGTTATCATCAGAAAAACCTCATTTTACAACAGAAGAAAAATAGTAAAAAAATTCCTCTAATTTGTACGGCAAAATGGAAAGTGTGTTAATCATACACGATCAACATGATCAAAATCAAATTGGGCAATTAACAATTTTAAAAATACTTGGATGATTGAAGATGTAAGGAGAAAAACAATCCAAATGTGATGAATTGCTATATTGAGCAAATTAGAAAAAGAAAATGAAGTCTTTCCAGTATTTATAGGGGAAATGCCAGCTCTGAATTCCAAATTACGTTTCTGGTAAATGGAATTTTCAAGAGAAAATATGGGTAATTGTGAAAAAGACTCCAATCTTTGAAGAAAAGTTTTGGTTTTTGATGAAATGGGGAATTTTCAAGGAGTTTTTATCCTTCTTTTTGATATGGGGAAAGAAGGGAAAGAAGAGAAGAGAAGAGAACGGAAAGTAGGAGAGTGGGCTTTTATATCAAAGAAGAAAGCGGGGTAGAAGTGCATTGTTACTGATCTATCCTTAGTTTTTCTTCCTAAAGACAGATATATCCCCATATGCAATTTAACCTCTTTTTTTTTGTACTTTCTTTTTAAAACAAATTATCTGTTGCACCAAGTGCTAACAGTGAAGAAAATTTCCATTAAAAATATTTATAATAAAATGAGAGCATATTACTATGCAAAGAGAAAATCAAAAGTGTTGCACAATATAAATTACCCAAAAACAAAACAAAAAAAAAAAAGAAGTGTAGGTAGATGCTAAATAGTATGTGAAAATACATCCAAATATTGAGCTAAGGGAAGACTTTAGGTGAGGGCAATGAACCATTGATGGGGTAAACATGTTCTTCACTACCAACAAGAATGCTGAAAATGGTGCTGCTATTTTGGCCTTCTTCCTAAATGTCTATGGCATCTTTAAAGAGACAAAGGACAATTCATTAGATGGAACAGAAAATAAATAGAAAGTATGGTAGGAGGAAACACAAAGTAGAAGAAAAGAAAAACAACTACCATTTCCATTTCCATGTGATAAAAAGATATGCCTGCCTGCCTCCTTACCTAACTGCTTAAATACTCTCCAAAAAACCTATTTTCTTGATTTATACTAGTAGCTTATAGTTATTGTTATGAACACCAAATTCCCCTTATAGAAAGCCCAAAATAAAGAGAACAAAAAAAAAAATTAAATATGATAAATTTGCTGATGAGTGAAAATCATGGGTTATGATTTAGAATTCAAGTCAAAAGAGAAGCTTATTTGGTGGGGAGTCACAATATAAAGTATAATATTTAAAAAGCTTTTTAATTATTTTTTAAAAAAATTATTTTTTTAAAATTTAATTAAATTTTTATATATTTTTATAATTATTAGTTAATTAATCATTGTTAGTCAAAATATCACTTTTTATTTTATATGACATATTAACATGTTATATAAATGATGACATGACATATTTATATGAGATGATTTTATGATTATATGATTTTTTACTATTCATATTAATATCAAGTCAACCTTGTATATAATAATAAATAATATTTTTAATTAAATATACATATTTGATTAAATAAATAACAACAATAATTTTAAAGAAATTAATCTTCAAAATAGACTTTCTTCTGTTTTTTAACTTCAAGATTGATAATCCAAAAGTCACGAGAAAAATCAAAGAAAAATCGGTGATCTTGACTTTATTGGACCAACTTCTCAGTAATGGCACAAAGGCTTTCTCAAGGGTAAGCCATAAAATATCAGATGGTTTAGGTATTGACATTATCAAGTGTTGCTTCAAAGTCGGTGAGATTTTTGTTTTTGTTTTGTATTTTATTTTGGGGTGGGTGAGATTTCATCTTTCGTTTTTTTTCTTTTTCCGTTTAATTAACATCACACGTCACACATGATTGGTTCACTTCCTACAATGAAACATATTTGTAGCAAACATATACCTTAATTTTAACATGATTTGGACATGAATTTTATTTTATTTTTCTAATTTAATTCTATATATTAAATTTTTATCATCTAAAGTATGAAAAATAATGCAATCGGCCGTTACTCAATTGCTAATCTTGGTAACGTTAGCTTTCATCAAAATTAATCCCCAAATATCACAATCTGTTAAAGTAAAAAAATAAATATAAACACTCAACAGATAACTAGCATCTCTTTATTTGAGTTGAGTAAGCTACAAAATATTTAAATTAAATTATTGCAGACAATGATTTGAAATCAAAATTGGATAAGCTAATATTCAAAAACATATATTTGTTTCAAAAACCGAATATCATGATAATAAAACTAAACAAAAATCACTCGAAAGTATACATATTTGTAAAAGTAAAAATACATATATCAAACAAAACCATGTTCCAAATTAAAAGTAAATATATTATATATTTTACATACTTAACCTAATTCAATAAACCAAATAAAAAAAACATTATACATAAACTCATATTGAAGTTGATTTTGAAAATATAAAACCACAAAAAGAGACTCAAATCATTAATCTAAGTCATACAAGGACATGGAATGTGCCCTTTCCAAAACTAATTCGTACAATAAGTATAGGTTTATGGGCTTTAGCCCAAATACCCAACTTTAATTAATTTTGGGCTTTTGGACCGGATCTTGCAATATTTAAATGTTCTTATTTGTTTTTAAGGTTTCATTTTATTTCTATTTTTAATTTTTAAAAAAATATTATAAAGTAAAAGATTAAGAGAAAAATGATATCTTCATAGATTTAAAACAAAAAATAATTAAAATGTAATATCAATTATAATAAAACCTATTTGTATGAAATTTTTTTTTGACATTTTGTTATCTAAAATATTACATATTTTATACGAGTTTTAAATTCAATTACATTTTTTACTTTTTATTTACTTCTAAAAGTTGAAAATAAATAATAAAAACATCAACTAAATGAAACCTAACTCTCTCTCTCTCTCTATATATATATACATATATATATATCTTGTCATAAGGTACCATGAGTTATAATTTAAGTCTAATGTTCACAAACGTAAGAAGTTCATCATCTAAGGGCCCAAGGGCTTAAAATTATTAAATTTTCTATCTAAAACTTAATTCAATATTATAAAAAGAAAAAATTCGAATCCCAAATTGGTAATGCCAAAGTAGTTTTTCATTTTCAATTTTTACATGTGAAAATTTATTAACTTTTTCTTTTGTGTTGAAAATATAAAAGTTACTGGTTATACCGTATTTAATAAATCTTTTATTTTAGATATTAATTATTAATTATCTTGGGTTAGATGCAGAACAAAATGAATAAAAAATAACATGATCACATTTTGTCGTCAATAAGTAACATGGGCAAAATGAAAGTAGGGTCCACTTCCACATGCTTCTCAACTCCCTACCTTATATCACAAAATTGACATGGTCGCCTAAAAAAATTGCTCTCCGAATCAAACTTACCACAAATTTTTTTTTTGGCTAAATATTTAAATAAATTTTTGAATTATGTTAAAAAAATTAATTTAGGTCCTATTCTTTTATTACGTTCAAATAAGTTATTGAATTTCTATTTTAAATCAAATAAGTCAATCTCTTTAACCATTAATTAACTTTCATTAATCAACGATACATATAACACTTTCATACCATATCATTAGTCACGTGACAAATGACATGACATTCAATGTTATTAATTAGGATTGTGTGTTTACTTTTTTACCCAATTATCTATCATGTGGCAGATGATATGTTATAAAAGTGTTATATGTATAGTTGATTAATGAAAGTTAATTAATTATTAAAGAAAGTGATTTATTTAATTTAAAAATTTATTTGAGCACAATACAAAGATAAGAACTGAATTAATTTTTTTGACATAGTTTAGAGACTTATTTAAGTATTTAACTATTTTTTTAAATTAGTGATAAAAAATTCAATTTTGCTCTTTAAACAAAAAAATATACATCAATTGATAAACCAAATACTCTAATTATTACAAATTATTTAATATTCATAAACTTTCCTTATTTATTCATTAAAAAATGACACGGACATGGATTGGTTCCTGCAAAGTAACGGTACATTTTGCCTCTGCTATAATTTATGCACAGGTGGTCTGAAGGAAAGTTTTATAGTAATAAAAAAATAAAGAACAAAGGCATGCATACTTAATTAAAAACATAATATTTTGCCAATATGAAAGCATATTATATATATATATATATATATGCCAAACTTAAGGTAATAGTGAGATTCAGATATAAACACAGTTAATGAGCGAGGGAGTGCATTAGGAGGATCACGTGCTTTAAATGACCACATTTTTTCTTTTATATTAAACTATCTTGTATCAACCTCTATTTTAAATTTACATTTTTACCCTATCATATTATTATTGGGATATATTAATAAAGCTCCGTTTGTTTCGTAGAGATTGATTTTCCCCTTTTTTTTTTTATGTTTAGTTGGTTAAAAATGAGATGGTCCTTGGAAAATTATTTAATAATTAATTTAAAATTTTGAAAATTATCTTGCATTTTATAAAAATAGAAGACAATTTTTAAATTAAATTTATGCCAAAAATAAAACTCTTTTTCCATCTAGACTTGTCTATGGGTCAATCTATTTGATTTTGGGTTTTTCAGATTTAGATTGAGTTTAGCTTAATTTAATTTAAAATATTATTGTAGTTATAAATATTTTTTATTAATTTTAATTAAAAATAAATTTAAATATATTAAAATAAAATATTTTTACTATATTAATAATAATAAATATTGTTATTTTAAATATTTTTCATAATTAATCATAAAATTTATTATATTATTATTTAATAATAAGTAATAGATATTAATAGACTACGTAATACTTTTTTTAAATAAAATAAGTATTTTAATAATATAATAGTTTATTATAAATACTTTAATAGTTATGTTAATACCAAAATTTTGACAGGAATACTAATCAATTTTTCAAAAAACAACTTAAAAAATATATATTTTTCATAAAGCCATCTAAATAATAAAAAATATTATATATTTTAAAAAAATAAATATTTTCAAAAAAGTATTTTTTTTGAAAACCAATTTTCACAAAATAAATGAAGCCTAAATTAATCAAAGAAAAAGAAAAAGAAAAAGAAAACTAGTAAGTAATGATGAGGCAACATTGGAAAAGTAGTTCCCTTTCTTAATACTGGCAATTGAATGCTTGCTTTATTTCATTTTCCAAGTTGAAAAAGGTTCCAAGTTCTATTATAGTTAATTAATTAATTAATTAATTAATTAATCAATCAATGAAGTATAACGAATCTGGCGGCTGATATTTAATTAGAATTTAGAATTAAAAAAAAGAGGTAAAGAAATACTTGTAGTGAAATAGAAACCATTATTCCAAGTAAGTGGAAGATTTGGTGTAGGCATTACCTCAACTTAAAGCCAACTACAACCTCCCCAGGAACACTTGGAATCTTAAACACAAACATGATTCGATTTAATCTTTCTAATTTCCCTTTTACTCCTTGGATATGGAAACAAACACTTTGACTGTTGGCCTCCCCCCCACCCACCCCTGTTTCCAAACCAGTTACGTCATTCTTTTGTGGGTGCTAAAAGAGCTTATGGCTAAACTAAAGTACCTACAGTTTTTAGTGCAAGTTTTTGGACAAGAATCTTAATGTAATTTTTTAGCCAAAACCGACAAATCTGAGTCCCACCCATTTCACCAAACATGTTTATCTTGTCATGGGAAAGTAACTGGAGCCCAAGGATAAGAGGCAAGACAGACAGATAATGCTTCTGTTTTGGCTAAAGGAAAAATTGTAGCTTTTCAACAGTATTGGTGGTGTACATGTTTCTAAGGAAACTTCCCTGCATTTCTCTGTTTGCTTTTCCAATGCCTGGTTTGTAGCTTTTTTTGGAGGTTAGTTTCTTTTCTGGTTTGTCCTTTGGTTTCCTCGAATTGCATCTGGGAGTTGAGCTTTGTCATTGTGTATGCCAATTGAACATGTTCTTTGTTTCTGGCTATTTCAGGGTAGTTTTTTTTTTTTTTTCAATGGGTTGCTTTTGGTTTTGTTAAATTTTGAAACTTTGAATGGTTTTCATTTGCTTGTACTTTAACAGTAAACGTTGTGAAATAAATAAAAAAAAGGCATTTCTTGTTCCATTCGTCAGGCACATGTCTGTTGATGCATTAAGAATGTTTTTGATATTTTGAGATCTGATATTTCTTTTATTCAGCTCAGTACCTCTTCAAACTTGTTGAATATTGATGTTGTTGGAATTTGTTTTTATGGCAATCTCACTGAAGCTTTAAAATCACGCATCCCATTTCTATGATTAATATTTTCTTTTCTAAAGGAGGTATCTTCCTCTTAAATCTACTTAGAAAATGCTAAATTAGCTCATTTTCAGAGCCAATTTTTCGATGGAATAAAAGAAGTAGGAAGTTGCAGTCTATTGTAACGTTGTGTGTTATCCAATATAAGTCCAATTCCCACGATATCTTTACTCGTCATGGCTTTGATTTAGGTCATTGATTATATATTTTTGGATGCTGTAAACAGCTAACCTATGTCTTAAGGTTTGATATCTTTCAAGTTATTAATAATCTGGAAAGACAGGTGATAAACTGTGTAGTTTGGGACAAATTACTGTCTGGAACTTTATACTTCTAATTTCCTTTTATTCTTGTTGAAATATACTTAAAATTTCACTCATTTCATTCCAAATGCCACCTTAGAGGTCCTGTTTCTGATAGAATTTTACACCCTTTGATCACAGTTAACTTCAATACGCTGAATTGGAAGCGAGGCTGTCACGGTTGATTTACCAAATGGAATTTCGCCTCATTTTATTCTTATTTGTGGCTTCCCTACCTGCAATTTTGGCTGAAGAGATTAGTCATTGGACAATTGTAGTTGATGGGACTACAACTGTTGCTCAAACTGATGATAACTTCATCTGTGCTACAATTGATTGGTGGCCTCATGATAAGTGTGATTACAAGCAGTGTCCATGGCACTATACATCTGCAATAAATCTGGTGAGGCTTAAGAAGAACTATCCTCTTCATAAGAGTAAATGGTTTTTCTTAGAACTTTGTCAACTCATTCTGCTAAGCTTCTCTAAAAATTGAAGCCATTTAGTAACAGCTCAACCTGCTCTTCTTTTTACAGGACTTGACTCATCCTTTCCTTGCCAGAGCTGTCCAAGGTTTGTATTTCTACATCAGTAATGATGTGGCTGTTCCCTTGACATAGATGTTATAGTATCTTGTTGAAATTTTTTGTTCTGAAGTATGATGCTACTCTATGTTCCTGATGCTGTTAGCTTTCAACCGTTTGAGGATAAGAATTGGAGGCTCTTTGCAAGATCAAGTGTTGTATAATGTTGGAAATTTGAAGTCTCCTTGCCATCCATTCAGAAAGATGAAAGATGGGTTGTTTGGATTTTCAAAGGGATGCTTACACATGGAGAGGTGGGACCAGCTGAACCATTTTTTCAATGCAACAGGGTAAGATCCTAGCATTTCGAATACCATTTTCCCTCTTCACCAAAAGGAAACATGCTTTTGCCCTGCAGATTTGGAGTATTGTCTATAAACAGAAGTGAATGATATCATGTGTATGGTCCATTAACTTAACTGGCTTGAGCTGGGTTATTTCTTATTCGTATTAACAAGGTTATTTAATCAGAAAGGTTGACTGAATCTGCTTGTTATGGAATATAACATCTAGTAAATGGAAGAGCTACATTGTTACAAATTCATTTCATAAGAAAGTTGGATGAGATTTTAATCATATGTGGTAAAGATGGATTTATGAAAAATTATAGGATGAAGATAATTTTTTCTACACTAAGTGATTCTCATAGAAGTGCGTATATTTTAGTAAGTTTTTCCCTACGTTTATTCTAACGCTCACAAGGTTTTTCAACTTTATTAACGGATTAGTTTAGGCTTCTGCTGCTGCTATGAGTATTCACTTGAATCCTACATTCGCAGGGTAATGTTGACATTTGGCTTGAATGCACTCCATGGGAGACATAAAATAAGGAGGAGCCTCTGGGGAGGCGATTGGGACTCTAGCAATGCACAAGATTTTATGAAATACACCATTTCAAAGGGGTACCAAATAGATTCATGGGAATTTGGTATGGAATTATAGACAAAGGCCTTTGCATATCCATACCTTTTTTCTCTCTTCTCACCTCTAATGTGGCCTTTGTTGTTTTAGGTAATGAGTTGAGTGGAAATGGTGTTGGTGCGCATGTTCTTGCCAGCCAGTATGGGAAAGACTTGATCTACCTAAAGAAAATTATAAATGAGTTATACAAAGGCTCTCAATACAAACCATCCCTTGTAGCACCTGGGGGATTCTTTGACCGAGAGTGGTTTACGAAGCTTCTTCAGATCTCAGGTTCAAGCATACTTGATGCCATGAGCCATCATATATACAATTTGGGTGCAGGTAAGTTGGGATAGTACCAAATTCTTTTGCAGAATGTACTTATCAAGCCAACTGCCCTACATAATGAACTATTGATTTAGAATTAGTAGCCAAAAAATAAACGTTAAAGAAATAATATCAAACAATCCCTAATAATATTTTCTAAATTTTCATCTAAGATAATTATTTATCCAAGATTCAGGCAAACCATCAACTATTGTGTTTGTTGGCTTCAACGCATTGAAACATTACTGTTTGTCAGTCCTGCCTCCATTTAATACATTTTAAGCCCTATTTTTGTTTCAGGTGTTGATCCCAAACTTATAAGTAAGATATTGGATCCAAACCACTTAAGCAAGGTAGAAGTTACATTCAGCAATCTTACACACATCATCCGAAGGCATGGTCCTTGGGCTTCTGCATGGGTTGGAGAATCTGGTGGGGCCTATAACAGTGGTGGTCCTCATGTGTCTGACACATTTGTGAACAGCTTCTGGTAATCACACTTTCTCAACAGCTATAATTATCTTTTTCCTCTCTTCATTTATGATTTTTTATCGTTGTAAACGATTAAGTTTACCACTAATGTTTATTGTCATGTATGAATGCTCAAGTTTTCTTTCTCTTGTTCATGATTTTAGGTATTTGGATCAGCTTGGAATGGCATCCAAGTACCATACTAAAGTATATTGTAGGCAAACACTAATTGGTGGGAACTATGGTCTCCTCAATGCAACAACATATGTACCCAACCCTGATTATTACAGGCAAGAGCAAGAGATTTGAAATTCTTTATTGGAGTGTATAAATGCTAGATTCTTTGCTTGTGTGTTGTTTAAATGTTTGATCAAATTGGAGGGGAAGGGTTGGTGAGAAAGATGATACTGAAAACTTTTTTCATATATGACTATGCTGGACTTATAAGCAGAGTCCTTATACCTTTTGTTCTAATGGTTCTGAACAGTGCACTTCTATGGCATCGACTGATGGGAAAAGTGGTTCTAGCTGTTGATAGTGATGCTTCATCCTTTCTGCGAACTTATGCCCATTGTTCGAAAGGAAGAGTAAGTCAATTATTTTTTCTTTTATTCAAGTTTATTCTGAAAGAAAGACTATTAGGAGCATGCAGGCATCCTAACTCTTAGGTTGACAGTGGTACAAAAAGCCTCAGGTTCTTAGATTTCTAGCTTTATTTAATATGATGGAGAAGTTTGAATCCATGCTTACTTTTAGCTGATTAATAACCATTTGAAAGAAAATTTTTTTTTTCTGCTGGTCCAGTTTTAGCATTAGCCATAGGCAGATCTACTCTAAGCAAGATCCTCCCTATTGCTATGGACTGAGCTAATAACAAGCATACCAACTTGCCCGATTATGTCAACTTTTGGTTGTGTTTTTCCTAGCTTGTTTCTCTACTCAGGGCTTAAGGGTTAACTAATGTGATGATATTGCCTGAGGTTCTCTTGAGGTCTGTTCGCGCCTATAATTTGATGGTTCACATTTCAAAGCTTACTTTTTTGAGAATTTACTTAAGCACCTTCCTCTTCCAATTAATACAATCTATCAAACATTTAAAACTGAAATTGATTCTTTTAAATGGCTTAATCATGTGGTGATTTCCCATCTAGGTGTTCAAATTGCTGCTATTTATCTTTAATTTGGTTTGCATTAATTTAAAAACCTTTTGTGATAGGTGATTACCAATAAATTCCATTAAGTTTTTGACATGAGTTGTGAACATAATGATTGAACCATGATGAATTATGTCCATGTCTCAGACCCATATGCACCATCTGTAGAGTATGCTTATTTTTGACTTTCTCAGATTAATTTTATTCATTTTTCCTATGAAATTTGTGACTGTTGCTCTTGCCTCAGGAATTATGAAACACCTGAAATCATAGAGATTTTAATTTTTGAAATTAAAACACTATTTCTCTAGTGATCTTTTTATAGTTTCTTTGACTATGATATTGGCATCCTGTTGCAGGCCGGTGTAACTTTGCTCCTGATCAACTTGAGCAATCAGACGAAATTCATATTGGATGTTCAAAATAGCATCAGCATCAAGTTGGCTGTGAAAGAAGAAAACATTGGCCAGGCCACTTTCACACATAGTCTTAAGAAAACATTTTCCTGGGTTGGAGTTAAAGCTTCAGATGAACCGCTACTCAGAGAGGAGTATCATTTAACTCCAAGAAATGGATACCTGCAAAGCCGAACTATGGTTCTTAATGGTGTTCCTTTACTTACAGATGCTGGAAACATCCCAAGGCTAGACCCTATCCGTGTTAATGTGATGTCTCCAATATCTTTGGCTCCTTTGTCTATTGCATTCATAGTATTCCCCAACTTCGATGCTCCAGCTTGTGGATAATTTTCCATTTTCCTTACAGCAGTAATGCAAGAATGAGGTGTTGCATATGATAATTGTATTAATAGCAGAATTTCTAAGTTTTTGGTGAATATAGTTTTGAGCAATTGTAATTATCCTTAATTTCTGCAGCAATGTTACGTGGAAAATAATTTCTGTAGAAATTGTATAAATCATTATTTCTAGTTATGCAGTGATCAGTTGTATAAATCATTATATGCATTTATGTAGACTGTATTTGGCTAGATATGTAGTTTCTAATTAAATGCTTAGAAGGGAGGGGGTGGTAGATACTCAAATTTACTGGATGTTATGTTACTTCACCACATTCTGTAAGGTGGATGATGAAAATGAACTAACTGGTGTCAAGTCTCACTCAGGGAAAGTATATTACTTCTATTGCAAAGAATGAGGGAAGATAAAAGAACAGACAATGTTCAAAGCTTCACATTTTCAAATGACGGAAATACTTTTTGTAGAAGATTAGCATTTATAAAATAAACAAAATCATATGTATTAGGAAAATAAGGAAAGGAAAAAAGACAAACTGTATAGGGAAAATTTCAATCACTTCTCTTGTTCCCTTTTTCTCACTTATGGGATTATTCATCCAAAATAAAAATTATAGTAAGGAGTTCATTTTTTAAGATAAACACATACACACACAAAAAAGAGTTAACAATGCTTCTGTTTCAATCATTCTCTGCTACCAAATTAAATAGAGCAACCTGTAAATGTGGAGAAACTGAAGAACAATAAGACAACTCCTTTTCAAAATTTCAAATTTCATTAATACAAATGTGATGTTTGATCATTCTCTATCTTAATATTCAAGCTTTCAGCTGTTTGATGAAAAAGACCACATATTGATACAATAGAGCTGCAGATGATGCTAAAGAACGAGTCTACCATATCTACAGTGCAAATGCCACCGACTTGACTAACTAGCAGAACCTTTTTCTCTAGGATAGTAAAAAGAATATATTAAATATGAGTCCCATACTTGCTTGGAACAAATGGCCACAGATTTACAGTAGCAGTTTGGTCATCTGACAGTTTGACTAAACCAAGAAATCCGTGTCAGAAAGTTCAAGCACCTTGTGAGGACCAATGGGGTTTACACCTGGCCGGAATCCATTCCCTTCGATATACCTGCAATTGGAATAAAATGAAGTTAAATATTTTTTTCTTTTTGACATTAGCAAGTTTCCAAAGAGGCTATTTTCCTCACAAATTAAGAGATGAAGGCAACTCACAATTCTTTCAAGAAAGGATGTTTATAGAATGCATCCGGAATCCTGCCTGAGAACTGGTTATGATCCAAGTACCTGTTATTGTTGAAATTTAAGTGCAGAAGTCAAACATCAAATTGAAATAGACTCTTGCTACCTGTTCTTCATATTATAGACACCCTCCCCACTCCCCCCCTCCCCCGTCCTTTTTTTTCCCCTTAAAGTTTCATCAATTAAAAGAAATGAAATGATCAAGGAACAAGCATTTACAAAAAAAAGTGAAGAAACAGAGCAAGAAAATTAGTCCGGATTTCCAAATCAAACTAGACTAACTGGTTTAGAAAATCTTACAAATAAGTCAGTTTAGGAATATGGGCAAGTGCTGATGGTATTGCACCAGACATCTTGTTGCATGAAAGGTACCTGTAACCAACACAAAATTAAGTTTTAAGGGATTCCAAAGCCCTAAAAGAAGAAGAATCCCATAATACAAATTGCTTAGTTACTATATTAGTTGCACTCACAAAATTTCCAAATTTGTCAAATTTGCCAGCTGAGCAGGAATTCCTCCAGTCAAATAATTGTTATTTAAGTACCTGCATCAATGCAAACCCTAAGAAAACTGTCTTTGATCATATTGCATAACAAATCATGCAAAAACTTGCACAACATAAATTCTTGACAACCAGAGTTTTATAACACGTTAAGAATTAAAATATAACGTACAAATTATGTAGAACTGGAAAGCCTCCTTCAAAACGAATAAGCTCCCTAATGGTACCCACCAAATGATTATTACCAACATCCCTGAAAAACCAAACATAAACATTTAGCATAATGATTAAAATATCCTGCCAATAAAGGATAACCACTAAATGTTATAGAAAGGCACTTATCAAAAAATTGTTATAGAAAGGTACAGAAAGTAGTCAACAGAATATTACAAGTGCCGAAGGTTTTGTAAAGTCCCCAATTCTGGTGGAATTCGCCCAACGAAACGGTTTTCTTGAAGGTAGAGATAGTGAAGCTCAGGTAGATTGGCAAGCTCCTTAGGAATCTCACCCTTAAAATTATTAAAGCTCAGAGACCTAAAGAAATTTCAGTTAGATCTTTCCCAATTTATGCTAGCATGAATGTACTTGCAAACACATTCAACACTGAGAGAGAGAGAGAGAGAGAGAGGTTTGTGCAAATATAAAGTTACTCACAGATGGGTTAGTCTTTTCAGCTCACCAATCTCAGGAGGAAGGACATCTTGGAGTTTATTCCACCTCAAATTTCTGTGCAATGCATCGCAGTTAAGGCAAAACTTATTCTCAGAGGAATGCTAACAAAATTTTGAAGAAACTAAAATGCTTTTGCCTACAAGTTTATACTTAATTTGTTCAGTAAAAAAGAATGGCACTCATAAATATTGGCCTAGATATTGCATGTGGTTAATATCCAATACTGAAGCTTTTGGATCTACTGATGTAGTGTAAGGTAGCTAAGTAATGGAAGTATGGTCAGACACAAAATGCTGCCAGTAAGGGTGACATGGTTAATATAATTTATATAACAAGCTGTAGCATTGCTGGTGTATGTAGTACACTTCAGAACAATTTGAGACAGACAAGTACTTCACTGATAACAAAGACCTGGAATCATAATTGCTTCACTCATGGAAAAATAAATAGTTATGACAAAAAAAAAAGCAAGAAACTGTTAACTGAAACTCAAAGCAGAGTACAAGAATTAAGTCAATTCATACTGATATCTACAGAAAGAGAGTTATCATGAAGTGTCCCACACAAATAGCAGATCACAGAAGAAGAAAACATACAACATCCGAAGCCGTCTCAGCCGTCCAATTTGGGGAGGAAGAGGGCCAGTTAGCTTGTTGTTATGGAGATCCCTGCACATTAGCAAAGTCAAGAAGGAAAAAGTTCCACTTAGAGCTCTCAAATTAATTTTTGAGGCTAAAACATCTACATGATAGCCCCACTACTTGTGATTATTCTGTTCATAAAATTATTTTTATGTTAGGGAGAACCAAGACTACCACATACTAGGATACTACATGACACATTATTTCTAAACTATTTCAAGGGGTTGTAATTTATGTACACAATTAAAAGCAACAATGTGAAGGAATGAATGCATAAATTATGCACATGAACACTATACAAGACATGCAATCCACATTAAGCGTAGTACAGCAATTGATGCAGCTGAAAAAGAGATAAGGGGCAATATCAAAAAGGTAAATAGAAGAATCCATTTTCATCAAGCTTTTGAGTTACCAGCCTAATTTCTCCCTTTTTCTCTGCTCCTCACTAGACGGAACAGGGGAAATGCACAGGTTGCTTTTCCATTTATATATGCTTACTGCTTTAAAATGCCAATTTCATCCACATGGTCTACAGATCAAGTGCAGGAAATTACACTTGTGCACATGCAATATTGTGACACCTAACAGACATGACCAAAAAGAACTTATGGGCATCAAAAGTTGATCTTGTTATTTGAAGCTCCAATTTACAGGAGATTTAATTGTCATTTTGAAGCACAGTCCGAAAATGAATAACAAGGTATATATTTTGTTCACCTTCAAACAACAAATATATTTAGCTTATTAGGACGAAAGATTTAACTTACAGCCTTGTTAAATCCAACAAATTAGTTACAGCAATAGGAAAAGGACCAACAATTGATACAGCATAAACTTCCCTGTAAAAGAAAATAACCATAATCATGAGCCAAGGTGAAAGTCGAGAGAAACCAATAGAATTACATTTGTAGTGAATCATGGCAGAAAAGTATCCTAACCTCTGCCATAAGATATAAATACAAGTTGGAATCAAAGATAGAATGAGAAAGCGAAAGGATTTGAACTTGAATTATTCATTAGGCTGCTTTAATAAATCAAAGACATACTCTTTAATTTATGAGCATATTAAGCAAAAATGAGGCACAAACATCGAATTTTAAAATAGAATGAACAACCAGCTATGATACTTACAATTCAGTAACAACTCTATAATCTCCTTGAGTAGAACACGTTACACCAGACCAGGGTGGTAAATCACCATCTCCACAGGGATCATCCCCAACCCATGCATATACCACTCTCCATCCAAGTGATGCTTTTATTTCATTTAAGGCTTTTACTGCAATAAAAATACAAACTCTTAACCCATCGCATGGTGCACATTTACATTCTATATTAATCTTCTTGAAGATAATAACTCCAATTCTCACTACATCAACAATAACAATAAATATCAGACCATAAAAACCAATTTGCAAGTTCTAATCATTCTATGGCTTTTGCAATCGGGGAAAACAAATTCTTAGTTTTAACAAAAAATGAAGGGTCAAATCCATTTAGATCAAGATAAATTGAAGTATATTTATCAACTAGGTTGCTAAAAAGTTGAACCGAAATGGGTAGAAAGTTAAACTTAGTTAACATCTGCTAGACAAAAAATTAAGCAAAACACCCTCTAAAGAGGTCCTAAAATAACTAAACAAGCAAAAAGATCACAACCTTAATTCATAAAAAATGAACACAATTACCGAAAGAACCCATTCAAACAAAAAATGGGTTTTCTTTACTTTAATGAAACGAACAAGTATGACATTCTAGGTATGGTAAAAAAAAAAAAAACTTTCCGGCTTCCTAATTATTTCTCCCCGCATTTTCTCAGAACCAAACAGAGCAAACAAAGGAAGATCCAGCGGAAAGGGTGAAAGGAAAACCTTACCATCTCTCTTGAGAGTTTTGGAGTGAGCAATGGAGAGTGAGAAAACGAAAATGCAAATCAAAGCTATTGGCCAAAGGGAAGCCATGTTTTTCGGTAGAGAGAGATCTAAGCCCAAGGAGAGTGACAATGAATCCTCTTTTATATGTAACAAAATTGGAGATCCGGTCACTATCTTTTTCTAAGTTTCACACAGTAACTCTTACTTTATACACTGGCCCTTGCCGACACAGGTGAACTGTGGGGGGGGGAACAAGGGTAAACAAATAAATAAATATTTTAAATTAAAATATAATAATATAAAATTTTTATTATTTGAAGATAGACTTTTACTCCTATTTCAGGTTGTGTAATTATTCCCTTGTAATTGCTTTTTATTTTTTTTATTTATCATGCAAAATCTAAAACGATGCGTTTTGCTCGACATCTCCGTAGTCATTCAGTCAAGTAAAACTACCGCGCAAAGATTCTGTCTTGCCCACGGCACTGCTCTATAAAATCAAACAAACCTGATACCCCACCCTCTCTCTCTCAAAAAAAGCAAAAGAATAAAGAAAAAGCTAATGGCGGCGTCGGGGGTAGCATCGCCGACTAGAACGGAGGTCTTACAGCTTTATCGTTCGCTGCTGCGAGTGGCACGGCAGTTCTGCGACTACAACATAAGGGAGTACACAAAACGACGAACCATCGATGCGTTTCGAGACAACAAGAACTTAACAGACCCTTCTCAGCTGTCCGCCGCTTTCTCCGATGGCAAAGCTCAGCTGGAAGTCGCTAAACGACAAGCCGTCGTTTATTCCCTCTATGCTCCTAAGGTCAAAAGCATTATGGATATTAGGCCCTCCTAAAAAATTACTTTGTGCTTCCTTTTATTTTTTAGAGAAAAAGAAATAAACTGTGATTTATTGAGAAAAAGTAAGTTTTTTTATAGTGTCTGAAGTTTAATTTTTGTTATGTAATACTAGTTTTCGATTAGTGGCATGGTGGATTTTGTTTGTTTTATTTTACATATGGGGTTTTCTTTTTGTTTTGTTTAATTATATATTCTTTTAGCCAGTAAGTTAGTACTTTTTGGCCCAATTCCGGTGAAAGGTAGTCTGGGTTCTCATTGGTGGAGGTGGAACTTGATTAGATGCACGTTAGGAAGCACTTGCATAGCGAGATTGTTAGTTCAAGTTGCGATTTTATGCTGAAAAGTAGATATATAATTTGATTATTGATTTGTTATTCTCATATGATTTTAATTAATTATTTTATCCTTGGTCGGCATCGACTATGTCAAAAGCATGTTTTGAATGTTAGTTATGTAAGTAAATGTTAATTACACATATTAGTTGTGGCTTTTTGAGAATTTAGGCAAAAGACTGATATTAGAGATTTAAATTTGATAGTTTGAGTTAGAAGTTGAATTAGATGGCTTTTGCTGGCATTGAGTTGTTGGCAATTATCCTGTTATCAAATGCAAATGTTTTTGATAATGCCTTCGCTCTTTTCCTTGTTTCCCCTCCTTTGGGTAAAAGCTGAAGTAGTTTTCGAGACATGTTGATATCAATCCCTAATATCTAGTATTCAAAGTTATCAAAATCATTTAATCACCCCTAATATTCAGGGTGTGCTACTTAAAAGAAGTCACTAGATGTTAGGTAGTCAAGGTTTTGAGAAGCATGTCCAACAGCATATCCTGGCTTAACTAATGGCCTTTTATCATGCTTTTGATAAAGGTTCTGGTTATTTTTGGAGTAACAATTGCAAGCAATTATTTTTGGGAATGAATTGCTGTAGTGGAACTTATATTTGGATTAATGAGTTTTCATCGTCAATGAAGAGATCCGGTTGAGTTTGAAATCATTTATCGGTATGACTAGCCAGTTTTGAGTGTAATTGCCGAATAATCGTCTTGGACAATCTTTGTCTTGTTCCATATTAGCAATGGGTGACGAATGCGAAAGTGGGCAGACTTAAGTGTCCCATAGACAATCTTAGATGCCTAGATCCATGAAGTTCCTAGAGTTTTTTAGCTATATTATAAATATGATCACTGCTGTGTATACTTTAAAGAAGTTTAGCATCCCTGGAATTATGGTGAACAACTCTTCTTAGTAATTATTATGTTTGTTTCTTGAGTTTAACTCATACTTCATGCAGTTATATGTTATTGAAGTAAATGCTACAATAGTACTGTTATTCCTTTGGAGTAGATATATGCAATTAAGCCCCTCTTTCTGGCAGTATGCTTAGAATAAGGATTATATAATACAGGAATTTTCTGATCACTGCCTGCTTAATAAATCTCAAGCATGGTTGGTTTTTACTGTCTGGAGATGAGTTGTGCCATTGGCCTGCTCATTGAAGTTGTGTAATTTCCTCATACCTTTGAGAGACATGATTCATACATGGCATTTGTTGTCTTGCCAGAAAATGGGACTCCCGATTAGTCCCATTGGAGTTTTGGCTCTCATTAGTCACTTGATTTGTCATGGCTTGCCGTGAATCTTAACATTTCATTGATTCTACCCTATGAATGTTGGGGGTTTGTTCGTGCCTAGGATTTTACCCTTCATCAATGTCCACTAATGCTTTTCAGTGCGGATGGTAATTTCCTGTAGACACCCTCCTCCCTCCCCTTCTAAGAAGAAAAGAAATGAGGGATTTTTTTTGGTTGAATTAGTTAGTTTCTTAGTGAGAATTTCATACTCAACGTGCACGGTGGATTCTGCCACTGATGGGAAAGATCTAACATATATTTGAAGAGCATCCATGATCTCTTGCTTCTAAATTCAGGGACATGCCCTTGTTCATATGACGTTGTTGAATGTATTAAATTTTAGATAGGTCGTCAAGCCATTTGCCATGCAACGAAGCTCATCTTGACTTTTAACAGACCGTATTACTGTGTTATATAACTTCTATGGTGATACCATTATGAGATTCCATGGCAAATCTCATCATTCGAATTCTATTGAGTCATTACTGAAGCTTTGCTGTTTGTCTTGCGCAAAAATTGTCCTTTTGTTTTACACATCACAAAATTGGTTTCGGAAATGGCAAGACACTAGTGCCGACAATGGCAGATAGAAATAGCCATATGCCCCATAAGTAGAAAGCATACAAAGGCCAAAAGGTCTTAATAATGAACACTTCCATGCATGGTAAGAGGAAAATTGATCCAAATAGTCAAGAGTTTCACTGTATATCAATAGATGTGAATAAAGATGTCTAATCCAAATTTGTATGTGCACGGAATCACTATGACAGAGCAGAACAGCGAAATAGAAGGGCAGGGAAGGCTGGCAGCATAAGCAAAATCTTGAGACTTGAAATTTACTTTCCAAGTAATCGACGAGCACGTTGATTTGCACCTTTCACACGGAAATTTAGCTCATCCACATCATCCTGGAGACCATTCAGAGCTTTATTTTGCCTGCAATAAGTGTAAGCGTAGTGTTAATGTAAGATGTACTTAACTAACCAAAAATGCAGGCAAAATACACCAAAATAGAAAATCAACAAATCAAGTTGCTCCCCTCCTTTTAGCAATGTAAAAACAAGGGCAAAAGATTAAATGAAGTCTAACATGTAATTCGACTGAACCAAAGAGAAAAAAAAAACTGCAATATCAGTTAAGAAAATTAACAAAAAACTAACCTCCCAATTTCAGACCCCATATCAACAGCCATATCCTTCAGCTCTCCCAATAGGTCACTTAAATCAGAGAGGGCATCATCCTGCTTTGCCTTTTCAACCTGTTTCACAATCCCATATCACGAAATAAATTGCATATTCTCGTTAAAAGCTTAGATTAGTGCATTGTATTATGCCTTATCTCGTATACTAGTTTAAATATTTTTTTAAGAAAAAAAAGAAGAAGTTATATTTATATTAAAAAAATATAATCACGACAACACATACCTCAACTTTCTGAAATGCATTTGTGGATTCTGGGGGTGGTGTTTGAGATTTCGAGCGTCCCCTAGGATTCAATCCCAGCTTCTCTTTCTGTTCCAAGCGGCCACCACTTCGCTTAGGTGAAACATCTGAAGACCAAGTAGATTACACATACTGTTCAGAAAATATCCAACAAAACAGACATAGATGCAGAAATAATTGGAAAAAGAAGAGATAATTCACGGAAAGAAAAATAACCTCTTGTTATAACAGGGCCAACTATTGGACGAGTCTTCTTTGGCTTCCAAGTTCTGGAGAACATGCCTCCAAGACTTCCCAAAAGCTTCTCACCCTGAAATCAGAAAGAAACTATGATTAAGAGACTCTTTAATTTCATAAGATCAATCCACAAGAGGAAAAGTACAAGTTTATTAAGATTTTCAAGATCAAGAAAAGAACAAATTGATAGTTAACAGTCATTCAATCAAGTCATGTGTATCGCTTTCAATCAACAATGATATTTACTTTCAGCACTTAGGCTCTAAATTTATGTCGTTGGAAAGTCATAGAAGCATCTGATAAGAGATAGTATTGAACAACAAAGTGAAAGATTTTTTTAATTTAAAGAAAACAGTATTTCAACACATAGGAAGACAGGACATATGAGCGATCAGAGATGAATGATAAGAAAGATGAACATGCATAAAGGAGCAATTTTCATGGAGCACCAAAGATATGAATTCTGAAATTCAACTCTTCATCTTTCTTCAAAAAGTAGCAATTCCACCAAAATACAATTACTTTGTTTCTAGTTAAACTATTAACATTGCTACCTATATTAAAGACTAGTTTCCTTCCCACGTTTGATCAAGGATTTCCCCTATGCAAACTATCAGAAGAGGCAAAAATCATGAGTTACATAACACAAGCAGGTGGCCAAAAGGACCTTGCCTTGTCCAGGTTGATGGTCTAATGGCTAACACCAGATCAGAGACATTGACAGTGACAGATCAAGCAAGAAAAAAGCTTATATAAAGCTGTAAGCAGGTTAGGGAAATGATCTTATATGTCTCAAGTAGGCATCTTACGAAGTAGTCTATTGGATGAGGAATGGAGCATTTTGGGGTTCTAAAGTTTCAGAACATGACGGCATCAACATTTCATACCATGATTGTGATGTCCGGTGGTAACTATCTGTTCAATCCCATAGAAACATAAACTGAAAACTCATTAAGGATTTAAGTTTAGGTGACTCCTTTTGATCATCATGCTAGCAACATGAACAAATGCAAATATCAACTTAATTATAAAAATATAAACTGTAAGAAAGGTAATCATAAAAGTTCTTCATGTTTTCATCTTTTATGGCTATTCTTCCATCATTTAGCAGAAGGTTTTGCTTTTCCAAAATAAAAGACATACCCGACTGAGGTCGTGATCAATGCCAGCAGCCACATCGTGGGTCCTGGTAATTTGCTCACCCTGCTGATGTAAGGTGATCAAAGTGTTGGTGGCACCCTCTCTCATTTCTTCTGCAATCTTCACACAGTTATTGACAGTCTTTGTAGTCTCCTCAGCCTTGTAGACAGCATAGTTCTCCAATTCTTGAACTGATTGGTTCTCTACTCCTCCAGAGTCACGGAAATCATTCTTATACTTGTTGCGAGTCGCTGAAGCTTGCCAATATGAAGAAGAAGAAGAAGAGTTCACCTTCTCTTCATCATCATCAAAAGGGTTTGTGCCAAAGTTGGGAGGATTCAGCGTAGGTTCAGAAGAAGTCCTTCTGGAAGGTTTAAGGGTTTGCTTATTGTCCAACTCGTCATCAGAATCAAAAGGGTTGGAGCGAGAAGGAGCAACACGCCCAGGATCAACTGAATTATGCTTAGCAGTCTTAAATGGAGATTTCTTAAGACCTAACATTCTTTTAATGAGTAAAAATACACTGCTTGATCAGGCAGGAGACAGGAAGATATTATATTCAATCTGCAAAGCAATCAACATTCACTTATTAGATCGTGGTGGCAAAGAAAAATAGAGATAAAAGGCAGAAATCCAACGAATTCTGTGAGTAGACAACATACGCATTGATTTCTAGCAGCAGCGGTGAAATAATCAGAAAAGATAAAGAAATTCAATATGTAAAACCTTTATTCCAAAAAAAAACAAAAAAGGGAACTTGATTGAACAGTCTCCTTCATACTCTTCCTTTTGAAAATATTCTAGGTGGGAAAAGGAGGGACTTAAAAAGGGAATTCAAGAGGCCAAAAGCAAGAAAACCAGATCAGCAATCACGTTCAAAGAAACACGATCAGAAACAACAATACCCATGACTGGAAGAAGAGATGTTAAAATACCAAGTTTATCATCAAAGACAAAACAGAGTAAGTTGACTTCGGATTTTTCGACTCTTTCTAGAATACCCAGAAAACAGAAAAAAGCACAAGATTCCCTAAGTTTTCACGGCAGGCAACCAAACATAGAAACAAGGAAGAAAGCCGAGAAGCAAACATCAAAGGTAAGACTCAAGACTCGAGAAGAACCCATCAAGATATCAATCGGGGCTGCTCTAAAATTTCAAAGAGAAAAATGACATAAAACGGACCAAAATCATTCACATAGTTCAAGAAAAAAGCGCGTTGTTTGGTTAACCAGAAAGATCGATTTGTCTGAACAACAAGGAGCAAGAAAACTGAAACAACCCATACGCAGAAATGAAGGCGAAAAAAGAAAAGATAGAATGTTAGGGAGTACCTGGAGAAATGGAAATGCAGAGGAAACAAAATCAAGAGAAAAGTTTTGGAAAATGTTTGTCGAAATTCGAGAATGACGATCTTCAACTCTTAAAGAGAAAGGGCGAGGGAGACGCAGGAAACGCGTCTGGAGACTCTAAAGAGAAAGACTTGAATCAAAGTGAAATCGGCAAGCAAGTGGCCGAAGCGTAATTATTATTATTATTTAATTAAAGATAGATATTGCCATTTAAATTTTTGAAAAAAATAATAGTAGCAAAGCCTCTTTCCCTCTCTTCGCTGCATCATGTTTTTTCCTTTTCGAGAATTTAGAATATTTTCTCTTAAAAAATATATAAATATTTAAAATATTTTTATTTAACTTTTTGAAAATGACTTGTTTCAAAAATAAAAAAATCTTCGATTTTTGTTGAACAAATCAAACATGGAGTTAATGAATTACGACACGCACACCATTTTGACCGGAACTCCTCCCACTTTGATGATGCTAATTTCCCTTAATTAAACAAAACCACTATAGCCAGGCAGACGGCTATTTCCACTTTCAAATTTATTAACTATTATTTTATATAATATAATATAATATATATATTAAAAATCAAATATAAAATTTTTAAATTCAAATTTTGAAATCGTAATAATTGAAAAGCACACTGTATATTTATTAGAACTATTTAATCATAACTCATATAAACCAAATTTATTCGATTGATCAAAAACAATAATGTGAATTTTGTTGAAAATTTAAGATTAATTAGAAAATAATTTTTTTTAGGTAAAATAGATCTCTTATTGAATATATCAAGGGAAAGAAAAAAGAGAACATCCTTTTCTGAGTTATGGGTTTGATAGCAACTGAGATGATGTGCATTAACTGCATGCCAAAATATATAGTTTAGAATAATCTTTAGATTAACAATGCCCTCAAACTTGATCTAACCTATTGATTAATTAAAAATAAATGCAATAATAGATAGATTAATTAGATCTTGGCTTAATAATAAATTAAGATTAAAATCTGTTGCTCTCTTCTTTTGTAACTAGGGACAACCACCTAAGTTTTAATCCAAATGGCAACTCAACATAAAGTGTGATATAACCAAATGGTTAAGTAATTAATGACTTTGATGTTAAGCTCCGGGTATGAAGCTTTGACAAGTTCGTCCTATCATAGGTAAGTAATTCACAAGTGGGGTTTTCTTTTTCTTTTGCCCTTTTATGATTCCAGAAACCAAGCTATTGACCTTGACAAGGTCATCCTTGGATTTCTATTTCTTCTTTGAATTATGTATAATTTCTAAGTAAATTTATTTACATAATCATTCGGATCAACATCTTTTTCGATAATAAATATATGTATCATTTATTCAAACGATTTAAATTAATATTAATATATTTATTGCAGTAGTGGTAAATAAAAAAAATTTTATTGGTATATGTAAGATGAACATATTATAGAAGAAATTTGTATTTATAAAAAAAAAATCAAAAAATTATTTGGAAACCCGTTAACCGGATTCATTTAAAAAATACAAGTATTATCTATGTATGTATAGGAAAAGATGTATAAGGTATAATTTATTCAATTATTTAGATAAAAGCATTTTGCAAAATACTCTATCCTACTACATTGTAACCAAATCTATATCTATTTGAATGTATTATTTTGAACATAGTAATCACATCAATGAACATAAAAGACCAAGTTTAAAAAAATATAACTATCCAATAACAACCGCATTACATGTTGATGGAAGATTTGGGAAAAGTCCAAGACTGAAACCATCCATTCATCCAACAAAACTCCATCAAGAGATTGGTGACCAAAACAAAATTGGCGAAACTTCAAGGAAAGTCAAGTATGTGAAGTTTTGAACTATTTGGCACCCCCCTTCACTTTGAAGAAATTACCATATAATTTGGCTCATTCCATGGATTGCATTCAAATAGTTTTAGGTAACTTGATAAATATGACATTACTCCCAACAAAAGAAACAGGGTGAGATGGTAAAGCCTTTTCTCTTTAGAGATGAATTCAACTTTATTATAATTCCCCTAATCCAAAGCACAACAATCATCTTTGCTCCTATGGCCAGAGTCCAAATGTGTTCAACATCGATGTTTTTAAACGGAAATATAAAGTCCACCCTTCTATCTCTTGTCCCATTGATAACCAATTTCAAGACACTGTTCAATCAGATGATCTGCTGCACTATTAGACCCTGGACACAATCAGTTCTTGATCTTACAAGGGGGAGAGAAACTCTATCATGTGCACCATCCTTTTACCCAGACCTGGATGCAATGTTTTCTCCGTATATGTAATGTAAAATTGACGACTTTTCATCACAGAAACTTTTACAAGAAAAATGAAGAAGACCATGCGAATCCAGAAGCTTCAGAACCTCCCAGACCAGCTGCACCAAACAATAAACTACTGCATAATTGCACACCACTTGAAAACATACACACCAAACCATAGTATTTCTACCTTGGGATATTTGGCTGCCTTGTACTGCCAACTTTCCGAGAGCCCTGGTCAATGCAAATCATACACATCTTCCCTGAGGTTAACCATTGGTAGTAGTTTCTGTAGTAACACAACAAAAACCCAGCACAAAATAATTAGTGGTTACGACAAGAAACTGGTAAAAGAACACAAGAAAACCAGCAAACTTAGGAGACAACTAAATTATTATGCTTTTCAAGTGAAACAACCATAATCTTGACATGGCAACTGAACAGAGCATGATGGTGTATGACAATACTAGTGGCTTTGATTCTCAGTCCATCCATGGCTACTATAGAGTTTCAAATGTTGTGCTAATTACTCTGCAAATTGGGTGAAAATTTGGTGGCACTAAGCACCAAACTGAATAAACATCAGTGAATAAATGCATGAGGCATGTTTGTTTAATATGACTTTTGCAGTGCTGTCTTAGAATGGTGAAATGTAATGATTTTATTACGATTTGACCTAAAATAAAGCCACAGATAATGTCCAGAAATCAAATATGTAATACTATAATTCTATGGACAGTAACATTAAATAAAGCACCAGGGAAAAGTAACTATAGAGAAGCATGCATGGGGAATAGTTTATCTACATGGAGAATATCTAAAACAGCAACCGAGGAGTAAGAAACTAAGTGAGTACAAGAATATTAGCATTTGCATTTACATTCATCTAAGACATTGGAACAAGCAAATAAAACAAAAAGCCCAAGGGCAATCTACAGAAAACAAAGAAAAAGATTTGGGAAAGGTACCAACCTTTGACTTAATTTTTAACTAAGGGACATAAAAAATCCTAACTGCAGCCAATCCTTATGATTCATGGAGTTGCCTAACAACAGCATCTGATTTTTGAGGCTCTTTTTGAATCTTGACCAAAAAACGAAGGCGAACATCAGAATCCAAGTAAAATACATTACTCAGTGACAAAAAGTTGCCTACCATAACAGTGTTACCTGTGCCTCCAACTCAGCTATTCTCTGTAAAGATGCTTGCTCAATGCAAGCACGGCGCTTGCACTCTTCTTCAAGCAAGCCCATCATCTGGTACCTCAGCTCAGCCATTTCTTGTGCTAAATCCTCTGCTTCCTCCTTTGCTTTCAACTTTTGCTCTCTCAGTTCATCCTAATAACCATTTTCAGACCAACTATATTTAACTTAGCAGTGAAATCTCCAAAACTAGAGAGGCCACAAATGGAGCAGACTAAACTCATATTTCACCTTGTCCCCCTGCCATAACACTATAAAGGTAACTGCAAGTTCTCTTAAGGACATAATTTGTACCTCAAGTTGCTTCACCAGGAGTTCATATTCAGTTATCTGACGTGACATGCCTTCATACTGGTCCTTTGAATCAGCATCAGATTTCAGTACTAATGCGACTTCAGAAAGGAACGAGCTGAAGAGTTCTTTGCAGCCACTTCAACAGCATTACAAAAATGTTACAAAGAATTAGAAAAATTCATAAAGAATTATCAGATCTTGACTAGGTACCAAAGCGATGTAGGCCAGTATTGTAAGTTATTTCCTATCAATTTTAAGACACAAAACTAAATAAAGCATTTTACGCACAGATCTACTTCAACAAGAACTGAACCCACCTCAAAAAGATTATATTCATTAGTCTATCAATCCTATATTGCTAAATGATTTAGTACAACCAGACAGTTTTAGAAAACAAATCTTTTATCAAGAATATGCTGAATAGGCTTAACAAAAAGGCATATATAAAATGTTCAAGTGCTGAATAAAAGCTTCGTTTGCCTCCGTGCATCATCACACAGTCAAACAACATTTTTGATCAGACAGGATAGCGGTGTAACTTAGGAAATATGTAACAAATTTTAGGTTGCAACTAACCTTATATCTTTTAATATTGCCATCATGCTTTCCTGTTCACCCAAGACAGAAAGAATATTGAGCTGTGATCTGTCCTTGCTTTTCACCCACTCCTTGATCTTTTGACAGAATATCTTAGCATTCTTTTCAGATGTAATAAGCTTTCCTATTAGCTTTTTATTTTCATCATCTAGCCCTTCAATAATTTTTAGTGCATTCTGAAGCTGAACCTCAAGCTCTTCAATTAAAACATTCATCCTGGACTTTTCTTCCTCAGTTTTCTTAGCTTCAAGGCACATCTGCTCCAAGGCGGTTATATCAAGCTTCATGCTCTCTATTTCACACTGGGACTCCAGTGCCATGGATGAAACTGACTCCTCCAATTTCTCTATGCACAAAGCTGACTGTTGCAACTCTTCTTCTTTGTTCTCTATTTCCTGCATTAGTAACAAGCGATCAGAGTTCGACCTGTTCAACTCTCCCATCAACCGGCCCACTTTCTCCTGTAAATTTCCCTTGTCTGCTAATTTGATCTCCAGGTTGTGTACATGCTCAGTTAGAAAGTTGACCTCTTCATTCCTTGCACTAAGTTGATCCTGCAAGTAATCTGAAGAATACCACCGTAAGGTTCAGACCATAGAAACAGTAATTTATACTCAAGACAAGCATAAAAGGCAGGATACGAACAATTATTCAACCAGTGCCACAAAGGTTAGACTAAGCATTCAATACATGGTCCAAAGATTAGAGGGGAACCGATTTTAATACCATATACTAAGTTGCTATCACAAGATGAATCATTGAGGGAAAAAAATGTGATAATGTTCATGGGAAGATAAAGAAAGAAAACATAAGCAAATGTGTATTCAGAGAAATCATATCATATTCAGAGAAAAACAAATCTTTTAACCTGCCCTGCCTGTACTAAAAGGCTAATGTAACCCAGTACAAGACACAGCAATGCGGTATTGTAATAACCCTTTTATAACGGAAGGAATGAAAACAATTATCCCAACGAAATTCTAGAAAAACAAAGAAATGATTAAAAATAAAGGATTGGTGACAGTTTTAGTTCTTATAATAATACTTTTTTCAAATACAAATCCAATTCATGTAAGCTTAGCTGGAAAATTAAAATGAGCAAAAGTTGCTCGTATATTTAAAGTACAAAGAGAAATCTGTATTTTACAAACACCATAACAGTATGTAGAATGGCAGTTATTAACAGAAGCGAATAACCTACTTTCATGTAAAAGGAAAGGCTATCAGATAAAATAAGTAAAAGCAACCCTTAGCAATATTGTGAAGAAAATAGAACCATTACCTATTTCTTGAGAACAGTTCTTCAGCTCTCCTTCCAATTTCTTAATATGTTTTTTGTCTTGGACACGAGCTTCTGATAATGACTTCACATGTAGTTCTAGACTCTGCACTGAACCAAGTTACAATTAGACTGTACTGACGGTCAAAATATTCAAACCTCAATGGCTACCTTTTTTGGTTCAGGTTTGAATATTGAAATATTCAAAGGTGCAGAAAAATTTTTCCTGTCATTTTTCTCAACTTCCATAATTCAATCCCTACTAAAAAAATGAAGACCCTTATTAATGTCAAACGTACTGTCTTCAAGGTGTTTGTTTATAAATCTTCTATGATGGTCAAGGACCAAAGAGAAGGAAAATTTGCTGACCCTGGCAGTTGCTTTAGCACCGGGCTTGCGGGTCAAATTTGATCATGTTATTAAACAAGAGGGAAAATCTCGAGGCAAGAAATTATCATTAAAGTTCAGTATAGATAGCAATTACAGACTTCAGCATACCCAGAGACTGTTAGTTTACGCTTAATAAATACATACCAGAGATTTAATTTCTTTAAAAAAAAAGAAAAGATGAAACATTATGAACATTTCAGATAGTATGTTCCAGATGACAGAATAACCAACAGGGCATACAGAAATTACCTTGATTAGTTCAAAGCCCTGAGATTGTGATTCTTTCAACATCTCTTTTTCTTTCCGTAGCTGCATATAAAAAGATAAGTAAGCAATACAATTTTCCGCACAAATAGGTGAAAAGAATTCATGATTGATAACAAACTAAAAACATCATCATAAGCACAAATGCACTGGAAGGATAAATAAAACACCAAACAACCTTCAAAAGCTCAAATATTTGAAGGGTAAAAACTTTCATACATATTTTTTTTTCCATAAAACAACAAAGTCACTAAATGAAGCTTCATTGTGTAACATTAACCGAAAGAAAAGAAAAAGAGGACAGTTCAAGCTGTGCAAGCCACTATACTAAGCTGTTCATCTAAAGGTTGATAATTACAGAAACAATAGAAAATACATAAAAACTTACACAACATTAACAAAGATATTGAAACAAGAAAAAGGGTTATTGGAGAATCCTGAGACTTAAAAGACAATTTTTATTAGTCATTGCAAGAAGGAAAAGAATCTACCTCTCTGCATCTTGTTTCAATCTCCAAGAGTTCTTCAACATCAATAGAGTTGTCTCCTTCACTCTTTGAGCTATTTGACATTTCCAATAATATCAATCAACTCTTCTTATAACCCAAGCATAAAACTTTTCCTGAAAATAAAATTAAAAAAAAAACCTTCATAAAATAGATAAGTGAAATAGGATAGCTTTACAACATAAATGTCAGACCTCAAAAAAAAAAAAAGCACTGAAATTTCTCAATTAAATCAAGACTTATTAATATATTCCACAAACTAAAAACACCCAAAAATGAAAACAAAAAACTAGAAACAGCAGAACCCAGATTAATATCATGAATTTGGTATCATAAATCAAAAAAAAAAAGTGGGGGGCAAAAAGAAAATTGAAAAGGAGGAGACAACTTTACAAACAATGCAACTGTATATCGGAAAAGGAAAAAAAAATTGAGATAGTTATCACCTTGTGAAAAAATGAGAGGAATCAACGTTTTCTGGTGTTGTGCTAAACTGTTGGCGATTTAATCGAAAATAATTTGAATGTGTTCATAAACTTAACATAATGTTGATGGGTTGGTCATGGGCCAGCTCAACTTTGCAGGAAGTACTAACAATTAAATGTTCAAATAGGATAGCAGTGTGGGTCGGGTCGGGGTCCACTGTTGGTGGGTAGTTCCTTGGCTTTCCTATTTCATTCCCCACTATCAAAGCAAACCACCAAAACCCCAACTTTCAATGCCCTAAAATAATCTGGCCCAAAAAAGTATAACGTCCTAAGGGATTTTTTTTTCGCCTTTTTTTTGGTATAATTGAGTGGCCAAATTAGATTTAAAGCTAATTTTATTATATTTGGCTGGCCAATTTTGTTAAGTATTGTACTAAATGATTTAAATCCAAAAAATGAGAAAACAAAAACAAAGATTTAGTACCTCCCTTTCTACAGAATTGCATTCTATAGTACTAGAAAGCTACCCACACCCACACTGAAGATGTGGTTGAGCTTATAGTCCAATTGGCTCTAAGCAAAGTGGTGGTTGTTTTCTCCATCCTTATCGAAAATAAATTGGTAAACTACCCTAACATAATCCAATCAATGTTAGCTACAAGTTCAAATAAACCCCTTGCTAGGTATAATAAACACACTCACAGCTCGGGATTGACTCTTCTTTAACATATCCTACATGTTAAAAAGAGTCTAACATCTACAACCAGTTCAACGGTGCATTTCTTTGTTCTGAAAAGTTTTTCATTATAAACAGTTCAAGATTTACAGCAGATAAGATAGGAAAAAATTTAAACAAGGATTAAGGTGCGGTAGGGAGGCCATGTCGCAAATCACATGAACCACACAATTAATGATCATGAGTAATTTTCCATGCGCTTTCCATCCACGTCTTTATAAAGGATTAGTTTGAGGGGTGGCAGTTGATATTCTGGCATCTGCTTGCTTCTTTACCATGGCAGTATGCTTCTGTCCAGTAAGATGATAGTTGAAGACCTTCTGACTATTGCATACCACATTACAGATAGTGCACACTCTAACAGCAGCAGCTGCTGCTCCACCTTCCATAACTTTCCTTTTCTTCATCTCCAAATCCTCTTTGGGTGCCTCAGGCTGTTCTGCCTTCTTCTCTGATTTTTGTACATTATCACTACTGCTCTTTTTTGCTACTGGGTTCTCCACTGGTCCAATTACCAGATTTGTTGCACCAGTCGAAGGTGGATCACCAGTGCCATTCTTAGATTTTTCCGATTTCTCCAAGTTCTTCAGGTGTTTTCTACCTGATAAGTGTTTTGCATAGACATCATTGCTGTTACAGTTGATTTGGCAGACTTCACACCATGCAGATTGATTAACCTTATTTGGCTTCTTGCCTTTACTCCAAAAGTGATCATTAGCTCTGATGGCAGCAAGATAAGGTCCAATCCCATTAACAGAAATTAATCCAGCCTACATGATCACATACACGTATAAGAATCACACTACTTGAACACTTATGAAAATGGAAAGCAAAAATCAAACTTACAAAGATAACAAATGGATTAATAAAATAGGTCCTGGATTGGGAAAAATAATTAGAAAGAAAACAATTGTCCCAATATGTCGAAACCAGACAAAGCTGAAACTTCTTGCATTTTCTTTAAAAGAAAATTGAACTCATTAAAAAAGTTAGTACTAGCAGGCAGTAGTGCCAAATAATTTTCACATGCAAATTTTAAAATAATATAAAAGTAATTAGAAAACACTTTGAATTTAATAAATTAAAATAAAGGGCTACATTTTTATTTCTTAGTTTACAAATTAATATACCTGAGAAGCATGTCTTCTCCCAGAAAGATGTTTGCTGAACACTTCATGGCTATTGCAAGCAACATTGCATATGGTGCATGTCCTAACAGAATCAACAGCTGCCCCAGCATTCAAAAGCTTTTGCTTCTTTTTCTCCAACTCCTGACCATTTGCCACACCAGAAGCCTCAAATATCATTTGTCCGCCAACATCGCCAGCTTGGCCCACTATGCTTACATTGTTGATAGTGTTGGAAGTTTCTGGAAATGCTACAGTAGTGAGATTAGTTTTTGCTTGCCAATTCCTCTGATGCTTCTTTCCCATAAGGTGTTTCTCATAAACATCTTTGGTATTGCAGTCAACGTTGCAAACCTCACACCGCACTGGTTGAAGCAGCTTGGTTTCATTTGGTGCGCTTCCTATTACATCATTCGCCAAAGACTGATTCATCCAACTGTTGTTTTTAGAGGAATACAAAGTCTCTACTGACGACTACAAACCCCAAAATACACAAATAACTCCAAATGACTCAAAGCCATTGATCTATTCCACTAACACAAATAAATAAATTAATAAATAGCAATAGCCAGATAGTTGCGTAAACACAAATATGTGCAAATACGGATGCATACATGAGCATAACAATGGGTAATCATATGGTAGTAGCATTTTCAGGATATTACAGACAAAACAAAAACTTCATTAACAGAAAGCATTCCTTTGTCACTGAGTATTATAGGAATCGTAACGGATCCAGAACAAAACACAACCCATTCCGAGATAAGTGAAAAGATCTTGCACATTTACTCAACCGTAGATACTAAGGATACAAATGGAACGACTGATCCCAAATTATTCCAGAATTCATCAGTTTAATAGTCTATGAATGGTTTCCAGTTAGGAAAAAAAACTCGAGGCTGGATAGTAATAAATTTTCGAGGTTGAATGCGAACTAATACTGGCTAATTTACATCTTCAAAAATGATTATTGGTAAAGATTAATGAAAAATAGAACAAAACACATTAATCAAAAAACCCAACAATAAAGTCCAAACAGCATCAAACAAAAAATAAAGCATTTACAATAAAAAATCCAAAATTCACATTAATAAATCCAGGAAAAAGAAGAAATTGCACCCAAGAAAAGCTTACAGTAGTATCATATTTAATGGGATCAGCCTGTCTCGTAATCCAACTTTGACCCACATTTGGGTCATGAAATTGAGCATGCGCTTCAAATTCGACATGGGGTGAGGTGAGGAGACCCGAATGGGCATACGGATCGGTTCCTGGAGGGAACAAGAGTGGCTGAGAGAGAAGGCTGGTTGGTTGAGGAAATGGTAAAAGAGTATTGGGTAAAGAATTTGGAGAGTCAGCGAGGTAAGTGAATGAAGATTGTTGCAGTCGATGAGATTGGGACATTTACGTGAATTTTGAAGAGAATTTTAAGGTTAGGGTTTTGCTGGGGATTTGTTCGTTGTTGCTTGCTGTCATGGAGTTGAGCGTGGAAATCGGAAGGGGAAGTGGCAGGGCAGGGTGGTGGGCCGGTTGAAGTTGAACCCAATTCTGGTTTTACAATTGCTACCTTAAAAAAAATTTAAAACTATTTAAAAACTCAAATAATTTTTTATTATTATATTTAATTAAAATTTTATATTAAATTAAATAAATTTTTATAATTAACAGTTGATTAATCATAATCGATCAAATACTGTTTATCATTTTATTTCACGTGCATGTTATTAGGTTATAATAAAAAGCAACATGTCATGTTAGTATAGCGTGATGATATAATCATATTGTATTATTCATTTTTCACATCATTTTGTTAATCATAAAAAATTATTTAATTTAAAATAAATATATAATAGTTTCATTGAATCATGAAAAAATAAAATTTAATTTAATTTAAAAAAATTGTAAATATTATATTTTTTTTTATTTTATATAAATTTATCAAGCTAATCGACTAATGTGCCAATTTTATGGTAACTCGACATGAAGATCTCTTTGGGTTTACATCATTCTAGAATTACTTCGTTTTTATTAACAGACATGTTAAGCAATGTATGGCCCAAGATGATGTAATTGGATTTTGTTTGATTAATATCTATTTCTCTATTTACAAAAAAAAAAAAACAAATACATTAGATAACTATTTATTTTTAAATTGATACTATTTCCTTCCTAGTTGTGACATCAACATGACATAGTTTAGAAAAAAAATAATGAAAATATTTGTACTCAACATATATAATTACAAACTAAAATCATAATAATGTGATAGGATAATGATAATAACAAAACTGATGACCATGACGACAATGACAATACAATGAAAAAACAATAAAGTACGAATACAGTATATAATATCAATAGATTAGAAAGATTTCCCAATTGAGCTTATAATTTTTTTTCACTTGTTTTATTTGATAATGAGTAAAGAATTTGACCTTAAATAATTGAATTTTAAATATTAAATTAACATCATCGTAGTCCATTAATTTGACATGATACATAAAGGGAAATATATAATATTTTAAAAAATCTTTAAATTATTTAAAAAAATTTAAATACGTTTGCTTTCTTTTATTACGTTTAATTAAATTCTTATATTTATATTTTGAATCAAATAAACTTATATAACTAATGGTTGATTAGCTATTATTAATTAAAATATCAATTGTTATTCTATATAACATAATGTCGATTGGTATGTTGACATATTATAATGGATAATGACATAACATATTGATGTTGTATTTTTCTTTTTTTACATTTACGCCACATCATCACCATGTTAACGCCATGTCGTATAAAAAAATAATAAATTAATGGTTAATTATAAGAATTTATTTTATTTAAAATAAAAGTAGAAAGATTTAACTAAATGTAATAGAAAAATAAAAAATTATTTAATTTTTTATTTAAATACTTGAGAAAGCTTTTTGAGTATTATATAAAAAAAAAGAAAAAAAATTGAAAGTGTGATCAACTCAACTTAAGCCCATTGGGCATCTAAACAACCCAATTTGGCATTTGACATATTGACTTAAATCAGCAGACAACAAATCAGTAGGTTAAAGCTTGCAGCTTACTTAGATTAGATCTGCAAAAGCCCAAACTTCATAGTGTGAGTCACACCTTCAGAAAAAAAGACCCCAGAGAAGAACAAAGTCCCACAGTATCTTGGACAAGTACAACAATAACGTAATTGACACATGGCATCATGCCTCCTTCCTTCCTTCCTTGTGCTTTTCTTTTTCAATCTTCACTCACACTTTTGTGTGTGTGCTAGACCTGTCCTGTCCAAGTCCAATACCCTTGATGGAAGCACTTCCTCTTTGGAAAGTTAACTTGAAGACCAAAACAAACTATTAAGAAATTAAGGGGATAAAAGCTTAATTAGATACAAAATTTTCCCTTGGTGGTAGTTGCTGGTTGGTTCTTTCTACTAATCGACAAAGGAGCACCAACTGCCAGCTGCTACTAAAAGCAAAGGGGAACACACACCCAGCCAACTCCATGTTGTTGCCAGGTCCATGCCAAAAAACTAAACTAGTTAAATACTGCAGCTTTGTTAATTTTCAATCTGTGAAAAAGGGTGTGATTGCATGAGCACAATGAAAGGAAAATAAGGAAACTTGCTGCATTAGCAGTATCATTGGCCTGCACCATCACCCTGGCATTACCCAAGGGCAGGCGTTGCCTTGGTAGCCAAATAGTGTTGTTGTGGAAGTGCTTTTTACGTCCATAATCATGAACCTGCGCTGCTACCGGCCTACGTATTTTAAGCATAAGTAATATTGCTTAATGGACGGAAGCTCTTAGGTTCATGGTTGTCTGGCACATAACTTTCTGAACTGGAGAAAAGAAAAAGATCGCAGCAATAAATGACCATTGCAGGCAAGTATGTGTGAGATTAGGCCCGTAATCAGCGCAGACCATTTCTATGTGTTAGAGTCAAATTAAGCTAATGGAAGTTAGGGACAAGTGATTAGGCCTTAATTAGTGCATCTAAGAATTGGAGTGAAGTTAGGCTGAATTTGTCTTTGTTAAAACTACTTGTCATTTGGTTTTCTAAAAAATATTGGATACGGAATCTTGGAGTGATATATATATATATGCGGTGCATTGTACTGGTATTATCTTGCTGAACAAACTCAGCAAATTGGAGATGTGGTGTGGTCCAATATTCTAATCTATGCTGGGGGGTATAATCATGAAGTTTCTACCCAGCTTAGTCTTTGGACTAAAGACACATAAATTAACAGCACTAGTGTACTGGGTAGTGAGTATGAGAACGAGAGGAGAAGTGAGATGGGTTGTCATGCTTTTATGGTAGGTGACTAAACAACCACCTTTGAGCTCACATGCCATCCTTGTGTACATTATAAAAATGCTTTTATCTTCCCCCATGACTTCACACACCGATTCAATTTTCAACACCTCACTCATTTCTCCTTTGGTGCCAAGATAAAATAATTGCCCTCAAAAACGGTTGCTTTTCATTGACAAGTACATTCCAAATGTGACAAGTAGAAGCTTGAAATATTCAATTACAGTTTCCAAGTTTCTAGTCATAAACAGATCAATGAGCTAGAAATTTTGCAGCAATAAAGACTTATTCAATGGCCAACAGGACCAAGAAACCAAAATGAGAACGATTAGAGAATTGTAACAACAAAAACAAAAAAACAGTTAACCGGAACTTTTAAGATTGAAGAATACCTACTTTAACCATTAATAAGCGCCAGTACCTTGGGTGAATTCTTGAATCTGTAAAGAATGAATGAAATAATATGCAGAAACTTTGTTTGCACTGTACAGTGTACACTCTTGAATCTTTATTGGAAAACCATAGCGATGAAAGGATTTGGAACCTCAGTTAGAAATCAACCCCACTAACGCTTCGTGCTTGTGGCTGCTCCCAACCCACCACGGCTTGAACCCCACATGCGCAGTGGTTTCTTCTTCAACAGGAGCAGGCAGATTAAGATCAAGAAAGTCACGAATTTCCGGAATGGGCTTTTGGATTACAATTGTTTGGTTTGCTTTTGCCTCGGCGACTAAATGAGATCTCTTGTGACCACCTAAGGCTTGGCCTGATGGGAAAACCTTGAGACAAATGGGGCACTCATGCCCTTTGCTCTTCTTAACCCCATTGCTTATCTCAGCCTTATCATCACTGTCTGCAGCTAATTGAGCAATGGGAAATTCATTGCCAATTGATTTGACAAGCTTGCAATCTGCTGTTGGGTCGGGAGAGTGTTCAGTTTCAATGCTATTTTCACTGCTGTCAATTCTTGAAGCAAAGCAGCCCTTGATTTTTTTATGGCTAGCTCTATGACCTCCTAGAGCTTGGTAAGAGTGGAAGATCTTGTTACAAGTAATGCACTCAAACTTGCTTCTCTTATGAGGATCCTTACAGAATTCAGAGTCAAGAACATCGGTTGTCAGTTTGTTCACAGAACCTGATTTCAGTTCAGGATCATTAGAGTGTTGTAACTTCCTCTTGCTTGAATTCAACTTATTGGAACCTAGTTGAGCTCGATTTACGCCAGTTTGTTTCACTAAATTCCTGCTTAATTCAACTTCAGAATTTTCTGCGCCAAACTGACCATCTAATTGGGACTTGCTGTTTCTTTCATCCTTGACGGACTCATCAACAGAAACTTCATTTCTACTTTTATTCACTCTAATCCCAGTTTTTGACAGCCCAGAAGCACAAAATTCTGCTTGTCCCGCTCCATCTTGGAAAGTCTCAGAATCCACTGTACCAGATTCTAACTCCTTCTCTTTCTGTTTTTTCAACAGCCTAACTTCGTTACCATTATAGCTGGAAGCTTTGATCTCAAATTTGGCTTCCAAAAACACAGAGTTATTATCGGAAGATTCAGCAACAGAATTTAAGCCACCCCAATGACCCACATCTCTAGAAAGCATCATCAAGCTCAGAGCAACCTCTTCTTGTTCTTGCTCAATCTCAGACATGGAAGAGGAAACATGGTTAGTTAAAGAGAAAGTAGAAGAATTTGCAGTGCCCATGTACCTTGTTCTTCTTTTCGATCTCCTCCCTTTACTAGGAGCAGCAGTTTCATTGTCAGATTGGCTATCCATGACCAGCTTTTGGTTAGCACTAGTCCAAGAATCTTGTTCCTCCAAGCTATTATTGGAAGCTCTTTCTTTCTCTGAATGGCACTTCATGTGACCAAACAATGCTTTCCAAGATTGGAAACCTTTGCCACACTCTTTGCAAACCTTGTTATGAACTAAAGTATCTTCACTTGAATCTGCTACTCTCCATGTCTTCTTGGGGTTCCCTCTGAGAACATAACCACCATTAATCCCAGCATCCAGACCAGTTTCAGTGTTAGCACCGTAACCACCGTTATTCACAGAAACAAGCTTTTTCTTGCTGAGCTTGTCATTAGTTTCAGCTGAATTATTGTTGGTAGTCATGTGAGACCTCATATGACCACCCAAGGATCTGCCACAGGGGAAGCTCTTGCTACAAAACTTGCAAACATGCTTGAATTCTTGATCTTCTTCCATTGAAAAGATAATTCACAATTCAATAAAGAAAACACAGATCAGAAGGAGATAAAAAATGAAACTTTAAATCTGGTCAAAGAATTGGAAACAATGCTTCAATTCTTGATCTCATTACAGTCAGAAGAAAAGCCAAACGGCAATGAAACAGAGCACTCTAAAAACAAAAATTGTAAGACCCCAGATCAGAAAATTAAGGTACTGGCTCAAATTTAGTTGCACACATGTTTAAAATGACGGTTTTTGCTGACTAGACAAGAAATTATCTCAGATTTCACAGAATTCTGCGGAAAGAACAAGATCTGATAGCTGAAAGGAAAGAGGCCTAGCTGAATTAAGTATACTAGCTAGCTTTTTTTCTCTCTCAATATGGCTTCCTGGGGTAGTTGAAATATGAAGAAAAGATCAAAACTTTGAAGAGGTGGGGGTCTTTGTTGTTGTTGTTGTTGTTACCTTTGTTGCTAATGATGGCGATGAACAAAGCCAAATAAGAAGGAAAACACGCAAATTGTAAGAGAGAATGAGCGTTTCTTTCTCTCTCTCTGTTAAGTATGTTTTAGTTTTTCTTTCACTCTCTCTCTCTCTTTCTCTAAAATTGACTATATTTGGAGGAGAAATCCATGCATGGAAGCAAAGATAAAAAGAGGCAAAGAGGAGAAGAAAGATAGCAGCACGTGTACTCAACTGAGAATCCTACGCCATCCCCAGGCATCCAATGGCTGTGGTTCCTCCAGTCGAGCATCCCTATGGTTGAGGAACCTACTAAAAAACTAACTGCCCCTAACTATTCTTTCCTTTGTCTTGCTATTAAGGAATAGGCAGCCCCACTCCCTATCACACACCCCAGCAGCAAGTGAAAGCTTCTGCTCTCCGGCCGCCATTCTTTTTAATTTTGGACTAATTCCATTTTTCGTACTCCATATTAAAAAATGAGTGGTGTATTTCTTTTTTCCATCTCACTACTATAAAATAAAGATTTTCTCCTGCCCAGGGCATGCATATTTCTTGTACTTTTTCGGGGGTGGTGTATGGTCATTGGGGTTATCAAAGACGAGGGTTATCTGGTCATTTCAGTTAATCAAGGTTCACTTGGAGTGATCTGATTGGGTGGTGTGGGACTTGGGAAAGCTGTACTTTGAGAAGATCTCATCATACAAATGAGTACTTCATCTGCTGCTGCTGGAAGCCTGCAGACTATAATTTATCTGCTGTTTTGTTGGCATATTTGTAAGCATCCTATTCCCACAAGACCATTCCTCTTTCTTTATCTCTTTGTTTCAATAATTTTATATTCTTCTGGAATCAATAGTCTTTGCTCCCCTCAAGATCCGTATGTCTCCAGCTAAACTTTCTAGTATGGATCACATAATGTTTAACTTGGGTTTGGAAAGATGTAGCTCATCTTTTACTTTAAGACGAATGGATAAAGTAAAGAAAGAAATCTGGACAGCTTGTTTTAGAAAGAGAGAAAGTCATTTTGGCTTCATCGGTAGGTAATTTCGTTGAAGTATCTGACACCTCCATCGACTAAGCCTGCAACTGGCAAGCATGGTTTTTCTCCTACCAAAAAGAAAAAGGAAAAATAAAATTTGTGCACATCTTCCTAGGATTGTAAACTGCAAGGAAGATTGCTATTTAACTAGGAGCCTTTGCACATTTTTTTTTCCACTATCTTGATGTGCATTAAAAACACTTGGTTGCAATCAAAGGTGTTGCAAATCATAATTCAAGAAAAGGAATTTTTATTACCAGTAAAAAAATTTACCCTCCTCCCAACACCTCTAGGCAAAATCTGCCTTTGAAGGATCTGTTTGACTGTTTCACCATTCAGAACTTTATATCCTTGGGTACCACTTTTTCAAGTCAGTGAAGGAATGCCTTGTTTACAAGCCACTTGTACATAAATTGCTTATGGAGGTCAACTTTATTAAATAGTATATATTTGAGGAGTGTGTAGGTAAAATGAACTTGATAAATTAAAATGACTTGTTGATGATTTAAGCCTCACTAACTTATTGAAACTGGTAAACTAAAAATAAATAATTATTTGCACAAGTTGGGGGGGGGGGGGGGGGTTTACTATATAGTTATGAAGATTAAATTCTGGTCACACACACACACATATATATATATATATATTATGTGGTGTGCCCTTCCTAGCATTGGGATTGCTATATCCCATGCAACACCCAACACAAAAAAATGAATTAGTACAAGCTGTCTGTGATTTCTGAGTGCTTTTGCAATTTTGAAAAACAAAAGGAGGGTTTGGATGTTAGCTCATGTTCAGTATTACATTGTCAGGAATTGTCCGTCCAGCAAGACCTACCAAATGTGAGTGATGATGCCGGCCTTTATTCATGATCAAAAGCCGGCTTTCTTTGCACTAACCGCAACGTGAATGTCTTATTAGCAGCTGATAATTGAATCTTACTCGCCATAACTCCCTTCTTTTGTGCCCTCTTTGCCGGCATTTTAGTACAATGTTTAGCTGTAACTTGTCTAAAAATCTCTTCTCTCCTAGTTATTTATGCACTGATAGCTGAGGAGGTGTCAAACACAAAGCCATTAGGGCAAAAAATGGAATATTATTTGCCTTTTGCCACAATATATAGTATTCTAAACATCATGTGCTTGCACATTATGAATGCCTATGCTGGCCACTGAGTATGTATGCACTATAATTTGAGCCAATTATTTTAACTGCTTCGGAATATATAAAATATTCTACTGTCTTTTGGATTCTAACTTGGTTTAAGCAGAGAGTCTAGTAGATACTATTTTACATATAGTTATGGGAACCAAATCATTTAATGTAGGTCTGCACATATAATATATGATATTAAAGACCCTCCAAAAAGCATAATCTACCATTTTCCATCAAAACAAAAAGGGGAACTAGTTCTGAACACTACTACACATATCGAAAGATTACAATTTGTGCATTGCTACAGTGAATTTGCTGATGGAACACATATATTTTCCAACAAATGATTACAGATCGATGTGAGCAATTTGCTTTCAAACTCAAAAGTGAAACATGTATTTTGTGCTTCTAATTAACCTGCCAGGCATGCATCTGTTCAATTTAATAATTAGTGGAAGTTTCGTTTTACTGCAAATTCAGCTTATTTTTCAAGCCAATTTTAATCTTTTTTTTTTCTGTCCTTAGTTATATATACTATATGCATAAGAAAAATTTTCTAATATAGAAGAAGCTCCAACGTAATTCACAGAAATGTGTAGTGGTGTTTGGCATATGCTAAATGGCTAGTGGCTGCTGTCTGCAGAACCTTCACTTGAGAGTCAAGAGTGTTGGCCTGCTAGCTTGGTCCTTCAAAAGTGATATGCTCAAATTGACAAGTAGACAACTTCCAAGGAAAGATTTGGCCACTCCTTGTCTTCTGCCATGCCTTACATATATACATGTAGTATTATATATCAGGCTAAGATAAGATGCCCAACTTTGGCTTTATGCTTGATGAAGCTCTTCTCCCTGCTCAGACCATGCATGAGTCATATGACATAATCCTGGAACCAACATTGGTGGGACATTGACCCCTAGAATGAGCCCACTAGCCCTATCCCCCTTCTGCTATATCACTCCCAAAATTCCAAACCCATCCAAGCTTTTTCTTTTCTCTTACTCCTCTTCATTCCTTCCTTTGTCACCACTCACCACCCCCAAGATTTTCTTATATTCAATCTATCCACACTACCTTTACACATGCATTCTGTTACTTTTAAGAAACCAATTAAATAAATCCTCTAACAACAACAAGCTAGATTGAATCAATATGTAAGAATTCTTTGTAGCCTAGTTGGATGGTGCAAATTGCTTTGGCTTGTTACTACAAATTTTTATTGTTAGATAGTATGAGTATGATTCCTTGGATGGATCTCTTAAATATGGAAACAACCCTCTTCAATCTTCTTTTGCCAAGCATAAATTAAAAGACCTTAGCCCTTGAAAGCAAGAAGTGAACCTATACATTCACCAAAAAGGATCAATATGATAAATAGCTCATGCTAGATCTTAGAATTTGCATATTGCCACTGCATTAAATAATTTCTACACATTACTCTCAACATAAATCTTATTTATATAGGGAAGAGAGATCAGTCAACAATATAAATTAATGTTGGTAAATAATAAAATAACATCACAATGCAAGTTGTTATATAAACTTTATGGAATAGCAAAGCAAAATCTAATAAGGTTGTGCAGCCATTTTCTGCATAAATGAATTTGGTTGGATACAAGAAAACAATGCAAAGAGAAAAAAAAAAACAAAAAGGAAAAAGAAGTTGGTTGAGGATATTGCAAAAGGAAAAGATGTTGTGGGCATGTGGGTTCTTTCACTACATGAAGCAAAAGCTTGAGAATTGGTTTAGATGTCTTATGACTTCAGTACACAAGGTTTGAGTTACCATGATTGGTCAGCTAAGCTTCAGCCGACACTCCTCAGTGATTATTAAAATCTTCGAAAATGATTATAAATTAAGTTGCATCTGTAATAAGCATGTTAAGCTTTAATTAATCAAATCATAGGTACAAGTCTTGCCGGATGGGGCATTCTTACCCGACTGCTTTAGTGACAAGTCAAATAACTGCTTAGCTAGCTTTCCCCCCCACAAATAAAAATTAATATGGGAAAAAGTGTAAAAGGAAATTGTGTGGCAAAGTTGCCGAGAATCTTCTCCTTAGGCCTTTCACTTTGTGAAACTTTTCTGTTAACACCTAATTACTATATATAAGCTGAATACAAAGTTTATATGCTAATTAACTTTAGATAACAAAATTGTTTTAAGTCATCGTCATGCGAAAGAATTGAATTCTTTTTTATTTTAATGTTTTATGTACGAAATTTTACGAGTCTCTTGAATTATATATATACATAATCGGAGATGATTTGGTCATATTATTTTATTTTGATAATTCAAGATGAAATTTAATATACATATTTATAAATAAATGTATGTATGTATGTATATGTGAATTAGTTAGATGTATATATGGAATCACTTTTTATATGTATGGCCGGCCTAATTAATGATAAAGGTGCATGTGTGTGGCTTGATATGAGTAATAATGGTGCATGTGGTTATAGTGAGGAAGCTAAGGTCCTCCCTCACCAGCAATTCTTAGGGCATACTCAAGAGAGTCGATGATTTTCAGTTGAGTGATGAAACTTTAAGAAGCTTTGAAAGATCTAATTAAATGTTATGTAGGACCACCTAGCTAGTCTCCGGATGGAAGGAAGGGGTAGTTTGGAGTGAGCACACGACCCTTTTTTTTTTATTATTTTCTTCTTCTTTTCTTATTTACTGTAATAACTAAGCAAAGAGGTCTTTTTATTGCTTAGCTGCTTATATATATATATATATATATATGTATATATATATATGTATATATATATATATGTATATAATCCTCTTATCCAATGCCACATGTGGGTGTTTTACTCAAAGATGAGTTCATAATAATAATAATAATAATAGCTTTCCGAATATATTATTCCTCATGCATAGCAGCCCGACAAGAAAAATTCTACTACAACAATAGATATTATTCATCTTTAGTTCTAAATTCTATTTAGATTTTGAAGAAAATTACAGTAATGGAAACCTTTACATAAAATTAATATATTTAACTGAATTCAATCTGCGTTCATTTTGATTTTATCTTGAATCGCAAAATTAAATATCATTGGTAACATCGATGAATACTGTTGGAATGGTCCTAAAATTTATTAATTTTGAACTTAAACAATTCTAATTAATGAAATTGATCTTTTTTGAAAACTAATTATTTTAGTTGTATAAAAGCTTTTTAACACAACTTTTTATGTCATTAAATGATATGTTTTGATATTTTGAAAACTCTCAACATATTTGTTAATATTAACAGTAATACCTAAACCTTATATGCTTGTAAAGAAATGATTTGTCATCCGCTGATTGTCCATCTAAACTCTTTGAGCTAATTCCCATGGCCACCCACAGAAAAGAGTTTGCATTGGTCGCCAGTTTAGACTTTTGAGGGAAAATAAATAAAAATGAAATAAAAAAGAATAAAAGTCAGTGTAGTTTGATTATTCGTGTTTACCTCTCTAACCACTATTGGCATTATCAGAACCTGGTAACTAAACTGCATCAAATTCTGGCACCAAATGTGATGATCACTAGGAAAATTATTATTTCTCATAAAAATCATAGGGCAGGAAGAAATATATATATTTAGTGTCAAACGTGGAATCTGGAATGGAAATGAAAATGGGTTGCAGCTAGTTAGGTGAGTCAATGATACATGAGATCATCATTAATTATAGGAATGCAATTTCTGTGAATTTATCAAACCCTGGAATTATATATGATAAATAGAATAGATAGATAGATGGATGGATCATGTAGTTATATGTTTCTTGCAAAATAAGATCCTAGCTGGATTACTTTACACACCTTTTTGGGCCACTAAAGTTAGGAAAAGTCAAGCACTACTCCCTCCCCCCATAGCTGATATTGAAAGGAAAGTAAGAAACCCAAGTGGGGTTGGAAGGCTTTTGAAGAGGAGGATCTTGATCAAGGGTTTCCACAAATTTTCCCTTGATTAATCATGTTAGTCAAGGTTAAACCAAGTTACTAGATGGCTGCTCTCTCATTAATTAATAGTTGAGCTTTTTCAAAGTTTTCACTCCACTCAATCAATCCCTGATGGGGATTAAACAGTGCAACTTTCAGGATTAATGCTCCTCTCTCTTGGAAATAAAAAAGCAAAGCAAAGCAAAGAAAAACTGACATTCTTCACACTACAATGAAGCCAGTGATTGCATTTACAAGCTGTGCCATTAAGTTATTGGGTAATAGTACTGGTACAACTGTTGTGATTGAGACTCCTTATCAAAGGGTCAATACCATGCTATTATTGCTATAAATTAGATTAAATACAAGCTTAGTAGAGGTGACGAAATGAATCCGAATTTAAAACTCGCATCAAATTCGAATAATTCAAAAAATTAAAAAATTTGAACCCGAAAAGATTCAAACTGGATATCATTCCGACCCAAGTTAAGCTTGAAACGACATGAAATCTGGATGCAAACCCACCCAGGTGACACCTCTCTCTTTTATCGTGGCTAAATGCTACTTGTACAGAGTTGAAGGTGCTGCACCATTTACTGTCAACTCGCAGAGTAATGTACCTTATCATAGTCATAATGACGAAAGCCTCTGTCTATCTATCTGTAAGCATGAGAAGAAGTGGTTGGTTTTGAAAGAGATCCTTGAAATCTGAAGAAAATGATAGAAAAACCAGAAAGCAAAGCGCATTGGAGTTCCTAGAGATAGAATATATTCCAGTCTGACATACTGTTTCTGCAGATTAGAAAGGGTGTCATTCGAATTCAGTGGATATTGATCTTTTTGACTGCCTAAAGCTTGTTTCTTCACCATTATTTTTTTGAGATATTGCTTTGCAGCGTCACCCCAGCAGCATCTTAACAGTTAGAGAATGGGGTGATGATGTCCAAAATATAACTTGGGCCTAAGGAACTAGTAAGAGGAGTATCATCAAACAAGTTAATTGATATGCATTCAAATAAAGGTTATCATTTTACTTCTTTGAAGAAAAACCAGAAACAAAATTCTGCAGTGGAGGGAAAGATACCAGATCCTTGTAAGCAGTGTGTTTATATTCCGAAAATCATCTCATCCAATGGGAGAGAACTCTTCATGACCTTCTATGAAAGGTGGAAGATTGCATTGCATTAAAAGTGCCCCCAAAAAATGAAAACTAATCACCTTCTAAAATTCTCTATATTACAATGAAGGGAGGTTTCTCTCATATGTGAATGTACAAGGAAAATTGAACTCTTCTATTCATTGATAAGAATTCAATCTGCGGAGGGAAGTTTCCTATGATTTATCAAGACTGTAAATCTCGGATGGCAGGCGCTTTTCATACCACCACCAGTGCAAAATAATGACAACAAAACTGCTCAAAGCTTTTTCCATCTATTGCTCTGCAATATATCATGACCCGTCCCCAAAAACCTCTTCAATCATACTACATGTGGGTAAGAAGTCGATTTTATTTTTTTGGCAAGTTGGATATCCAGCATCCCAAACCTTAGTATCACATGGTTCCAAAACATATCCATGGCTACCTCCGTTGTTTAACCCATTTAAGTTACTTTGCCACTGATCAGCATTGTCAGCATTCACCGGTGTTTCATGTGATGCAGCCCCTGTGTCAGAAGATGTGCATGAATCATCCTGGACTTCTTGTTCCTCTTGTTCTCCTCGTGCATCCTTGAGAGTTTTCCCATGCAGCTGAGCTGGGGGATCAGAACCACAGTTGCTAAACAACTTTTCAGAATAAGTTTCTGAAACTTTGGTAGCATTTCCACCACTACCAAAATCTATACTGTGATTATCGCAAGTTTCATCAGCAATATCCTCATCAAAAACACACAAGCCAGCTTCCTGGCTCCGATGATTATCAAAATCTTCTTGACATATAGGTGATTCAATGACAGAGTCCTCATCTTCATCTGAGAACCCAACTTCATCGTTGCCAGAATCATCAGTCCCCTGCCACTCATCATTATCACTATTGATACTCATTGATTCACACCTGTTCTGCTCAGACCTTTTCCGCAGCATAAATACATTGAAGTAATAACTGACAATATCCTCTTTGGTTCGGTAAGGGAAGACAGACGCAAGGCTGTCCCAGAAATTCCTCCCCAAGGATGCTGGATTAGAGAATACAACTTTGTGGAATAGCTGTTCCTCCTCCTCACTCCATTTCATTGTCACTAGTTCACCCATGTCACAGAAACCAAGCTCCACAAATTTCTCATGCCCAAGAGATTTTCTAAGTTCCTCCCTTGCTTCCATAATGTGCTGCCTGACACACCTGACAGAATCCTTGTCCTCACAACTGCAATCAGATCTGCCACTTCCCACTTTGTCATCATCTGCAGAAGATTCCAATGCAGGCATTGGAATGATACAAGTTCCCATCAGTTTATTCTCATATCTGTCAGCAGCAGTTTCAGATGCATCTGTATCATTAGAAGTATTCCTGGCAACCTGTGAGTCCCATTCTGGAATATCTGCTTGGTATTTGGGTCCAACAAGAACTTGTTTCCGTGGAGGGCATTCCAAAAGTATAGAATAGATATCATCCCAACGAGCGAATGTCCTTACTTGGCGTTCAGGGTGAAAACATTCTGCGAATGAAGGCATGTGAAGTGGTTCTTCTGGCCATGAGTCTTCTTCACCGGTACTACAGGTGCCCAAGGAAGACATGGCAATGCAACTAGGAACATTGGCTTCAAAGTCCTCTGCCTTTCCTGGGTGTTTAGTATCAATGGCATTCGCAAGCTTTTCATCACACTCGGTATTAGCGTTTATGAATCTGTCCTCACCTTTACCGATTACAAATTACAATGCAGTAAGAAATAATCGAAAAGAATTACAAAAGGGGAAACAAATTGACATATTTCCAACTGAATGATCTAATACTTTCATGTTATTTAAACAAGCACTCTTCCCAACTGGTAAAAACTCAAGAGACACAAGAAAATAGACTCAAGAGTAACTCGGAGAATGAATTTGACCCAGGCATATGAAATCAGCACCTTGACATAATTAAATCGCATAAAGAACTGAGGCACATGATTGAATAATCCAATCTGAATATATTAGATGCAAAAATCATTCATTCAAGTAAGATCCTGGATCAGAATTCAAAGTATGGTGACCTGTTTAATATTGGGCTCAATGACTATTTACATCATTAGTTACAATAGACAGGATAGCCAAAAATAAGAAATGTCAAATTAACATGCCTAAATCCCAGCCTAAGAGTCCCGCATGTATTTTATCACAAGCAAGAAGTTCTGTACCTGAAGCATTAGAAATCAGGGAATCATCTTCAGGTAAAAAAGATTCTGAAGATAAAACCAGTATATTACTACGTTCTACTTGTCTTGATTGCTTGTTTGAAACCTCAAATGTATCCTCCTCCACAAAAGGCCGCTTATGTACCATGTCGAACTGCATTACAAAGTTGAAACTGATAAGAGAATAGCAAAGCAAAATAATTCTTGACAAAATAACTGTACTGTAAGTTGCAGCAGGGAAACAACAAAACCAAAGACGGATAATTGACGATGATGGCAATGACAACAACTGCAACAACAGCCACAACAACAATAAACCAAAGATAAAATTTTCCCAATAGATAGAATCAGCTATAGAACTCACATTATACCAGTTTACCAGGGGAAATGAACACTGGAGGAGGGGGCAGGGAATCAGATCATGCTCACTATAAATAAGCTTTACATGACAAGTCAGCGAGTAGTACTAAAGGACAAACTCCCCAATATTTTTACACAACCAACAAAATTCACTTGGACATATCCCTGCTCGCTAAATCATATCCTAAAAATCTACTTAGGACATCAGAAATAATATGACATAAACTACATTAGAGTTGAATATAGTAAATGAATGTCATAATCAAATAACACACTTTCCAATGCCAAATTAGACATCCAAAAATGACATGTTACACATGCACACACACACAAATAATCCAAGAGACTAGAGAAACATAAGCACCTAAGCCAAAATGGTCATGCCATAAGTTTTTTACTTTAATAATATAAATGACACAACACTATAGATCATCAACAAGTTCACACGTTCATGTATCAATTTAGGAAAAAGTTGAAAAGTTTTTTTGATGTCACTGTTATTAGTAGTTTTCTATTATATTTATAATTAATTGTTATTTATTCAATTATTCTTATTTAATACTATTATTATGTGGGAGGTGGGGTCAGTAATTTGGGGTATCCTTTTAGCAATTTTATATTTTGGGGTGGCAAAATAACTGTGCTCGCTTAAAAAAAAAGAATTACTAATTTTTTATTCAAAATTTACAAATAAGAAGATTATAATTTCGAAATTAACCAAAAAAATTTATTCAAATACCTCAGAAAAAAGGTCTTCTTTCAAATGATCGATCGGATCACAATTTGGACATTATGTCTTAATTAACAAGCAATCAAGGGTTAGGATTGCGGTATTTTATGCGATTGAACTTTCCCCCACCTTAATTGAAGGAAAAAAAACAAAAGCCCCAATTATGAATAAAACCTAACCCTATATCTTAAATTTGTCAAAGAAATCTACAAATTGAAGCTTATTCACGAACAAAAGCGTCTATTCCCAACAAATTTGATTCAAACACCTCAAGATCTATAGATCAGACAATCTATTACGAACAGAAACCTAGAAATCAAAAAACCCTAAAAAAATAGATTTTTTTAAAACTAATTTGAAATCAGAAAGAATCCAGATCCAGAAAAATCTAACCAACAAAAGGACATAACGAATCTCAAATCGGAATTTACAGATCGTTAATTTAGAGGGAAAAAAAAGACCCCCAACCTTAGAAACAGATCTAAGAAACGGCAAAGAATAAAAGCAGAACAGATCTACAGAGAATGAAAAAAATTAATCAAATCTGAGCTTGAACTTATAATAAAAAGACAAAATCGAGATCAAATCGATCGAGAAATGAACGAGATCGAAATTGTGGAATCGTCAATTACGTAAAAAAGTAAAAGTTAGCGTTACCTTTTTTTTGTAACAGAAATATCCGAAATTCGAAATAGCCTGAAAAAAGGACACGTATCTGTTGATAATTACAGGGACTGCCACTCGGATCAAGGGGAATAGAAAAGGCGTATTTGTAGGATCAATGTATGGGGTTTATAAGCGTTCGGCGGACCGCGATTTTGATGGACTGGCCTATGGGTGAGTTACACGTGGCATGTTTATGGAGGGAAGGGATGAAAGTTTTGACACCTACCCTTTTCAAAATTTTGACTTGCCATTTTTGTGCCTCTATTTTTTCTTTTGAGTATTATTTTAAATAATGGCCAAATATATTTTTGTTATTTTTTATCCATTTCTCTTTTTATATTAAAGTGGCACTTAATTAATTTTTTAGTTAATTTAAGTTCATTAATATATTATGAGTCTACATTTTCAATCCAAATAAATACTTATTTAATAAAAAATATTATTACTTATAAACTCGAAACTCATTTTATTTTTTATTAATATAAGATTCGTGACATTTTACTTCATTCAATTATTCAACATCCACTTATAGATTAAAGCTACCTATCTTAATCCGGCTTACCTTGACCTTCACATTTTTCAAGAAATACACGTCTAGCTTGTGAAGGAAAATTTATTTTACTTATAAACTGAAGATGCATTCAAACTGTTATTTATTTAAGATCTGTGAAAAAAAAAAGTTTGTAATTATAAATATATATATGCTTAATTTTAACTCAATTAAATGTTTAAAATTATCAAGGTCAAATTTCTTTACATTTAATCTAAGACGGTATTTAGGGAACAAGGCGGATTTACTGTTCTTATACTAACAGAACAGCTCATTTCAATTAAGTTGATAGCCAAATTCAGAGAGGGAAGGACAATTACAAAGGCAATCAAATTTAGGCAACACCTCTTTGGGAAAAGGGCATTTTAAAGTGAAATGCAAGAATGCTGGGGAAAATTAGGAAAATGAAACATGTCACATGTGCCACTCCTGCAGTATAAGAATCCAAGATATAAATGTTGCAACTTGTAATGCACAAAGAAAAAAAATTCAAGGAATCATTCTTTAACAAGAGTTGCAAGCAGTTGTTTCATATACAACCCAGAAAATTTCGGGCATATAAAACTACAAAAAGAGCTATTATTTACATAGAAACCAACCCAATTCTCTAAGTATACATTTTGTTTGTCTTGTTATAGAGGACTCATAAATACCAACATCATCCATCCCAAACTGCAACCCAAGCTATTTGATGTATGAGGCCGTCAGGATATGACACCTTTCCTGGTTGGTCTCAACCCATCAAAACCTTCTCCCATCTGTTCAGAAGAAATAATGGTTGAATTAAATCATCAATCAGTTGATGGAATAGACAAGGCATGCAATACACAGTATCACTTAATTAGACCCAAAATTTGCAAAGATGTCAAAGGGATATCATATCTGAATGATACTCCTGCCAAAGGTGCAGACCTGGCTTTGCCTTGCATGTATCCTAGTCCCTTTACAAAGTATCAATTTGTTTCAGCACAAAGTATTTTCGGCAGCCAATCAGCTCTATTTAAGTTTTTCCATTGCCAATATGCATCTTCTAGTCTTAAATTTCAAAAGCTCTAAAAACTGCAGTTGTAGCTAAATTAATTCATACAGCATTGAGCCTCAAACATCCCGTACAGATATTACCTTCTGTAAGTTATTTTATCCAACAACAGCATCAATAGCAAGAAATATTAACTAGGTAATTTAAAAAACCTCTAACTTAAAAATTGAGGAAATAAATAGCATCATATCGAGTATCATCATAATAATGCTGAAATGATAGCACATGCTTCAGTTAAGAACAAAAAATTTTGCTAGTTCTGAAATATATTCGTCCAGATGTGTGCAATAACCTTAATAGATGTTTCAAAAGTAAAAGAAGTGTAGGACACTATCAAAAGTCTGCAGTATGACTCAATCTTTTTTTTTTTCTTTGGACAATTACATGACTCAATCTTACCAGAATTGTGAACGCCACAGGGTTATAGATCAACACCCTCATCAAGGCCTTTGGAACTGATCATCACATTAGAGTCAATTTGCTTGTCAAACTTCTTCTTCCTCCTAGCTTCAAATTCTTGGAATCCATCCATCTAAATATATACATTTGTTAAAGCATACCTAACTTTAGTACTTTGTCTGAAAATTATCAACTGCATCTAGCAGTGAATCATGGAGATACTTACTTGCTGAAACTGATCCATAGAAATAGGATTGCCGTGCAGTGAGATATTCTGGAGAGTTTTGCAGTCTTTCAATAAATTAGAAGGTATCTGTAACCAAGAGATATCACAGTATAAATAGAAAACAAGCTACCAAAATTGACCTTGAAAATATTTATTAAACAAAAATACACAGTCTACTATTTTAGATTATATTCATTCTAAAGTGAAATTGTATCAATTGCTGTGTACAAATTTAATTAAGCTGCGTTCGCATGGGAAGTTCTGTGCAGCCAAAAGACATTGGCTAAATCTTGCTTTCCACCACATATGGATATTGATGCTTTATTTCTTCTTTTTTTTGTACAATTATTTGGGGGAAGTCCATGCTTTGTATTAATAATGCAAGTCCACTTAATCCCTTTTTAGTAACTCCTGCTCCCACATTTCTTATGATTGATTGCACAAGATGTCATTGCATGAACCTCCATGTCCAGAGACCCTTGCACAAACAGCAGCATAACAAAAGTTACACAATCCTTTGTACATTCTAAATCATGCCAACTGTGATACCTTCTGCTTTCAAATTTGTAAATGCATAAGGTTGAGAAACAAAAACAAAAAGAGCCAGTTGTACAAGCTCTCCAATCCTAAAAAACTGCATACAAGCAATCCTGCAATAATGGTTATCACCAATTTGCAGTTGAACTTTTGTGCATCTTATTTATAAGCATCTTGCATAATGCCATATTTAAGAACTTCAGATGGTACAATAAACGTGTTAATTCTCTTCTATCAAAGATTCAAGATTAGTTCAATCAGATTGTGATCTGGAAGTTGCAACAAATATTAAACCTACTAATCTGCTCAAATCTTTGTATCCAGCCACATTAATCCATTTCATCAATTATTTCCAATTGTTAATCTTGTACAAGAGTAAATAACCAAAACTCTCAATCCAAAACTTCAAGGCTTCTTTGAAAGCTCCCCAATTAAAACCATAATTAGGAGACATTGACATATTTCTGGAAAAACATCAGAGGAGACAGAAAATCCAATAGCAAGAAGTATACTGGTTGCTGATCCTATTGTAACCAACACAAGTAATACAGGGGATAATAACAAATCTACCAATGTTATTGTGCAGGGGGAAGAAGTTAGAAATGACATGAACTATGTAGTAACTACCTCGCTGACGTTGTTATTGTTTAAGCAAAGTGACTTTAGGTGAATGAGATTGCAAACAGATGCAGGAAGTTCTTCAATAAGATTATCTGCAAAGTCAGACAAAATCATGAAGCTGTGAGTTGTAAAAATAGGATTATAATGCATGAAAGTATAGCACCACAACTACTGTAGTCATTATTCAGAAATCTAAGTGAAATTCGGAGTGCAGACAGAGTCAAGAACCCTTTCTGCTCCTATCAATTAAACGACAACCTAATCCACAAACAACTAGACACTTTCACAGCATAAGCATTTTGTTTTTGTCAATCTATGTTATATGTGACATAACTCTGGATGAACAAGGGCTGATCTCATATTGCTCATAAAAATATCTCAACTAAAACATGAAGCATTTTTCAGTAAACATGCAATAAGATTTCCAAAATTATGATGCTACTAAACTAAGACAAATCATCATTGAAAGGCAACCAATCAAAATATAAGAAGGGATAGATAAGAGAAAGATCAACTAACAGACAAGGACTATGGAATTACACACACAAGGAGCCTTGGCTTTCATAAATTGGCAGATGAATCTCATCCAAGACTATTGCTCTCAAATTTTCATCTTGTGCAAGTTTCTTGGAGATATACATATGCTGTTACTAATAGCTCTTGCTAAAGGAAAAAATAATTAGGTAGAGATAATTTATTTTACAAGGGCAAAGAAGAAAACATAAGACAACAACTTGGACAAAGAATAAGTAGCATTAAATCTCATAAAAAAATTTAAATTCATAAAAAGCAAATCAGACACAGAAGATATTAATATTTAATAGTTTATAAAATTTTTATATTTCTGCTACATTCATCAAAGTGAGTTACAAAATCTCACTAGGGCAATTTAGACAATCAAACACACAGATAACGTTCTGACATCCTCAGAGATTGCATTCACAAAATTATTCGACAGTTATTCTTTTAAAAAGCACAAGCAGTTTTGTGGCAAAAAAGTGAGAAATGGTAAATATGCATTGATAAACATACCATTTGCTTGCAGTTCTTCCAAAGAAAAGCAGCTCCCAACTGATTCAGGAAGATACTTTAACTTGTTATTAGACACATTAAGCAGGGATAACTGCATTTCCAAACAACATAAATTAGATCCACGAATTATCTGCAAATTTCTAAACATATCATATCCCGGCTGATTATTGTAGGTATATTTATGCCTTAAAGAATGTCTAACTTAGTACTCTTTTTCTTCATTAACACTATCATTAATCTATTCATAAAATCAAAGTAAGATCAAGTCGGCTGATCTCAAGATAAATTCATTGTAGTCCATTAGCATTATTACCGGTGCTTAAACCAGGCAAACATGCAAATGTTTGTTAAACCAAAGGGGATAATGAACAGTTCCATCAAGTTCATTGTTCACTAAGTGGAGTCACTTACATTACGCAAGCTGCCAATAGTCTCAGGCAAGGATGTTAACATATTTCCATAGATCGACAACCGCTCAAGTCTTACCAGCTGGCCCACTGGACAGAAGAAATGCGGTTAGAAGCCAGTGAAACAATATAATTGCCCCATGAAGTTTGCAGACATTGCCATGAAGCAAATCTGCAAATAATGGGGGCAAAAGAATGTGTAGATATAAAATTTTCTTACTTATTTAGAAAAGGATATTACATTCATCAGGCAAAGAAGTAATTTGGTTCCCATCAAGTATCATAACTTTCAGAGACTGAAGCTTCCCCAGATTAATTGGTAGTCGCTCAATAAGATTGGTGGCTAAGATCTGGAGGGAACAAAGGAGAGAGAGCTAGTTTAAAAGGTAGCTAAGTTTTATATACCCTGATTTTAGGAAAAGAAATGCAGTCTCTCCATCCATCTAAACAAACCAATATGCTAACATGGACATGCAAATACTCATGTTAGACAAAAAATATTCCAAAAGAATGTATTTGTCGAAGATAACAAGACATTATTCCAGTGCCCCAAAAAGTAATCAATGCAAACAGTAACCAAAATGTGAAAGTGAGATACTTCCCTTTCTATCAGTCTTTTCTCCTTTTGTTACTAAATTGAACAAGAAACAGATAAAAGGGTCCACCAACAATTAGAAAATAAAACATATTTTAAACATGTGCATAGTTCTTACCAGACGCTGCAAGTTGACTAGTTTGCTGATTTCCATTGGAATCTCAACTGCATGGAAGGATAAACCAGACTAAGAACAATAACTAAGAAAATTAAGGCTTCATTGAGCTAGGTTAAGAGATTTAAAAGAAATGATATTTGTTTTCTTTACTAAGAAAAATAGGAAATCATATTTGACTAACTTCTGCTCAATCTACTAAGAAAGGATGTTTCTTCTGTTTCATGTGTTTCACAAGCAGAAATGGCCATACCTAATTTATTGTGCGTTAAATCAAGAGTTCGCACAGATCTATCCAGATCAAGAACTTCATCAGGAAATGTCTGTTCAATTCAAAGCGCACATCAGCATAAACACAAGGAATAAATGCAATAATCCCCATTCTAAGTCATTTAAACTACCATTTTTCTCAACCAATATGGCATAAAATTTGCAATAACAAATTAATTTGTCTATTAATTTGTAATTCACACCAAAGAAAGGCATACAGGCTAGGTTAACTCCAGTCATTGTTCCTTTGGCTATTTGCTTTATTCTATTGGCTTTCAAAGAGTTGCAATAAAGCAAAAATTGCTAAAAAAGCAAAACCATAATTAATTAAAAATGAAAAAATGACTAAAATACAGTACCAACTGTGACCTCGTTGTATATATAAAAGTAAGAACTTGCATTTCACATAAAAAAGTTACACTTCTTATTTTTAATTTTTCAGAAATATTATTTACTCTAGTATCCAAACAATGGTAAAAGTAACAAAAGCAAAACTATAAAGGTAAAAAGAGCAATAACGATACGTAACTCAATAACAAATAATTGCAACAGTTCGTGAATTAATACTCAATTCCGTTAGTAAAGAAAATAAAATGAGAGTAGCCTTGGTACACATAAACAGTAGACGTTTATGCAATACTAACCTAAAGCTAAAAACAAACGTAAGAAATTGCATTGAATTGGAGAAGAATTAGCCTCTCATAAGCAACATGAGGACTCTTAAAACTTCTAAAATAATAATGAGGCAAACCAATTAAGCAAAACCCAGAAACCATCATCATCTAAAATGTCTATTTCCTTCCTCAAATACTCAAATTGTATATAAAAGAAAAGGAAAGAAAATCCCAGATAGATTAAAAAGGAAAAGGGGGCTTACCTTCAATTTGGCGTCGCGTAAAGCAACAATGCCAGTTGATCGCCACCGGGCAATCCTGTTAGCTTCGGAATCCGCGCCTTTACTTTCACAACATCCCATCTTTCTCTCTTTCTAAATTCTTCTTTCTTTCCCCTTCTTTTTTCCCTCTTTTTCCCTAAAACTCAACAACAAAAAGGAACAAAGAAAATCTATAAAGGGGAAAGAGGAAAAAAAAAGAGATTAAACAGATGGGTCAGAAATGGATTGGTCAACAAGGTCGCAGGTTTGGAAGATTCTGCATATCGGGTTTATGTTTTTCAGGAAAAACCGCGTTGGATTGGTTGGGTTTTGCGTGGAATTTTCGCGTTTGTATTGTATTTATATATAGGTTGGGCTGTGTTGGCTTTCTGGTTTTGTCGCTTGACACTAGTCCTAGTTTGGTTGTTCCATTTTGGTTAACACAGGAGGACGTATGAAAGGTGGGGGAAAGAGACTTTGTTATTTTTATCACATTGGGCCAAATTTTCTCGACAGATTCAATCCGTATGTCTTTATGTCACAATAACAAAATTAATACTAAGATTTTTGATCTCTATTGTTTGATCAACATTAAGCTTGAATCCATGTGTTTTTTCTAATAAGAGTAGTAGCAAATAAAAGAGAAGGTAGCTTGTTTATCTTTGTGGTTAATGCTATTTTATTTGCATATAGCTCTAACAATTTTAAAATGGGTAAGATTCGGATTTTTTTTTTCAAATTCAAATAAAAAAATATTACATTCTCTAATAAAATATTTTTTGCAAAATACGGAATTATTGATTATTGAAACAACTTAGGCAACAGTTGACTAATCGGACCCGGATGGACTTTTTTAAGTTTCTGAGGTTATTTTGGACATATTTTTTGAAGTTGAAGTAACAAACTGAGGAGCGAGAGAAAAGATGGAGAGGAGACGAGAGGAGGGTAGAGACAGAAAGGGGGTTAGGGTTGAGAGACGAAAGAAGGGCGGAGGCAGAGAGTCCGACACCGGTACGGGGGACGGCAGAGGAGAGGAGCAGAGCTGGAGGGAACTGGGAAGAGAGAGAGAGTGAACTCTAAATAAACACACAGTGAAATAGAAATAGAGAGGGAGCCGAAAAGAATCGAGGCTGAGAACAACCCAATTGCAACCAACCAACAACTGAGTGGCACTCGTTTTTCCTGCAATTAGTTAAACAAGTTGTCGAAGGTCAGCCCTCAATCGATCTTTTAACCAATTTTCATTACTTTGGAGCTTCTTTTTCGCTCTTCATTCTGCTTATTTTCCTTGCAGTTCCTGCTCTGTTCTCATTTCTATCCTACCAACTCCACTGATCTCTTTCCTTAAACTTCAATTTCAAATTCCCAAGTTTATGTGTTTTCAATTGCTTGGAAACAACCCTTGGGGTTTTAATTGCTGCAGTGATTTTATTTATGGTTTTTGCTGTTCCGGCTGAAAACACGCTGTTGTTTCTTGTAAGTTTTGTAATACTAGTTTAGGGTTTTGATTTGTTCTTTGCTTTATTCAATTCGGCTTTGTCTAAGGGGGTTTCCATTAACCGCTCAACTGGGGGTTTGATCCCTAGGGTTTTGGTTCTGCAAAGATGAGATTTGGCTTTGCATTGTATGGTTTCTGCTTGTGTCAACTTAGGGATGTTCGGAAACTGAAATAACTGTAGCACCTTGGGAATTGTGAGTTTGCATTGTGAATTTTGGCTTGCTGTTTTACTCTCAATATGCAGACATTGAGAGCTTGTTTTGCATTGTATGGTATGCAAATTGGTGAATTTAAAATATATATGAAAGAGATTATAAAAAGAAATAAAATAGAAAAAGTGATTTGTTTCGCATGGTTCATATTTCTCCTTCTTTATTCCTTTCTCTTTTCTTGAATTTTCTGAAAAAATTATAATTTAGAATAGTTTACAAAAAATTACTAGGGGTTGGTTTGTTTTGCAGTAAAATATTTTGCAGAAAAGTTTTCAGGATTTATGTTTGTTTGGAAGATGGAAAAGAAATTTCAGATGTAAAACATTTTACAAGTCAATAGGTTAACTATGGAAAATGTCTTACGCCCTCAAGGATGTAAGATATTTTCCAGAGAACAACAAAAACACTTTTGTACTAAGTTTATGTGTATAAGTTTGAAGAATATTAATATTTAATTTAAAATATTAAAAAAATAAAAATATTAATATTTAACTTTTAAAAAATTAATTTAAAATATTAATATTTAAATTATACAACATTATTAAAATTAAAAAATTAATTTTTAATGAAACCATTCAATACAATTAAATTTTTTATTTATAAATAGAATAAATCTTATTAATAATTATAATAAAAAATATTTCAAGGATCATCATTTGATGAATACACATTTATAATAGGTTTAAATCTTACTAATAATTATAATAAAAAATATTTCAGTGATCGTCATTTAGTGAATACATATTTATAAATATAAGTTTTGGATATCTTACATAATTGATGAATATTTATATTTTTATAGTTATGATAAAAAAGTGATAAGATGGAATTTTTTTTGAAAATTAGAGTTTATTTTCATTACAGATATGTGGTTAAATGCTTTGGGAAATATTATTATTGATTTTGTTTATTTTCATTTTCATTCTTAATTTTGATCCCAAATAAGTGAAAATCAAATAACAATATTATTTTGTAATTAATTCCTATTTATTATTTTAACACCTGAATAACTTCAACATGATGGAAAATATTTTTCCTAAAATGATCCAAACAACAAAAAATGTTTTTGATTGTTTATCCAAATAATAGAAAACATTAAAATTTTCCCATAAAACATTTTACACAAAAAATTTTCCTCCAGCAAGTCATTTTCTGGTTACCAAATGGACCTTAAGTACAAAAAATTGGACTAATTGTTTTGTGTTTATTTTTTTACAGTCAACGTAGTGCGGGAGAAAGCACTAGTTACCTTGATACTTAGATTCCCTAGAGTAAGTGAGAACAGAGTTTTGGAAGGAAGTAGTTTAATTTTAATTCTTTTCCCTTCAATTTGAACGTACAATTGATATTATTATTCGAATTGTGACTGAAATTTGAACTTTCCAAAGCATGGTCTAAGACTCAATTTTATTAAAAGAATGAAAGGAATTGTCATTTAAGGTTTTCTTCTTTTTAATATTTATGCGTTGGTGAAAATATAAGCTTTGGACTATAGAATAATCTTCAATCTTATTGACAGTAATTTGTGGAAATTATATTTTTACCAACATATCCCTGCCATACTGTATATGTAAAGCTAGATTCTATGATGTAAATGTGTTTGATTTCAGTTTATAACTGTCAGGTTTAGTGATAGATTTTCAAGTTCATTCCTAACTTTATAGTATCTTTTAATGCGCATTGAATAAGTAGCTTGGCATTGGCATGATTCTTTATTTCATTGTTACTTGCAGTGAAAATGGGGAGTGAGAGTAATTTGAAGACTTGGGTCTCTGATAAGTTAATGTCGTTGCTTGACTATTCCCAGCCTACACTTGTTCAGTACATTATCGGACTAGGTCAGTCACCTTAACCTTCTATATATACATACATGCTGCCATTTGTTGAAACAAATCTAAAATAGATAGTAACAAATATGGTATATTTAGTAAATTATTGCTATTGTTGCAGCTAAGCAAGCAGCATCACCTACTGATCTACTGGGCCAGCTAGAAGAATGTGGCTTACCATCATCAAGTGAGACCCATTTATTTGCTCAAGAAATCTTCAGTAGAGTTCCTCGTAAAGCATCTGGTGAAAATGTGAGTTATTATTTTATACTTTCCATATGCATAGACTTAAATGTTTGGCAATAGTCCTTTCTTCTTTCGTTTCTTTTTGCAACTGTAATATATATTTATTGCAATAAGGCTTCTAACAATTTTTATCTGCTGTTATTCTTCTTATCATCAGCTTTACCAGAAACAAGAAAGGGAAGCTGCTTTCTTGGCTAGGAAGCAAAAGACTTATGCAATTTTAGATGCTGATGACAATGAAGATGACGCTGGTACTAGTTCAAGTGTTCATCACCATTCTTCCAGTGAGCCCATTTCTGAGGCCAGAAAAGCAGATAAACATAAGAAACGATTCAGGAAGAAGATTGAAAGCGAAGAAGATGAAGATGATGAGGCATAGTGTTTATATCCTAGTTCAGTTTTTGTTTCTTATGGTAAGCTGCTATTTGATGCTTCTTCTAATGACATTTTGTATTTGTTTTGACTGGATGCGACACTGCAGGTGATCACACATGTAGAAGAAGAGAGACGAGTTAAAAGGCGGACTTCTCAAGATGAGGATGATGGTTCAGAGGTATGCTATCGTGACCACTTTCTATTATATGTCTAGTGAAGAAGTAGAAATCCTTTTGGGAACCCTGCTTTTCAGACGACAGCTTTACCAAGAACTTTTAAAGATACTTAAGTTTTGTTCATTCACTAGCTAGTGAGTTCTACTAGTTATATCAACAGAAACTATGTTAATTTTATGTTCTTCTGAAAGAACAAGTGCATTCTGTTATAGTCTTTGGTCAATTTTTTTACTTCTGCTTACATTCTGTAATGCATGCCTGTATTATTTCTGATATTTGTATGTCCTTTTTCCCCTGCTATTTGATCTATATGTGGATTATTTATCTTTTATTATGCAGTCAGAGGAAGAAAGGTTGCGTGATCAAAGAGAGAGGGAGGATTTAGAGAGAAATATTAGAGAACGTGATGCTGCAGCCACTAGGAAGGTGAGATCGACAGTTTTGTATTTTCATACTATTAATAGGCAGTCTACTTAAGAATTTTATTTTTGTTCTGGGTTTAACCTTGTTGTTAAAAGCATCTTGCTTTATTCAAAGTGCACATATCCTTCCTTTGTTCTTATATAGCTATGTGCATGCAAAGGAGTTAAATGAGCTGTGGCTTAGGGCTTAATATAAGTTTTGTATTTCCCCCAAATTAAATATTTATGAAGCATCCATTTTCAGAGTTTTGGATATGTGAGTGTCATTGGCACTAGAATATGATGTAATTATAAGCATGCATTTCAGTGTACATGTATGATATTCTATACATGTTTTAGAAGTTGGAATATGGCTTCTTATGTGTCAATTATTTGCATTTGAAAACTTGTTTTCCACATGATTGGATGCAATCATATATATAGACATTTTAAGAGTTGTACTGGGACTTCAATGTGAGCTAATTATTATTTTGGAAGTAATTTATGAAAAGTACATGGTTTCATTGGTACTCCTTTGTGAGTCTGTCTTGGGGATGGGGAGGGCGGTGTATGTTTGTGCTTTGCAAATGTTTTCTTTTGTCTTTCATGTTACTGATGTTTCTCTCTTGATATTATTGTCAATAGTTAATGGAGCCAAAGCTTTCCCAAATGGAGGAAGGTATGGCATTTCATTTTTAGATTTATTATGCATTGTCTACATGATGCGTTTTGTTGATTCTGATTGTTTTTGGTTATTGTGCAACAGAGGAGGCCATACGAAGATCTAAAGCTTTCGAGGAAGATGACATTAATAGTTTAAGGTCTGCCCTTGTATATTCTGCCTTATTTCATTACCTTGTGTTTTGTCAATTATGATTAAGGCTCTGTTGAGAATTTCTGCTTGTACCCTCTTCTATTTATGCTGTGAAGTGCTTAGCTGCTTGGTATTTGTTAATAGTTGTCTTGAAGATTTCTTAAATGAATCTTGGGTCTAAATAACTTGTTCAAATTATTAATATCACCTTTTAAAGCTTTATATATATATATATATCTTCTCCCTTCAATTTTCTACTCTTAATGTAACAGTGAAGATGGAATTATGATACCCTTGTTGCAGTTTTCAATGATAAAATATGACATAAAAATTCTGGCGAAAATAAGATGTAAAGGGCTGCTTTTCAACTATCACCACAACCAGTGCTATTGGTGTATGTATATCTCCATCCACCCCTTGATGGATCTAGCTATCTGCAATGCAGTATAATTTTTTTTTTCCTTTTTTGCTGTCTTGAGTATGATCTATTTCAGTCATATATTGTTGGCCTTGTGTAAGACATTCCCCCCTTTTTGTGGTATTCCTGATGCGTACCGGGAGGTGATGCATTCTCTTTTTGTTGATTTTGATTCAGAAAAGTTTCAAGGCAAGAGTACTTAAAAAAGAGGGAGCAGAAGAAGCTTGAGGAACTCAGGTATTCTGAACCACATATTGCTATAACTGTGGCTTAATGTTGTGCTATTTTGGTTTTTTTTTTTGGGCCTAAGTTACGGAGGCAGACTTAATAAGTCTAATAATCTTGCAAAACTATTTTCAAAAGTTCCTTAACCATCATTTTCTTCTATTTTTCATGTGTAATTCAGGGACGAAATAGAAGATGAGCAATACCTTTTTGATGGTGTGAAGCTTTCTGAAGCAGAATATCGTGAGTTAAGGTAACCTATTTGTTTCATTGGCTGGAGCCAGATTTCTTTTCATTGTCTCCTTTAAAGTATCATGACTAAATAAGGCCATGTGGATTAGGTTAGGAATATTATAAGCAATTAGGTTATTTAGTTAAAGTGGTATACATAAAAACCAGAGGCTGTTGTTTTATTTTTATGCACGGAAATTGCAATTTATGTTTTTCTCGTTTAGTACTAAGTGGTATGATATTTATATATCTTGCAGGTACAAAAAGGACATATATGAGCTTGTGAAGAAGCGGACAGAAGAGGATGAAAATATGGGTGAGGTAATGTAGAAATAAGCGGGTCCTTTTGATAATTTTTTATTACACTTAATTGTCTAGTGTGCTATTGGGTGCTTCCATCACCTTTATTTGAACATCAATTGTTAGCTAACTTGAGGTTGTCATTGGATGTTGTTTGTGTTTAAACCTTTAATATTGGCTGTTTGTTGTATGAAGTATTATTTCAAATAGTTGTAACCTTCCAATGCTACTACCTTAAATGTTAATGGGAATGGTATGAATTGTGTTTTGTTCCTCTGTGAATGGTGGTCTGGAATTGATACTCCCTATAGCATAGTCACATAAACTGGCTTCTGTATGATTTGCACCAGCACTCTTAAGACAGGGCAATATTGTCATCATTGCCGTATTTAGTAATCAAAGTTACACTTTATCACCAGTTTGAGTGGTGACTGCTGGAGAATAATGGAAGAACATTGATGATATTAGAGGAGAAATTTTTTTCTTTGTTTTGACATACATCCTCTTATATCTCAGATGAATCAAGTTTTAGTTACTGTGTCATAGAATTGTTAAATATATTGGTTATGCAGCCTGCTTTGATTTGAGTACAATGTTTATTTTCTTGTGCCAACTAAGCCTGTAAATAAAGAGAAACAGATACAATTAAATGTGCTGTGATCTGTGTGTATGTGTGTTTAGGTCTTATAGAGTGCCTGTAAAGGGTAATGTTAAATTTATATTTGATCTTTTTTATCATATTTCAGCGTGTTCTTTCCCTACTCTGATATATTTTCCGATAAATCCTTGTGGAGTGCAGTACAAAATGCCAGAAGCTTATGATCAGGAAGGGGTTGTTGACCAGGAGAAGAGATTTGCTGTGGCTCTTCAGCGTTACAGGTCAGTTGGAAAGAAAGTTTGCTTTAAACCATCAGTGAGTGGATACAAGGAAGTGAGCCATATGGCCAATACCACTCTAAGCTGAACAAATCAGCTCTTACATTTTGTTGGAAATTCCATTTCTTTGGAAAACTTCACTAGGCTGAACTAGCATAGTGCTTTAGCATCTTCGAGGCGTGACTTTTATCAGTTGACATATTGTCTGCTATGTATTCCTTATAGAGACCCTACTGCTGGGGATAAAATGAATCCATTTGCAGAACAAGAGGCTTGGGAAGAGCATCAAATTGGTAAGTTGTTGTCAATCTTATGGTAGTGCATCTCATAAATAACATTCTGGTTGTTTTTGTTGTGTCTAATAGAGAAGTCATTATCTTTCAGGCAAGGCTACATTGAAATTTGGCTCCAAAAATAAGAAGCAAACAGCTGATGACTATCAGTAAGTTTTGATATCTCATTTCGTGGAGAAAATTATGTGGTCTCCAGCCTATAGCTTCCCATCCTGCTTCTCTCTGTTCACATCATCTTGTTTTATTTGTTAGGTTTTTCTATGCGATGTTCTCTTTGTTTGTGTGGTTGATGTTACGTGAAATAGTTAGAGATCATAATATTTATGTATCTTTCTTTTTTTTGATGTAAACTTGTTTATTCTGAATGTCCGTTTGTTCAGATTTGTGTTTGAGGATCAGATTGAGTTTATCAAGGCATCAGTGATGGATGGTGACAAGGTATTTATCTCCATTAACATTTGAGTGGTATGTGTAATAAAACTTTCATCTGAGTGTCTTTTTCTTCTTTGCAGTTTGATAATGAGCTGCCAACTGAGTCACCTGAGACATCGAAGGCAAAATCAGAATTGGAGAAACTACAGGTTCCAACTTTTCCTCTATATAATAATTTGCCATTATGTGGTATGCTCTTGGGATATATATTGGAGGTGTAGTAATTTAAAAACAATGATAAAATGTCAGTTAGAAGGCAAAACATTATACATAGTGGAGGAGGATGAGTAGAGATATAATGTTTGACATTAATAAGTTATACATTTTATGCTTTGGCTCAGTTGTCTCTAGACTGATTGACTGAATTTTATAACATGCCTAGTATTGCCTATACTTTTGTTTGCTTTTCTTTTTTTTTGAAGTCATGAGGTTAGACTGGGATAAATGGATCTATGCCGTTATGAAATTATTCAGAGTGGTTCCTTTTCTCCCTAGCAAATCCATTGTAGCTGGAATATCTTTTTTCTTCTTTCTTTTGGTGATCCTGCAGAGAAAATGGAATATCTTTTCAGGCTTTGCATTTAACAAGACAGCCCACAGGCGCTTGGGAAATGATTTTTTTTAAAAATTTTCTATGGAGCCCTTAAGAAATTCTAAAAGTTTGCCATATTGTGTACCATATTTTCTCTTCTGGCTGCCTTCAATTATCTATATCTTAGATCTAAATGATACAATATTTTATGATTTTATTGTGAATCTTACCTACCCTTGCTTTTTTCATCAATCAGGAGGACAGAAAAACTTTGCCAATTTATCCATATCGAGATAATCTACTTAAAGCTGTTGAAGATTATCAGGTTTCCATCTTTTCTTAGTAGTAATCTAATGTTTCAGTGGGGATTAATTTCTTCCCTTGTCACTGTTGTCTTTTCTTCTGTGCTTTAGAGTTTCTTTTTCCCCTTAGTTATCTGTTATGTTGACTTGTTAAGCGGTCCTTGAAATTCTCTAGTTTTACATATTTTGTCAAGTATGGAGACATTTCCATTATTTTTAAATCTACCACATCAGTTTCATTCAGTCTTCAATCTATATTTATGTTATAGAGAGATGTATAAATTGACTTGAGATGCATGTATACTTTAGATTTGCACTGGAATGCATAAGCCTTTATATATGATATAAGATGTGGCTTGTTCACAGGATTCTACTTCATTTAACTTGTAGGTTCTTGTTATTGTGGGAGAAACTGGTTCAGGAAAGACCACACAGATACCACAATATCTTCATGAAGCTGGTTACACCAAACGCGGGAAGGTATTGCTTTGCTTATTAGCATATATTTTGGTGTGGTATGATTATGATACTACTATCTATAATTTGCAAAGATTTCAAATTTGCATATTTTATATTTACTAAAGTAGAAATGGATTGTTGAGAAGCAATAGCCAATAAGAAATGCTATTTTTGCTAAGTTTTGTTTGATGGTGGCACCAAGTAAAATGTGTAACCTTTTCCTGTTTGGAAATAGTTTCTCTTTTAACATGACTAGCTCATTTGAAGTGCAATTTGAATCTAATTCATATTATTTATTGTTAATTATTTTATGAGGGACTTCGTATTATTTATTCTAAATTATTTTATGAAGAATAATAGTATTTATGGCTTCCTATAGTAAAATAAGACGTTATTAAATTATGAATATGTTTCAATATTTGTTACTTTGTCCAGCTAATAATTTTCAGCTAAAATTTTTAATTTTTAAGATTTATCATTTTCTTATAAAATTTGTTGGCATAATACTATAGGGACTCTATTTCAAGCTATTTTAATAAAACAAAAGGGTGATATTGTGTTCACAAAAGTTTTGCACTCCTAGAGCCTCATTTATATGTGGTATAGATTTGGAGCTCTCTGCCAATTATCTTTCCATTCTGTGTATGCTTTTCTGAACTTAATCATCGAAGGTCTTGAACTTTGCAGTGGGCTTCTTTTCTCCTTTCTTCTTCTTTTTTAATCAGTTACGTTATTTATCAAGAAGATAAAAGGGATTTGAATGATTATTTAATTTATTCTAGGAGACCAGCTCCTACAAAATATCCTGTTGGGTGGGCTTATAGATGGAGTATCTAAGAATCTATATAAAAAAAGAGGTGGAAAAAGAGTGGCACGAGTTTGGCAAGGATTAACATTAATTATCATTTTTTATCTTTTTTCTTTTTGCACAGGTAGGTTGTACACAGCCTCGAAGAGTTGCTGCTATGAGTGTAGCTGCTCGAGTTTCTCAGGAAATGGGCGTCAAACTTGGGCATGAGGTTGCTATCTTTATTTGATGTACTCAGATCATTCAGTTGCACTTTCTTTGTAATGTATAGGTTATTGTAAGCAAGTGGAAGATGATGCATCTCTAAACTTGAATAGTTCTGTCATTTTCAAGTCCTTCTATTGACATATGCTTGCATGACTTGAATACTAGCGCGTAGCTATGCTACATAATATCAGGAACATCCTGGCATTGTTTGTTTTTTCAGTACTCAATCTAAGCTGTGTTTTTTGATATTTAGAATAAAGGAAATTATCTTGATTGAAATTGCAAGTTACTTTAAGTAACTATAGATTTATTTGGAAGTATCCTAGTGATTTCATTGTGTTTGGAACTACTCCTGACTGGATTTTGTTAACATCCTTGTCTCTTTTCAGGTTGGTTATTCTATCCGTTTTGAAGATTGCACGTCAGAAAAGACTGTGTTGAAGTATATGACAGACGGAATGCTGTTGCGAGAATTGCTTGGTGAACCTGATCTTGCAAGCTACAGGTTAGTTATGTTTTATACCCTCATCAAATTTAATTGAATAAGTTTCACTGCTTTACTCATTCTGTGCTTATTTTTCTTAGTGTGATAATGGTGGATGAGGCTCATGAAAGAACTGTGTCGACTGATATTCTTTTTGGATTGGTGAAGGCAAGTAGAGATTCTTAAGTTGAACTTCCTCGCATTTGTTTGCATATTAATTCATTAAATAAATTCCAAGTGCTATTTAATTCCTGCATGATATTATGTAAGTTGGACTCCCTTGATGATTTCCTGAAATCATGAGCCATTTTTTTGGTTGATCTACGATAAGAGTTCTTGAACTTTGTTATCTGATGATAGCTTGATGTTAGTTCTTTTGTTTGTTATCTTATGATAGCTTGATGTTCAGATTGTAGGCCTCATACACATATCAGAAAGTAGAATCAGTCTCTTCATGTTCAGTGTACTGGAGATTTGTCTGATTTTTTGTGCTTTTGATAGGATATAGCACGGTTTAGAAAGGATATTAAATTACTTATTTCAAGTGCAACACTGGATGCGGAGAAGTTCAGTGATTTTTTCGATTCTGCTCCAATTTTCAAAATTCCTGGGAGAAGGTATCCTGTTGAGATACACTACACAAAAGCGCCGGAAGCTGATTACTTGGATGCTGCAATTGTTACTGTACTTCAAATCCATGTGTCACAGCCAGCTGGAGATATTTTGGTTTTTCTCACTGGTCAAGAAGAAATTGAGACGGCAGAAGAAATTTTGAAGCATAGAATAAGAGGCTTTGGGACAAAAATTGCAGAACTTATAATCTGCCCTATATATGCCAACCTTCCAACTGAACTTCAAGCCAAAATATTTGAACCTACCCCTGAAGGTGCACGCAAAGTAGTCCTGGCAACAAATATTGCAGAAACATCATTAACCATTGATGGGATTAAGTATGTCATTGATCCAGGTTTTTGCAAGATGAAATCTTATAATCCAAGGACTGGAATGGAGTCTTTGCTGGTAACTCCCATCTCTAAAGCTTCAGCTAATCAACGTGCTGGTCGGTCTGGTCGAACGGGCCCAGGAAAGTGTTTTCGGTTGTACACTGCCTACAATTATTATACTGAATTGGATGACAATACACCACCAGAGATACAACGGACTAATCTTGCCAGTGTTGTTCTTTCTTTGAAGAGTCTTGGGATTCATGACTTGATAAATTTTGATTTTATGGATCCACCACCAGCTGAGGCTCTACTGAAAGCATTGGAACTTCTCTTTGCACTGAGTGCATTAAATAAACTTGGGGAGTTGACTAAAGTTGGTAGACGAATGGCAGAGTTCCCTCTTGATCCTATGCTATCAAAAATGATAGTTGCTTCGGACAAGTACAAGTGTTCAGATGAGGTTATTTCCATTGCTGCCATGCTTTCTGTGGGAAATTCAATCTTTTACCGTCCGAAGGACAAACAAGTTCATGCTGATAATGCAAGGATGAATTTTCATACTGGGAATGTGGGTGACCATATTGCTTTAATGAAGGTTGGTTTTTCAAAGAATAAATATTTGTTTATACAGAATGTCCCTCCTTACCTTACACTTAAGCTCTCGTATTTTACTGACTTGATAAGCATATGCTGATCAATCTTGTTATGTCTCATTTAAAAGGTTAAATTGAGCAGTTGTATTTAGACTGTAGTTTAACTGCCCCTGTAGTTACACTTTTCCGATTGCCTTCCTTCTCTGCCACCTTCCTTTCTGTTTCTTGCATCCGTTGAAGCATCAGATTGTAGGTTAAGTCTGATTTTATGGTTCAAGTTATTTTTCAAAAGTTTGGTGACCCTCTTCATTGTTGTTATTTTCTAGGTTTACAATTCTTGGAGGGAAACAAATTACTCAACACAATGGTGTTATGAAAATTATATTCAGGTATAACAGTAATTACCTTGATTTTGTTGTTGTGTGGATTACTTAAGTGGTTGTGCTTTTGATTGAACTTCATATAGAATATTTTTACTTAAAGATTTCTTTTCAGTTACTGTTTTTTAAAATGAATATTTGAATTTATGTAAGTATCTGTTGGTCACAACTGTTGCAAATGACAGCATGATGTTTCCTGGCTTTTTGGATGTTGCTTTGTTTGCTATTTGTTGATAACTTAAAAATTGAAATGGTCTTGTATTTGTGATTTCAATTTTTTAGGTCAGGAGCATGAAGCGTGCCAGAGACATTAGGGACCAATTAGAAGGTCTTTTGGAGAGAGTTGAAATTGAACTAACATCCAATTTAAATGACTTAGAGGGTATAAAAAAGGCCATAACATCTGGTAAGTTTGCAAGGATATATTGTTTACAGCATCTTCAAATTGGAAGTGCTCTGGCTGTTGACTGCTAAAGTTCAATGTATTCTTTCAGGATTTTTCCCTCATTCAGCTAGGTTGCAGAAAAATGGTTCTTATCGGACTGTGAAGCATCCACAGACTGTCTATATACATCCAAGCTCAGGGTTGGCACAAGTAAGCTTATTACCAATTAGTTATTTCTATAATTATGTTTAATGTGATTAACTGTCCAATATAGTCCATGATTAAGATGATTGCTTCTGTGAATGCTTTTAAATTTTGTGTGATTACTACAAAGCATGAGTTGCTTTTTTATGCCGTTGTCTAGAGCAGCGAATATGTTAGTGAGTGATTCTAGTGTTTATTTTATTTTCTGGCTGGGGCTTATGCTGGGAAGACCTGTATTTACTTGTATTTCCTTGCTTGAAATTTCAAAGTGAACAAAGCAAGTAAAATCAGCAGTTGTGTTAATTTAATTTCTTAACCTATTTGGTCACACAGGTTAAAATTTTTCAAATATGGGTGGAAAAATTTGAGCACCTTAGGTCTATAATCCAGTCTGTAAAAAAAATAATAAAGCCACTAAATTGGGTTTGTCTGTTGTCCATTGAGTCATTATTTGATCCACAGGCAGTTTGACGAGTGTGCAATTGCATAAGCCAGCGTGTCCTGGACCCTTAGTTCTGTCAGCAAAACTGCTTGTCCATCTCTCTCTCTCTCTCTTTTAAGGAGGGTTATGTGTGTTTTGCTGTTATTTCTTTATCCTCTCGTCTGGGGTGTGGGGGTGGATCAGTTTGGTGATGCCCGCTATGGATATCCAAGTATTGTAATGTTCCGCACTGTTTACAAAATTTTTACTGTCCTCAGGTGCTCCCAAGATGGGTTGTGTACCATGAATTGGTTCTTACTACCAAGGAATATATGAGACAGGTATGTGTTCTTCTTCCCCTTGAAATATAAAAATGATTTGTGTTGGGGCTTTGTTAGTGTGTGTCGTAACCAATGCTAAAAACTGGGGCTTCAATTGCAGGTAACTGAACTGAAGCCAGATTGGTTGGTGGAAATAGCCCCACATTATTACCAGATGAAGGATGTTGAGGATCGTATGTTCTCTCTCTCTCTCTCTCTTTCTCCAATCCTTCGCCCCCCCAGACCCAATTCCACCCCCTCCTTTCTTTTTTTCTCTTAGTCAGAACACTCAGTTATATCATTCTACACATCAAGCGCATTCTGGTGTTATGTTTCATCATGATTAATGTTGTTGAGGCCTATAATTGATTAGCACTATGCTGTTATGTTTCATCATGGTTAATGTTGTTGAAGCCTCTAATTGATTAGCACTACGCTATAGGTAATCTCTTAGCTGTATATAAGTTTATTGGTTATTAAATCTCTAGTAATAATGAAGCTGCTCCCAGAGTTCACACCTAGGGTTCCGTAGTAGTCACATCTAAGGTTGTTTAGATCACACAATCACAAGAGCAATGATGTTGGAAATTCTCAAAAGCTACATGAAATTACAATAACATAGGTATTCGTATGCGCAGTCTTAAATCCTAGTTTAAATGCTAAATTCCACATATAACCGTTATTTTGTATTCAATGTCATCTCTCCATCTCATTTTAATGGCAAGGAACCATCTTTGTTTTCTAGTAATATTTTCATTTCTTGAATAAGAATTTGAAGATATAGCACTGATACTGTGAGAAAATGACTTATAAGGAATTCTACAGCAGTCAGTGGACGTGGTGGATAACTTGACATTTCTGCTGTTTGTTGCATGATCACCATCTATAAGTGGATGCTTGATTTGTAGCATAACATTATGTTTAGTGTCTAGAATACATAAATAGCTGAATCGTATCCTCTGTGGCAGCTGGATCAAAGAAAATGCCAAAGGGACAGGGGCGTGCAGCAGAGTAACCGGTGGCTTCTTTTGGTTTGAGAGGGGCATATGATTGCTTCCGTATAGAGAAAGAACAACTTGGTTTACAACCATGGGGACAAGGAGAGGACAACTGTAAATACAATTTTGTTCGATTTAGTTTACGCACTTTGATTAAGTTATCTTAGTTAAAACACACTGAAATTGTATTGTAAGATCATTCTGTTGTATGACTCAATCATAATAGGAAATTCCTTTTACCGGATAAAAGAGTCAATGACATGTTTCTTTGGTGAAGGGTCCATGGGGTACCGATTGCCTGATTACTAGATTTCAGCAACCCAAGTCTATTTCTTGTTTTAGTTTTTGCCCGCTGCGACAATCTTGGTGGGTTAGAGTTGGCGATTGGATCTACAAGCGCGTGCATTTGAATCCTGCCTGGTTTTTGGTCTTCCTCAAAAGCCAGTATTCAGCTTAACCACAGTACATTTTGGTCTCCCACGAGCTGCCTAATTTTATGCTCCGATTTGACATGTTATTGATTTCCAGCCGGGTTCGATAGCGATCTGATTGGAACACAAGCGAAATGCCTGCTACTATTACTGTCGGTGGCCGACAATATTTGGCTCCAAGTTAGTCAGGTTCTTAGGGAAATAACAGCAGTACAGATTGTGTATGGTAAAATTTAACCACCCTGGTTCCTGTATTGCGGCTTTGGCAGGAGACAAATAAGAAAGTTTTTGTAATGAAGTAAATGAAACATTATTAATTTATTCTTATAGCAGCCAGTTTAAGATGGTAGGCATTATATCGAGTTCCACTGACATGACAAAATTTGCTATAATGTAAACAGCTAGAAGTAAGGAACTTGGTCTTAAAAATTTGTAAGAATTAAAATGCGTCCTCCCAAAGCTTAGTTCTAAGCTCTAGGCCCGGAGATCTTCTTATGCCACAGCAGGCATGTCCTTGAGCCAAGGGTCGAGCGGCTTTCCGATGGAGTACACGATGAAACCCTTCTCCCTCAAGTTGTCGACGTTCACCACGTTACGCCCATCGAACACGAATGCAGGCTTCTGCATGTTGTCAAAAATTCTTTGGTAATCAAGGGTCTTGAATTCGTCCCACTCGGTAAGAATGCACAAACAATGGGCATCCTTGGTAGCTTCATAAGCATCCCAAGCTACGCTGACCTGCTTCACTGCAGTGGGGCTCATTGGCTGGAGATGAATGGGATGATCCCAATCGAACTTGTTCATGGAAAGGTCCCTCTGGATCTGGTCCTCAGTAACCTGCGGATCATATATGCTCAAGCGTGCCTTATCACCTAGGAGGCCTTTGCACACGTCAATTGCTGGAGTCTCCCGGGTGTCACCTGTATCCTTCTTGAAGGCAAATCCCAGGATAGCAATTTTCTTGCCTGAAACTGTGTTGAACATTGAGGATACAATCCTGTTTACGAAGCGGTTCTTCTGGTAGTCATTCACCTTAATAACTTGCTTCCAGTAGTTGGCAACTTCAGGTAGTCCATTGCATTCACATATATAGACCAAGTTGAGTATATCCTTTTGAAAGCAGGATCCACCAAAACCAACACTGGCATTGAGGAACTTAGGTCCAATTCTCGAGTCCTTTCCAACAGCATGGGCAACTTGTGAAACATCTGCCCCCGTAGCCTCACAGAGAGCTGACATTGCATTAACCGAAGAAATCCTCTGAGCCAAGAAAGCATTGGCTGCAAGCTTTGAGAGCTCAGCTGACCAGAGATTGGTTGTAATGATTCTGTCTTCAGGCACCCAATGAGCATAAACATCTTTCAGCGCTTGAATTGCCTTTTGGCCTTCAGGGGTTTCCCTGCCTCCAATGAGAACCCTGTCTGGTTTAAACAGGTCCTGAATTGCAGTTCCCTCTGCAAGGAATTCTGGATTTGATAGAATTTGGTACTTGATGCCCTTGCTATTGTGCGTAAGGATTTTTTCAATTGCCTCAGCTGTTTTCACCGGGACGGTTGACTTCTCAACGACGATTTTGTTGGATTTTGAAACATCAGCAATCATCCTGGCTGCACTCTCCCAATATGTGAGGTCCGCAGCTTTGCCAGCCCCAAGGCCTCGGGTTTTTGTCGGTGTGTTCACAGAAACAAAGATTATGTCTGCTTCAGAGACATGCTTTTCAATGTCAGTGCTAAAGAAGAGGTTCTTTCCTCTGCACTCCTTGACCACCTCATCAAGACCTGGCTCATAGATAGGGAGCTGGTCACTATTCCAGGCCGAGATTCGAGAAACAGAGATGTCAACAACCGCCACTTCAATGGAGGCGCACTTCAGTGCAATAACTGCCATTGTAGGACCACCAACATATCCAGCTCCAATGCAACAAATCTTCACCATTTTCTACGGTTATTAGAACATGGAAGAAAGGAATGGTTACGTACTATGTTAGAAAACAAGGAATAAAAACAAGAAGAAAATAAGGTTAAGATACCACTACGGCTTTCAAGCGTTGAGATCACTTCTCTTAAACTTCCAAAATACAACAAAGCCTCAAAACACTTTGAAGCAAAGTTAATGAATATGGCTTTACAGCAACAATTCTTTATATACTTGATGAAACCACGTCTTTTCATAACACTACTCGTGGTAAATATATAGATATAACCTTTCTTGCTAAACAAACACAACTCTACACTTGATGAACAAACATAATTTTGCACAATTCATATTAATATAATTTATGATCTATGAAAACGTAGAATAGTTTCTCACCAATGTCAAGTACTTGGTACATCAAAATTACTCGAACAAAACTTTCTTTTCTTACGTGAAATAAACAGATCCACCAATATTATTCTATTCTAAAGTACCAACATATTATACACATCAACGTTACCATAAGGTCATAAACAGCTATCTTTGCAGAAGAAATTCAATAAGCAAAATGGGAACATAGAATATATATCAGCTAAAACTTCTGCCCACAACCATTGCTTTGATTATATTTTGCTTTGCAGAAAAAGGAAGTGGTTTACCATATATGATGTCTGATTTTCATCATTATATACCAGAATTGCTTAATCTTGGAATGTGTGAAACGGTTTGGGTTTTTTATCTAATACCTTTACCACATAGCTAGTCTAGAAATGGCTGACAGTTTAGCAGGATCTTTACAGGTCATGCTAACATGTAGCTGCAGTAAAAAAGTGCAAAGCGGAATCGGAAAAATGGTAACCGATAACCACCGAAACAAATGCATGCAATGCTAAAGAATCAGAATTTTTGCTTGTTCTCAATGGAATGTACAGCCAAGAGTGTTTACATAGCTTGATATGAAGAAGCAACTACTGCAGCCATGTACTGAGGAATCTCTCACCGACAAAATTAGAAGAGGAAAAATTATTCAGAACTGACAAGAGCAACTTTCCTTCAACATAACCTTCGATCAAGTCTACTAGAGGAAAACAAAACCAAAGAATATATGATGAAGAACATATATAAAAGGACTCAAAGGTACCTTAATTTTTTTCCCTGTACACTGAAAAAACCAAGAACTCAGAGAAATTAAGCAGGAGAGAGGGATATATCGATGATGGGGCCAGAACTATTGTACTACCATAGATAAAAGAGAAGCAAGACCGCCTTAAATAACCCAAAACCTATGTTAAAAACTTAGATCTAATATGTTCCTTTCACGAAGCAAAGCAAAGTCAGATTTAAAAAGCAGAACTGGAACGTTCAACACGTTTCCAAAACAACACCTGTCAGTAACAAACAAAGGAAACTCATGTACAACTTTCATTTTTATCATGCTTGGTGTTAAAATAACAGAAAAAGCACTTTACAAATTACAATATTGGTATTGGAATTTGGTTTTTAGTTTTTTTTTTTTTATAAATTTTGTTTGAATAAAACCCATTTCATTAAAGTCCATTATAATCATTAATCAGTTTTGCTAAAGAACTAGTTGTTTTGTTTTAAGTATCAATGTTCTGACAGGATACAAATGGGCAAATGGCTTGACTTTGACACTGCAGCTGCTCCCTACGCGTTTTCCAAATTGCTTACGGACCGAAAGAAGAAAATGCTTACACTTTTTCTTTTGTGTCTTGGTACATAACAATGCTTAGATTGGTTTGGAGGATAGGGTTCAAGGTATATGTCTTCCTTGAAGTCATACTATCTTCGTTTTCTTGAATAATCTAATTGTTTTAGACCAGTTATTCTTCCCAAAAGAAAATAGCACTTAGTTTTTTAAGCAAAACCCATGTTCCATAATAAGTCAAAAGCGTATGCATTTATTTCTTTTTAACTAGTTACAATTATTCAACAAATTACCTCTTTTTTTTCCTAATTAAATAATATGTCATTAGACAAATTCACCTAAAGGTTTAGTGTGCTTCTGGTGAAAGGGAAGCTTAAGAGTTGAGAAACAACGTGCCTGAGGAGTTGAAAAGGCTTTTGAGTGAAATGAAAGCCAAGCTATTATTCATTATATTAATTAATTAATTAATACTTACAAAAGCAATAAAGGGATAGTTACTACTTGCTAGATCTGATTCAAAAGGAACTTTGATTTAAAAAAACAAAAAATCAAAAGTAAAGCAATGCAGATTAACGTGTTGATACCTGAGAAAATGCCCACAAATCAGCACCAAAAAGTTGATAGAAAAGTATGAATTAATGGCGAAGGATGGGATGAGATAGAGAAGAAGGGAGGTTTTCACTTATACACCCATAAGCTCTCGCACATTCTCCTTTTTTATAGTGGTTTAGAGAAAAATGAAAAGAATGTTAAAAAGTTGTATGAGTAAATACCAATTAAGGTATTAGCTAATTCATATCCTATTCAAGGTAAGAACAACTGAAAGCAAAACAAATTACCTTTTATTTTATGGGAGGAATAATTATGTTGAGTTGTCATAACATTATTCATAACTAATGCTAAAAGTGTAACGTATTTGGTCATTTGTGCCATGATGATGTTTTAAATTGTCTGAAAAATACTTGCACAAAATAAGGATACAAAAATAATGGAGGAATATGAAAATAATATCAACTTCAAGATGAAAAATTTGATGTCTTTAGTCAAACTTCTTGATTTATTTATTTTTTGGACAATTAAGAATTTCTTTGCACCGTTTCAGTACCGTAGTTAAATTAAATCCAAGCTTTGAAAGAATATCATAAAATTAACGTTTATATTTTTGTATCGGTTGTATATATTGATCCTCAGATTTATTTAGGAATTAGATAGTATTTCAAGGATACCGAGAGGTA